AAAAACCCACAAGCGAAAAGCACCCTCAGAAGCCACGAAGATGGGAAGCAGACAACATCGCCTCAGAGGCCCCCTCGGAGCCTTGGACTCAAACCCGGCGCACAAATATTAAGTCTGCTAACCAACCTGTTCACTCAACTTTCGGCTCCTCACCCTCGGAGGCAGCAGAGTCGGTGTTGAAATGCTTGTCTACAAACTGCCTCAGCCTTTTCAACAAACTCGGCGACGTTAAACAGTCAGCTTACCTTGAACAACCGTTCATAATCGCACTCACCCAGACCTGGCTCATACCAGATGTCTCTGACGCGGAGATCTCAATAGACGGTTACTCTATTTCTCGAGCCGACTCAAAACGAGGGCGGGCAGGTGGGGTTACTCTCTACATACATGCGGCCCCACCAATTCCGATTGTCCTTCCCGACACCATCCCCGCACCCTTTTGCGATGCGCTGTGGGTTCAACTCCCGCTGCGCGGGTCCGATTCACTCCTTCTCGGTGTGGTCTACCTTAGACATTCGAGTTACCCTGAAGATGACCAATTCCTCACACAAACCCTTGGGCAACTCTCCTCCAACTACCACTTCATTCATCTCCTGCTGGTAGGTGACTTCAACGCTCCAAAGACCTCCTGGATGGAGCTCCAGCGCGTCAAATCAGGCCGGCTTTTTGCAGCTGCGAGGATTGAAGTCGTTCACCAGAGCGCTTGGACTCAACATATCGTTTCACCCGCCAGATACCGAGCAGGCCAAATATCCACCCTCCTGGATTTGGCCATCACCAACGAAAGACACTTCGTACATCTGGTAACGATTAACGCTCCACTGGGACATGGCGACCACTGTGTGCTGACCTTTGATTTCATCTGCTATTGGGCCAGAAATCCCGAACCTCAAACGTGGTTTCGAGACTTCTGCCGTGCAGTCTTCTCAGGAATGCGCATCTTTCTTGAACAGGTCACACTGGGACCAGCTCCAGTGGAAGAACTATATGGGACCTTCGTATAGAAAGTTCACGAAGCTGACGAGACGTTCGTCCCAAAAAAACCAGCACGCACTCGGGTGAACCGCAGAATGCCAAAAAGGATTAGGCGAATTCTGGAAAAAAGATCCCAACTCTTTTTCAAAAAGTTGAAGGCAGGGGATACGGAAGATGAGCTGGCATTTCGTAGAATTCGGAAACGCTGTAAACCACAAATCCGTCAGCGGCACATACGAAAACAAACCACCATCCTGGACCCCATCCGAAAAAAAACAAAAACTTACTGCTCAAATACAGGAGACATCGCCACAGAAACAAGCCATCTGCTTTCTCCTTGAGGGACAGAAACCGAAAACCGACAAATGACCCAACTGTGGTATTTTAGGCTTACAGAAAACACTATGCATGTCCATACTCAACCCCAGCGGCCTCGTCGCATCCACTCTTGTCAAGAGGGAACTTTGAACAGCCTCTAACCGACTTGGTCTTCACGGTGGAGGACACTCTTTAAATCTTGCAATGGATCAACCCATTCTGCGCGTTGATGCCCGACGAGGTCCATCCAACTATCCTGAAATAAACTTCCTCCACACAGGCAAATCATTTACACCTGGCGTTTCATCAGTCGCTTGACGAAGGCCGCCTTCGCTCTGCTTGGAAGGAAGCGATTGTCACGCCAATCTACAAAACTGGTGACCGACTATCGCCTGGCAGCTGCAGGCCTATAAGCCTCACTAGCGTGCCATGTAAGGTGATGGAACACATTCTGAAGTGAGCTATCCTAGATCACCTTACTTCCAGCAACCCGATGTCTCCAGCTCAACACGGTTTTCTACCACACCGCTCTTGGGTGACAAACGTGCTAGTGTTTATGGGCAGCTTAACCCAACCGAAAGACGAAGGACTCATATCGGACGCCATATTCTTCGACTTCTCAAAAGCTTTTGAGAGGGTCCCACACGTCCCGCTGCTCCACAAAATCGAGTCTTACGGGATTTAAGGGAAAATCCTTCACTGGATCAAGGCGTTCCCATCAGACAGATCATTTCGAGTGAGAATACGCTCGACCTACTCTTCTCCAGCGCCGGTCTCCATTGGAGTTACTCAGGGGTCCGTTCTGGAACAGTGCTCTTTCTGATCTGCGCCAACGACCTTGCAGTTATTCTTGCAGGTCAATGTCGACTTTTTGCGGACGACTTGAATTCCTGGAGTTCCAAAGCCAGTGCACTCCAAGTCGATGTAGACGCTGCCAAGCGATGATCGTTGGACTGGTACCTTCCTCTGAATGACGAAAAGTGCGGCAATATGTCGTTTGGAGGAAACTCAGTGAATGCCTTTGTTATGCATGGTGAGAAATGAGCAGAAACCATCATGAGGATGGATGCCAAAAAGGATTTGGGCGTCTGGGTCTCCTCAAACTTGTCCTTCTCATTGCACCATGAGAAATCGGCCCGAACGGCATTCGGCATTTTACGGATGATCCGACGCACCCTCTACCGTATTACTCGCAGGGACTTCCAAATACCCTATGGGGCCTACGTCAGACTGCTCCTGGAATACGCCAACCAATTTGTCTACCCGGGACGCACGAAAGACGTCCCCCTCATTAAGCGTGTCCAGCGAGCCGCAACGAGAATGGTTGCTGGCCTCAAATCCGTGGACTTTGAAACGCGTTACGCGAAGCTTGACCTCTTTCCCCTGAAGTACCGTCGCCCCCGAGGGGGCCTAACTATTACTTGGTTCTGTTTGAACAAAGCTCGGCAAGGAGGTTTTTTACCGTTGACCCAGTAAACACACGACAGGGACATAGTGGGAAATTTTCAAGATCAGAGCACACACATTTATTAGACAAAACTTTTTATCATTTCGGGTGGTAGGTGCGTGGAATGACCTTCCTCAGACGGTTGTTCACCCTCTTTCTAGAATGCAGTTTAAAGTACTATTAGACATTTATTTATGCGAATGCTCGTACTGGCAAGCACACTGCTTCCCGATGAGAACATAAAGAGCGGTGCTTCACCCTTTTTTACTTGTGCCTTTCAGGTGAACGACAGCCACTGACCGAGAAGAACAAAAGTGACCCGGGAAACTTGGGCAATAGCCTCGATCCTGTGTATCAGTCCGTGAATCCGCGATGAATTCATTGCTGACACTGGTAATGTTGGGTCCACTATTTCACAGTCAGATCTAACTGCATTCTAACCCAGTGCCGTGCTAGTGCCAACAGGTATTAATATTCGCGGTATTACCAGACATTCTGTACCTCCAGTTGGTAGTTGCACGATCCCTGTGAGATTACCCCAAAGTGCCCCTATCGATTGCAATTCTTTAGCTTCAACGTCAGGACCATCGATTATCGGACTCATAGTTCTACGCTAACTGCAAACCAGTATCACCTTACCGACTTCTGTGAATGAGAATGAAATCAAACAACCGATTCTCAAATGTCCAAAGCCTACAGTTTGCATGCAAATACCCGGGAGACGAATTGTTCCATTTGACTTATATGAGCCTGTTCGTTAAACGTTTCGACGAGTTCATGCCGACTACTGTGGTCCTTTTCTCGGTAAATACTATGCCTTAGTCGTTATTGGCGCAAATTCTTGTTGGTCTGAAGTTTTTCTGACTACTTCTCCAAGTGCCGAATTCACTCAGTAAGCATTGAGGAAGTTGTCCAGCCGTGAAGGTATACCAACTGTTTTGGTCACTGACAACGGTACACACTTCACTACAAAATTCCTCGAGGAATGGTTAAAAGGTTTTGAATGTCGATATCTGTTTACCGCTCCGCGACATCCCCAGTCGAATGGACTTGCTGAGAATTTCGTCCGAACACTAAAGTCTACCAGTATTTTACTCTCTCCTACTACTCCTGTGGAACTGGACCGTGTGATTGACAGTTTTCTAAAGCGATACAGGAATGCTGTTCATTCCGTTACTGGGAGGAGTCCCGGGCTTCTATTTAAATCTCGTTCGTTACGTACAAGTTTTGAATGTGCCCAAACGGCTGATGTCACATTTTTCAAGGGTAATGGTTTAAGGCCTGCTACAGGAATAGCACTTTCATCGAATGGCGAACGGATGGTCGCAATTCTCGATTTGGATGATCTCTCTTGTCACCGGAGACACATTGACCAGGTTGATTTCAATACCAAAGGTCAGTCTGTTAACGGCTCTCCTGCTGTTTCAAATACTAATGAATCCTTTGTAGATGATCTTATGGTGTCCGAACAATATGTTGTATCTGAAGAACGCACTACCTGTGAAGTGTCTGAAGTTTCCATTCCGAGAAGATCCGAAAGATTGCGGTCAAGACCAGCACTGGACTATAAACATCCACACGCTCATTCGGGGCGTGGCGGATGTGATGAACATGACTGATACTCTGTTTATTGTTCTATTCATTATCCTCTTGTTTTAATATTCCATATGCTGTACACATACGCCAATCCGAATACATACGTGCTACTTGTTGCACTGATTTGAATTCTGGATTTCTAGTTCTTCTGGTTATTCCGATATACGTACGAAACTTAATTCTCACAAACTAGGTTGAGACTGACCGCTCCAGAGTGAATTTGTGCAGACATAATAGTCGTGATTATAATCCAAGTCTTTTTGAGATTACTTGCGAACGCAGTACGTAAGAGAGCACATAAAAACACATTCCTCACATAATTTCCCAACGTTCTCATAGAGACAATGCGCGAAGCCACCGAGAACCATCTAAATATGAATTAGGTGTGTACCCCTGAGGGACGACCGTGGTTGGCTCATGCAGCCTGAGTGTTCCAGTCGTGCGATAAAATATTGACCAATCACGCACTAGGCTTGCGTTGGGATCGTTGCTAGCAGGGCATTCGCCAGCCATTTCAGTTGTCGTTCGTCTTAGACAGGTGGTGTTTTGCCTTCCTGGCTGGTTTTCAGGTTTTGCTAATTCCCGTCCACACATAGCAGTAGTGCAACACTATTGGAGAACCAACGATCCTCGGTGCTTCCGCAGCTTGTATTTTACAACCCTGATGAGTCTTGCTACACCCGCGCCCACATTCACGCCCACCGTGGAAGAGTTTAGTGACCCTATCAGATATATCAGTAAAGTTTCCGGTGTTGCACGAAGTTACGGTATATTCAAAATACGGCCTCCACAGGTATTTTGCGCTGGATGTGACGTCCTAATTTCTAGAGTTGGCGCCCTCCATTCTGTGCAAACCCGAGCGCAACATTCACACCCAGAATACAAAACCTCTCCGACTTGCATGCGTTCAATAGGGTTCGCACAGAATTTACTACATCACTTGTAAACTTCTGGGAAGCACAAGTAAGCATTGTTTTGGTAGATTCTGAAGATCTGGGCTGCAGAATGTGAAATTGTTTGCACCATTTGTGAAAAGGAAGCTTCTTGATCTTTATCAGCTGTGGAAGTGTGTTCAGTCAAAAGGAGGTTTTGAGTCTGTGTGTGAGCAAAAGCTGTGGACATGTGTGAGCCAGCAACTTGGGTTCGGCTCAATTCCGTCGCATGCAGCTGTCATTTGTTCAAAGTACAAGCGAATATTGTATCCCTATGATCGGTTTTTGGAACAACGAAAGATGTATGAGGTGAGTATTTCCATGTGAAAAGTGGATATTGAATGGTTTTTCAGGAGGGAAAGTCAGCTGGTTCAGACAAGCCCATTAGGAACGTTCCGATTCAGAAGAAACGGCTTAAGGTTTGTACATTTTCTGCTGAACACTTATTGTCTGTTAGCGCCGAAACCCCGTTTGCATGGTCTGCAGGACTTCGAAGGACGAAGATCGATTACTTTTGTGTGACGGTTGTGACAGTCTTGGTATCTGTCATACATATTGCCTCCAGCCACCCTTGTCAGACATTCCTAAAGGCGATTGGTTTTGTCCCAGTTGTGTTGCCAAAAGATTTAGGAGGCTGCATCATGATGAAGCTTTTGGTTTCAGTTATTCGGATAGGCGTCGCACCCTAGCAAAGTTTGGAAACTTCGCCGATGAATTCAAGTCAAAGCATTTCGGAAAACCTGCACACGTAGGCTGTCAGTTAGAGTTAATTTTGCTTTAGTTGATTTCTCTAGACGAAGTGGAAAAAGAATTTTGGCGAATTATGAGCTGCCAAAATAGTGGTATTACTGTTGAGTACGGAGCAGACTTGAACGCGCGCGATTTTGGTTCTGGATTTCCGTACAAAGGAGACCGTCAGAATGCAGAAAGAAAGAAATACGCTGAATCTCCATGGAATTTGAATAATTTGCCGGTCAATGATCTTTCGGCGCTGCGCTTTCTGCCGTCTGATATATCAGGCATGATTGTAAGTTCCTTTCACCTTTCCTATCTGCAGTCGTCCAAATTAGTCATTATACTGATGAATACCAGCTGGAAGAAATCCGTGTGTGGTGTACAAACTCGTTTCATTCACTCCTGAATAAAGCGAGCGATTTAACTAATCCTGTAGTGGGCTACTCCATTTAGACACCTGCAATATATAATGTGTAGCTTTCCTCCGCTTAAGTATTAGGTGCAACAGCACACTGATTCTAGAACGCACTTATGCCCACCCAAAACCAAATAGGGAATAATGGGACGCTGGTTGCTGCCTGAGCATGTTTTTGTTTTGATTATGCCAGTCACTAATGTCACTAATCCTGAGCACATCCCCGCGAGATTAGATTTGATTGACAAGTTTCAGTCCATATATTAAATAGGATCTGATGCGTTGGCACGCAGAGAAGCCGCGTGCTCAGACCAGTGTTCCTGTTTGAGGAATCAGTGATCTGAAAAAAATGTGTTGCAAGGCTGCAGAAAGTGTTGGGTTAGTAAAAAGTAAATAAATACAGTTGGTGTGTTTTCTTTTAAAGTACATTATTCGGAAATTCGATCCTCTTATCACCCATGAACATCCGTGCTTGTTATGGAAGCTGGTTCGGTGTACATGGTTCGCTAATCGTGGTTAAAGAAACATTAGTCGGTCGATTAACATGCTGATAGTCAACTGGCTCAATTGTTCAGTAACGTGGGATGATAGGTGCACTTTAGGCATTGGCAATTGTGGCCGTGATTGTGGCTTTGTATTTTCCTGGAATGAAATTGGATAGCCAGTTAAGAATAACACCCCTCTCATCTACTGTACCAGCACATGCTATCAAAGCCCGGGATGGCTCAGTGATTAAATCGCGAGTTTACTGGCCTAAAGGTCTGTGCTTCCAGCTCGACCTCCGCATCTCGACTTATCCTGTCTAGGCTCGGCAACCTGGCTGTTTCTCAGCCCTCATGCTTCCTTCGGTTAGCGTGGCACCTAGGCACCGGAAGTGTGTCACACTTGAAGGATTATCATTTATTAATATCAGCTTTCGACGAAAATGTTCGAACCGGTTGGTCAGTAATAACGAGTCGACCGATTCTGTTAATCAGGGGATTGAGAAAGTAATTCTTAGTTCCTAGCTAATTGCACAGCTATTTAAAGGTCGACATTGGGATCATAGGCCACTGCTTCGAAATGTCCCTTGAATTCAAATTCACACTCGACTCAGTCGGCCGTAGGCACATTTTTGGACTGTTGTCCGGCAGGGAGCATCGGACTTAATCTGGTCCCTATATTTGCATACTTGTGGGGGGAATATATGGTGAGCTCTTGAAAAGCCAAACCATCGCCGGTTATCGGCAAAATGTCCGCTCTCAACATCGTAACTGAAGGAATATGTATTGGTAGGGTGGTAGAATAACCGGACGTCACTCAACCCTTTGGAATGTGATCTGCACTTACAAAGTACAGAGCCGCACCCTGAGGTATAGGGTTTCAGAACATGCTCTTCACAAGCCAAAATTCTGGAGTTATGGACTTCCATGCACATATCAGTAGTTGCATCGACTTGGTGAGCGAGCTTGACCAGGTCGGTTAACTACCATACAGGCTTACGCACCACCTGCACCTTACGTACCCACTGCAGTCAGCTGATTGTTGAGGTACAACGGAGACACCGGTGATCAGAAGTTTGAAGACGCCTGAGGTCCTCCAACCGTAATTTCCAAGTCCCAACCACAGAGTAAGACCGTTCTTGTGTAAACGGCACTTTAGCCTGAGCGAAATCCGTCTCTGTGTCATAAATGATACAAATGAACTCTCTCCGGGCCTCGATTATCTTACTTCATCTGCTATATTGGGTCATGACTTATGCGGCTACCGAGGTACGAGAACCGATTAACCGAGTCAAGTTCTTTATTCTAAAGCTTCAGAAGCATAGTAAGATCGGAAATCGTGAGGCTAGGTTTTGCTTTTTGAAGGTGTTAAGCGCATGCCGAAACATGCGATCACCTGTGGTATCTTGTTGACAATGCACTCTGTAGACCAGTGATCGTCAGACAACAAAACGGTGTTATACAGGATTTCCAACCATATGTCTCTCCACCGTGAACAAGTGCGAATAATAAAAAGGTTGGACTTGTTAATCGTCGTACCCTCACTCAACAGGTTGTGAATAACACCACTCTTGCCTGTTCAGTGTTCATATTTGTACTTCACCGTGTGATTGGAGCTAGATTTTGAATAGATGTAGACCGTTTTTGTCATATCTTCACGCTGATAGGATAGCACAGATAGATAGAATGTGCACAGATAGATAGAATGTGCACAGATAGTCCATACCACTGGTGTTCCTGGATGTTAGGACCGCGTTTCGTTCCCTGTTTCTGTCAGTTCTATTAACCACGTTTATTTTATGGTAGAAGTTCTGACAGCTCGTGAGCGCGATCCGTTACTCAGGTTCATACACTTTTGAGCGTGAATGTTGGGGAGCTTTCTAAGTTCTTTTGCAAAAACTGACTTCTCGTCTTCGGCATCGATGAAACGTTGGAGTGTAAGCTAAGTCTTCAGACCCCTATGTTCGGACCGTTGCTGCTGAAGTTCTTGTTGACTTGTATAGCATAGATATCATTTTTATCCCAAAAAGCAGAAGAATCAAGTCTTTTTAGAATAAGTGATTGCTACAAAGTGCAAAGCCACGTTTTAAGACGTAGAATTGTTATATACAGTCTTTTTACTTGTAAGGGAAGCGCCGGAGATGATCAAGAATTTTACGTCTCAGTAGTTGCATTAGAGTGTCCGGTGAAGTTAGGGCGCGAACCTCGCTAATTTGGGCGCAACGAAAGGACATAGCATTAGATCTCAACATTTGCATGTATCGGACTACAGTACTGGATTTGTTGTGTAGTCGTGAGACGGCTTTCTGGAGCACATGATTTGAGGAGTGCTTAGGGTTTAACAATTGACGTCACTGATATACCGTCGCACTTGGATGGCGTCCGAAAATTTTAATCAAGACAGTTAGAAAATGAGTGGTCGTTTGTTGTGGCGGTGATTTTAGCCCCTGAAGACATCCAGCACCGTGGGCCACACTGTTTCGACCATATGCTCATTTCTGCGTCCTTCAGAATGGCGCAAACTGAGGTATGAACATGTGACTTGACAGTTCTACCTTCCATGGCCGACTAGATTTGCTATCAAAGTCCAAACCAGTGTCAACATATGTTACCATAATGTTTATTAGTTCGGCAGCCTCGCTAGAGTATCAGTTCAACCTTTTTCAACACACAGAGTCTGTTAGAAACACCAAGACTGGTTAAATGATGTGATTTCATACTCAGCTGCTTGTTGTAGCAACAAGCTACCAACACGGCAACCAACTAACTTGCAAGTGAACTCCTTATTTCTTACAATTATCGGATTTGCGCTGGAGTATCGCTTGCAACACATTTGCTTCTCAGTCCCGTTTAATTTAAAGTATTGGGTCGAACTGACTTTTATGACACCTTCATTCCACCTTTGGAATTTTCCTACGATAATTAAGTATCAGTAGTGGTCAGTATTATTGATTTTTTGCAGATGCCAATAGGGCTTGAATGAATCAGGCTGATGGCTGATAGTTATAAAACAGTTGACTAATTCTGAAGATATTTGAACTACCATAAGGTCTGGTTCTTTGGTCGGATGTGGCGCGCATTTATTTGTTGTCCTCGGAGAAGTACATCTTTCTCGGCGCACGATCGCATGCAGTACGGACTTGAAAGTTAGCTATCTTTGGTATGTCAAGATTGTATGAAAGTACTTACGAAAAGCGGATGCTCGTTGTGACATCCGTATGGTTCGAGGAGATTTGCTGTCCAAAGTGAATTGCGCTGTTTTAAATTTCCGTGTCTCATCTTTTCATAGTCCTTTGTACATGAGTACTTTTTATAAGGCAGGAAGTTCCAAGGTCAGTCTCTTCCCCTATGTTTTTCCAAACCACAGTCTTTTAATAAATCTATATGGAATCAGATACTGTTAAACTACACTGGTTATTTGATTTCTCTAAGTACCGTGATCAGCTCTTAGGGAAACTAAATTGCTTTGTTCTTATGAACATAGTTAGGGCTGGTTTAATCTGTTCAGCGACGCTTCGCTTATCATTGGTACCTTGCCGCACAACAATATTTGGCATGAGTTGGCCAGGTCAATCTGGTAATCGGTGTCCAATTAAAGTTTGGTTACTGACGATAGAGTATTGCGAATTGACCTCTGATTAAAAAGTTTTCCTGGATTACTCACTTCAGAATGTGTTCTGCTGTGTAGACTCGTGGACTACGTGAGATGCAGATTGGTCAGACAGCCTGGATTTGTACAAAGCAAATCCCTGTCAGACACCATCATTCCATTCAGGCACACTTATTCCAAATATCATTGCGCAACAGAAACCCCATAAATGAAGCTCTGGTGATCAGATCAAATCAATTCCGCCTATGTAAACAAAAAAGTTGAAGCATTTGTTCATGGTTACGCTGACACCGATCAAATGTCTTATGGAAGTCTTTAAGGGTTTTTACCATGAAACAGTAGTTCTTAATACCATTGTTCATGCCATAGTGTCTTCGCCGAGGGGACTTATGCCATTTTCGTCTTCTTTCTTCTCAGATACCCTGGTGCTATGTTGGGATGGTGTTTTCTTGCTTCTGCTGGCACATTGAGGACCATTGGAGCTATTCAATAAACTACCTACACTCGTACGTTCACAGTCGATAGTTCGTTCTGCTTTCGTATTTATCATCGGCGTTTTACACAACGTACTTCATTGTTCTGACCACCGGCTTTGTTCAAGAACTTCCTTACCCGTTTTTTTCAGTGAAGCCGTCAAGGGACCTGAACGCAGATGCCCAAAAATATATGAACATGAAATACCCGAACTGTGTTCTTTTTGTTGGGTCTTGTTTCCTATTGACTTTGACAAATATATGCCTTGATCTTCAAAGTATAACATGTTACTCCCCCGAACATTCAGTCGTCAACGATTCCAGCAAAGTTTCTGGTCGCGGATCGACTTGCCTATTTTACTTGATGTACGGATGGTGTATACACGTATCGTAAAGGCCGGAGGACTAGTTGATCTACTATGTATCGGATTAGAAACAAACTTTACTTGTGCTGAAGAACTGTCTATGGTGTATGACCGTAAAGACTCGTGCGGCGAGTACTTGCTCATTATGGGGAAGGTCCCACTAACGCTGTCAGTGGGCCATAATGGAATCTTGCAGGTTGCTATACCCGTACGAGGAATTGATGTGCAAACAAGTAATATGTGGACAACCGACCCATCTATAAGTTAAGAAGTTGTTTGCTAGTGTCATCCGGAAATCGATAAGGTGGTATTTCCATTCTAACCCACATTATATTAGATTAAGAAAATTTTGTGGCTTACCACAGGGTCTTACCGGCCGGGCTATTACCTTCAGTGAGATTTTATCGTCCTTCAAGATATAATATGTTAAGTGAGAATCTGAGTTGTTTGTTCGGCTACCAGGTCGAATCTTCCCATTGTCCTGACTCAGTTATCCAGACTAATCCACACTCGAGCTCCGCTGTTACTAGAGCCCGTCCTCATCCACATCAGAATTTAATCTTCGGCCAGCCCACGAGCCTGTTGACATTACCTGTCACATCTGAGCTAGTAATTCTGCTCGTACGTAAAGAACGCATATGGTTTGACTGGCATTTCGAATGATGACGTACTAACCGTTGTTGTTGTTCCAGTCAACTTATTTACCCGTAGCTAGAACTTATCCCCCCTGATTACTGACTGAGTACTGTTGAAAGAGGAATATCTTTACTATTCGTTCACTGTTTAACTACCAGTCTATGTAGTTTTATCTGGATTGGTTGATTTCTTCGTTTCAGGAAGAATCCACCAAGTGTTTACAAAACAGTAAGGATGACTATGCACTTCTAACGCATGAATGCCTCCGACTATGATACGGATGCTTTTCTGTGTATATTTCCAGTGGTTCTCCGAAGACCTGGTACGGAGTACCTACTGCCTCGGCGGATTCGTTCGAGGCTGCAATGCGCGCCGAAGTACCAGAATTATTTGAGTCGTCACCAGATCTTCTACATCACATGACAACCATGCTACCGCCCGACCGACTAACGGCCCATGGCGTGCCAGTTTATAAGCTGGATCAATGCGCTGGGGAATTTGTGGTAACATTTCCGCGAGCCTACCATGCTGGATTCAATCAGGGATTCAACTTCGCCGAGGCAGTTAATTTTTGCCCCGCGGATTGGGTGAGTAGACTCTTCAGGGAATATCCTGGGGTCTGACAAAAGTGGTTGTTTCGTATGAGGCATTCTGTTTAAAGTGACTTCGGTCTTTTCAACCTCGGATGAGTTTGGCGAGCTTTTTTGCCATCGATTCTCTTATCAGTTATGTCCCGAGAACTATTTTCTCCACTGTTAGAAAGCTAGTTACATTTGTCAGTTTCATTCGGATTGTCTTAAAGCAAATGGATGGTGGATATTTTCACTCACTGGATGGCGCTAGTTGCTTCTCTTATGTAATTTCTGTCGGCTATCTTTATTCCGCACTACTGGTAGACGGTGCCACCTGCCTCCATGGTTATTTGACCCAGGGTCCAGGGAGCGTGTCCGAAGTTTGTCCTGCGTTGTTCCAGTAGCATCCGCCCCAAGACCTTCAGGTGACACATGGACGCCTAACACGTGGAAATGAAAGAGCTACTGATTATTCCCGGCAATCATTTGTGGCACGTTGAGTTACGCGCAAGACCCTAAAAGTCAACTCATTCAAGTGGAGGTTTATCGACAAATGTGGCACCATGAATACAATAATAAAATGATACTATTGTACAAACCTCACATCATTGAATTTTGCGGGCCTCTATACATCGGTTTTGGAACTGCTACATTTCAAATTTCCTATACAAATTTGTATATAGGAAGCATTACGCCAACCAAAAGTTCACACCGAATCAAGGCAAGGTCACCACAAGATGGCGAAAGCCATGTGATTGACTTAAATTAGACCTGCGATGACGATGTCAAAGGACGGTTCACGTCCAGGTTAAAACAAGAAAGACGGTATAGGCGCAAAACGGGGAATCACGTACACAAAAATAGTAGAAAAGAATCAACACTGGCTTCGCTTCTGTGCACAGATTGGCTCAGTTACTTCACGGTGTCTGTCTCCTGTGGCAAAATGTCCTCTGCCGTTGCTACCCACGAACGGCGGTCACAGACTTGAATGATGTAGATTGAGATCCGATGCCAATTCGTCAGAAGCTCTGTTTATAAGGTTGACACCGAAGCTAACTCGATGATGCCGATCAAGGTTCTCAGCTCCTCCCGGAGACGACAGTGCCACCCCGAGGATGGCTATGGAGACAGTGTGGGTTCGTTTTGGGGCTTTCGGGCTAAGTGGCTGATCCACTGAGGCCATATCCGCTATGATAGCTGTGTGAAACCTGAGTTACTAAAGCCAGGTTCTCAAACCCTTTAATTTGGTATTTCGTCGAGCCGTCAATGTCCAGAATGTGCCTTAGACACCAATGGTAAAATTCTTCGAGGTTGTGGATATGCTGTATGTGAAGCGGGCAAGTTCCACAAACGGAATTAATAACTGGGCCGATTGCCGCTTTGAATACACGAAACTTCACGCGTAGATGATTTCACTTCTCCGTAAGGTTTGTATAATTTGCATGATAACGTTTATTGGTGTATCGATACGAAGATCAACCATTTGTTGTGCTTACTCCTAAAGTAGAAGGGCGGAACTCAAATATCGAAATGCAGTGACGCGTTCAGTGTCATCATCATCTATGCAAGGGTTTACCCGCTGAGCCTTTGCATGAAGAATTCTGTATCACTGGTGTTGGTCGCAACTCTTTAAGGAAACTGCTCTTAAGATTTCAGAAAATTATTCGACAGACCACGGCCGGTTTAATCTTTCTTGAGGCTCATCAATCAGGCACAATCATCGGTTCGGATACAATCGCACGAAATTCGTGAACCACACTCATTTGTGCACCAATTTGATTTTACGGAAAACTGAACTGAATCTCAGCTGGACTTCGTGTCGGCGATATTATTTGACTGAATGTGCTGCACAAAGACCGCCTCATGTCGGTTTCAGTTAATGCGATATTTAGGTTTCTTTTCAATTTCCACACTTCACATTGTAAATTCAGTTCCTCATACGGGTGTTCATAATCAGCAACCCGGGCAAGACCTCATACAATCTGTTAAAGTAGCCATTCCTCCTATTATTCGGCAAACCACTCAACTGCGATATAGTGCAGAACAATTGTATCTCGTGTGGTTCGGTATTACAAACTGCATACGATGCGTAAAATGAACGTGCTGACTCGAGTTTTGTGTGTATTTTTATTACTTACCTATCACCGCCTTGCCTGTGAGAAACACCATTTTCCGCTGGATGTTTGTAAGCAGAAGAGTAGAATGTGGTACAGTTTAATTATGTGGATGCACCAGGTGACCTTCTTCAGAATGCACATGACCTGATCGCGTGACTTTATTCGTTCTACATAATCCAGCTCGTAGGTAAGCCAAAGTTCTCCTTCACGTTTCGCATTTCGTTCAGCCAGTTAACAGACTTCATTTGTGGCTTCCCACAACAATATGTCAATCCGTCTTAATTGAGGATTGCTTCCGATATCTTCAGGCCCACAAATATGTGACTGAATAGAAGGATGGCATGGAACTGAATCGATTAAAGATGCCTATGGATGGGTTTATAACTACCATCGTTCCCTGCGTTGCGGCTGATGAACAGTGACATGTGATTAGGGGGCGACTTACGCGGACAACTTGAAAATCAGGTGGTTAGTGTGGAACTTGACGTGAACCGACTGTTGACTATCCTGACAATCGCCCGACTGCTGGTCAATAGTCAGAATGTTCCCTCTGAGCAGCCATTGATCCCTGTGGAGAAGTTGATAGTTACCAAATAGCTGCCTTGGATTTGACTTGATGTTTAGCAGTCAACCGATACCTGAAAAGTTCAGATATCCTGGTTTCATTTTTGTTAGAAATCATCCGCGTCGCGCACCTCACGAAATTCAGAGAGCTTAGAACCCGTGACCTTCCTGTTGAGCGCTTAACTGTTTGGCCACCGTTCGGAATGAGATGGGTATAGAGGGATCGGACACATGACTCTTTGATTGAGAGTTTCAGTCCTTTTCTCGCTGACGCACGATGGTGAATTTCAGTTAAATATGCATTTTAGTGTGAACCAGCTGTTGACTTGATGAGTATCAATAACGATTGGAGGACAGTTGAGCAACGGAATTACCATGCTAATTTGACGTTACAAATGGCAAAATCAATGATCTGATGAATAGGCTGATTGATGAACGAGAGTCGCTTTAAGTCTATTTGGGATGTTCGGGAACATCTTTTTGAAGATGCTAAATGGTGAGTGATTTATCTCAAAATTGAAATGTAGATTTCCCCCGAAGATAAACCCGTTGAAGAAAATATTCACATGATCGCTCTATTGTTGATTGCTACATCACATGTAACCTCCAGGTGCGAGGTCTGTCAAGTGACCTCACACTGCCTAATTTGCCTGCTCCTGAACATTCAGTTCATCTAGATCATTAGCGTCCACAAATTTACAGCAACCGTTCAACGAATGACTGTACCTGTGAACAACAACAGCTGTGGACAATTGGTCCAATATCACATCACCTTTTCCATCACCAAGCACGTCAAATTTTCCAGGTTCAAACTGGATTTGGAAATCCAAATTTTGTGTGTAGGTTTAGTTCTGATGGTGCTCAGAGCATGTGCAACATTTCACCCAACCACTGAACTATGCTTGCTGTGGGCGGGTCGCACTTTGGTCTATTGTTCTAGTAGTTGCAGAGACAACATCCTGCGGTGTTTTCACTTTCCATAATCGTAAGCTATCTGTTTTTACCTCCATACATGGATTTTCTGACGTCAGCTCACCTTGTTACATGCAATAAAAGGAGTGGAAAAGAGAAGTTTTGTGTTTTGGTAATAGCCGCAAACAAAGGAAAACGTATTTTTCCCGTAACCTACGTATCTCTTGGAGACTTTCGAAAAGGTGTAGCCGCACAGGAACTTCATACGGCATTCTCACTGATGATCCTGATTTTTCTAAAGCAACCATGAGAACTTATTTTCCTGTACAATTGAGTTTTCATATTTCTTAGGAATAATCTTCATAAGTTAGGATCATCTGGACTTAATTATTCGAATGCGTTCAAATGAGTTCGAATGAGTTCATCGGTTCAGATCTTCCGTCACAACTCTCAGAACTTTCCCTTGTGAATGGCAGAGTTTTCGCAATTTGCATGTCAATCGAACTTGCGTTTGTGGTAGCTGGGTGACCATTTGTTGTGTTTTCGTAAACTGGCCAACAAGGATTCACTACACGCCATCAGAATTCCAATGCAAAACCAAGGGCTTTTTTGTAGAGATTTCGTCCTCTAAGTGAAGTCGATCTATGCTGAAAATCCGAGAAGCACTGTACAGCTGTTTCATCTTTATTGGGACTTATCAGCATCTTACGAAAGTCCGGAGAGTCTCGAACTCGCGGCCTCTTGGTTAGTAGTTTGAATACTTAACCGTCCGGCCACGAGTAACTTGTCAGCAGTGTGATTAACTCGCAGTTAGACAGGATGTAGCTGTGGTCAGCATAGATTGGCTTCACTTACAGGATGAAATCTCCACACACAAATCCCAAGCCTCTTCACACTATCAACAACAAGGGCTTTCGTCAGTTTACTAAAACCGCCGTTCTTGCTCTCTGCGTGCTTCATTGGATGTTCAACTGTGTTCAGTCGTGACTTGTTGGCTCTGCCTTACTTAGAGCCGGTCGATCTTCGTTTGTTCGATGTGGTGAAGTGTCTCAAACTGCAGCGTTGAATAAAACAACAGATTATTACCAATCGGCAATCGAAGCTCGTGTTCACCTCCAGTATAAAGCTCCATTGATTGACTGTGGGACAGTTTCTGAAGGCCGTATCACCACTAGTTGATATCGCAATCAGGTTGTAGAGGATCGGCTGCACCTTAGGTTCTAAGTGGCCTAGTAACCCCACACAATCGATAACGCCCACATCGCTTCGGTGTTTTCTGTCCATGTTCTTTCACAGGTGATTCTAGTTACTTATATTTCATCTTTACTATTCAAACGGGCCTTTTTCTACTCAATTTCAGTTTGAGATGGGACAATATTGCATTGAACATTACGCCGTGGTTCATCGAGCGCCGGTCTTCTCCCATGCAGAGCTTTTGTGTCGAATGGCTGAATCAACCGAACCGCTAAGCGTCGACTTTCTAACCGTGGTTACCAAGCAACTGAAGGAACTTTTGGCGACAGAACGAAGCCTTCGACGTCATGTGGCACGACTGGGTGTCCGTCGTGCGGAACGCCTTGTCTTCGAGAACTCGGAAGACGATAAGCGGGAGTGTGATTTGTGCCACACAACGCTTTATTTATCTGCTCTTGCTTGCAAGTGCAGTCCATGTGAGTCGCATTACTCCATGTAGCAATTTGTCCTCGCCACATGAACAAATTCGTTTGGTTAATCGAACCGGTATTGTTTTGTACTCTACTACATCTTGCCGTAAACTGTGCGCAGCAACACTGGCTTTGACATCATTTGAACCGTCACGAGGTACAGTTACCATTGAAGGGCGAACCTCGTGTTGAACAAAACCAACTTTTACATGTCCCATGGGAACTTCACACGAACTTCATACTTGTTTGCAACGCTGTCGGCTGGATGACTGGCTGCAGTATGATGATAGCGATATGCGTGATGGTTCATCCTGTGCGATGCAATTTTGATAACACGGTCTACATGTTTGGCAATATTCTCACAGCTTGGCTTGTCGCTCAACTGAAGCAGTCGATCAAGTCGAACTCGTCAGCACCTCATCGTTCACTCCGTAGCGTTCCAGATTTCATGATCATGGTGGTAGCACTGTTTGTCTTTCTTTCGAGAAACAATCTGTAACGCCGTTAAGTCTGATCGGTGAATCGTCAGAACACTACGATTAGCCATTAAACAAGCTTGCTATCATAGTCACTGAAACGCAAGGTTTTTCACTTCGTCACGTTTGCTAGCTGTCAGCAGAAGTGCCCGCCGCCAAAAACTTACCACGACTATCCTAGCCTGGTTTGACTCATGGATGTGGATGTCTTCTAGTAATCGAGGACTGAAGCATGACTGCTTACAGGCATTACAGATATATCTACCGAAAGCTGGAAAAGTAGAAATACGTGACATAAGCTGAAGCGTATAGATTTTAGTTAAGGGAGGCGGTCGGAATGCTTGCGTATCAAATACCATGCAAGATGTAACACCCATGTAATCCTGCTTTCAACGCCGCGTCGTAGATCAGTGGCTAGACCAGTCAAATTTACTGTCAAACTGCATCATTGAAATGGTGCCATCTCACTTTCTTTCGTGTAGCACAGACTTTGTAACCTTCTCTCCGAAAACATGGACAGAAATTCGCATTAGTATTTTAGAACACAAATCCTAGCGGAAAACGCCAGAAGTAAGATTTCCCTCACTACTTAGCTGCTACGGGAAATCATTTCTTAAGGTGGGAGGGGATCGCCGGATGATGAAATACGAAGTCATTCTGAAGAGGCTTTACATTAGTTTTCTTGAGAGAAAAGACCAGTCCCTCATGGCCATTGTAAATTATCGGATGTATTTCGAATAGAGTACTGAAACGTGTTCATTATTACTTCGGAAGAAAAAAGATTCCACTTCAGCTTGGTAATAATGCGTCATGAAACCTGGAAGAGTTGCGGTTTCTAACAACTACGAGTTATGCTGCTTTCTGACTATAAGGACTGGCTTGAAATGTACTTACTCGCTCAGTCCCTGCATCACAGGTGGCAACTTCCAGTGGTATGTTCGCGATTAAATGAGGCACAACCGATTGCTGGATATCGGGTTGACCACCCTATCGGTTCAACTAAAACACTTTAACGTAAGATTACCGAGACGTTATCTGAATATTCCTTCAATGCCTTCCAAAAAGAACCTATTCTTCCTATCTGAACATATTACACTACTCATGGGGTTGCTGAGATCTCGTCAACAGCGCATGACCGGTTTCGCCATCACTGCTTCACTACCTTCCATTTTTTCCACTGTTTATTTGAACACTTGTTTAACACTTTTATCGCAGTTAATCACCAATATCAAATACGGGTTTACTGTTGTCTCTTCTCGAGGTGTCTAGTATTCTGACAGGGGAAGAGTAGTGTTACTTTATATACGCCTAGCGATTGAGTGAGTACACGATTGTTCAATAGTGGTGCCACATTGTAATCTCCAGTTGTTGGTGTATGGCTCAAATGTACACCACGTGCGTCGTGGAGGCACTGATTCGCTTGTTTTTGGTTGTCGATCAGGTAGCTGTTGTTCTGTGTACCGAGTTTAGCAATTAACTTGCAGACTTCTCGTCATCCAATGGAGAGACAACATCAGTGTGGCGAACAGATCAACAGCCTATGAACGTACGCGAGCTATTAGTATTTCAAGACCTTTCCAACGGTTTTGATTATTGCCAAATGTGTCAGTTACTTTTGTACTCACATCAAACATGCTTACCCATTTTTAATCAGAGTGTAATTAAACTTGCTAAAACGCCTCTAAATGCAAGAAGCTTGCTCATTTTCCGGTCCTTGTTTTGGCTGTTACTACCGTTACTTGACACTTGTCGGTATCTGTCTTATGTTAAAAAAATGTGTTCTTTTGCCGTTACAAAATGTAACTTTCTTTGCATTCCCCATCCCTCTTTGTCATTGCAGCAATGGTCTGTCTCGCTCATCACCAAGCACGCACTTGCTGCCCACACGAGGAACAGATTATGCGCTATCGTTACGGTCTGGATGAGTTGTCTGAGTCTATTGATAAATTGGAAGGACAACTGGAGGAGTACCGTCGTTGGAAAGTCGATGTAGAGAGAATAACTCAATGGTCGATCTCGTTTTTACCGGATAATAACCCTCTGTCCAACTCACTTCAAAGTTCCCCAACTCAGGATGAAGCTGACCGTGGAGGTTTGGATGAGGCTGGACGAATTGGCGCAGGTCGGACCGACGGAATATCAGAGGATTCGGCTCCGTCGGACGAACCCAAACCTCCTATCGTAGGGTGTACGTAGAGATTTTCGAGTTTCACTTTTTAACGGTGGGAGCTATGTACTGTGACCAAGAACTGTTGGTCCTCAGGTTTTGACCTAAATAACCCTCTTTCATCGGACTAATTAGATCCCGCTAAGACTGACCTTGCCCGGTAACCTCGCTGTTCGGGTTCGAGAGTTGTCGCATCCTTGATGTCCGAAAGTGCTGGATTTCGCTTTTTTGCGACATACTAAGACTCGGGTCCACTTCGGTCCCGAGGTGTTGCACGCAGCACCATATTCTGCTCAGTGCGAACCGTATGTGGCTTCCTACTACGTACAGGTTTCTAGTAGTTTGAACGCTGTTAACCAACAAATCTGCTTCGGATACCAGCCATTTATCATTATATATATTTTTCATATATTTATCTGCTTTTAAACGGTTGATATCCAGACGACGCCATCCGTCACCATGTGCAGTCGCACGCAGCCTTTGATGGCTGAAGCGTCGATGTACCCCGCTCCACTTATCTGCTCCGCTTTCTGTCGCATGGTTGTGCCTGGAATTGCAGTGTTTCTGAGCACAGGGGAAAGTCTACAGGTCTTCTTATTTAGGTCTCATTATTCACCTAATATATGGCAATCATGCTTGTATCACGCCTGAATCCATTTTCCAGATGTTTTGATATTTCACAACATGCATATACTGTGAAACTGCTTTTTAGTGTCGTATGCTGACGAGGACCAATTTCTTAAGAACTTGGGAGACATCCTTTTCCAGGTTTTATTCTCATACATCCGAGGATTAGACGGAATTTAGGAAGGTGATGATTCCTTCTATTAATAGGACAATTGTTCTTCTCAATAGATGGTTGAGCATCTGCTTGCTTCGTCGCGTTTTGGACACGCTAGCAAACAGGCCCCGACTAGATTACAGGTGTCTCCACTCACAACAGTCAAGTGTGTTCTTCTTGGTTTGTGAACACGTACATACGAGAATTCAGAAATGGTACTTCGATTCCGCTGATAAACAAACGAGGTTTGAGTTTACTAGGCGACCCTACAGCGGATTGGTTTGTAGTGTAACTGCTGTCCAATGGAATTCATAGTTTGTTGTCGAAGTTCATCACACCAGCTCGTTGGCACCCTAAACTCTCACGTATAAGTTACACATTGGAATAAATAACGAGGTATTATTTAAAATAAATTTCGTTGCTTAGAAACACTTTTGAGGATGATTTTCAGTCACTTGGGATTGTGCCTAACATATATACCCGGTTGAACAGTGAAGGATTCCTCAATCCCCACGGAATTCATAAATATTTCCTTGTGGAGTGTTCCTTAATATTGGTTTTTAGTATATACTGCATCGAATAATGCTTGATTACTGCTGTATACATAGTTTTATGTCCCATAATAGTAATACAAAACGCTGAACCATTCAGCAAAGCTTTACCGTTCAGGTTCATTGCTGACTTGGTCTTCTTGTTTGCCTCATCTTGTGTTATAGGTTTAGTCTCTGATTCGCGTGAGGATGTACAAAGTCAGTCTGAGGAATTCCAAAAACCTAGCATGAACCAGTTGTCTGTAAGTCTGTCTTTGTATCTTTGCATGAGTGCCTAGTCAACTTACCTAGATGAATATGTGCCGTAATTATTATATCTTATTTGCCTGGAGTATAACTGGTCAGTCCCTCTGTCGATTTCACCTTCTGTGATGGTCGAAAGATCAGTAGGCTCGAGATGCGGTTTCGCAAGGTGGTATTCAGTGTGCAAAGCGACTCTCATCACCACTCACCCATTTCGTTGGTTCCTGCTGTTTTGTTAACATCCTCTCCTGTTCCTAGCCGACAGCGGTATGTAAATCCGAATGGATGGGATTGGATTTGTTAGAATACGCAGTGAAGTTGTCCAATACGAGCATCTATCGAGCTTAAGTCAACTCTGTCATGATAGTTAAGAAGCTTCCTTTGGACACATCAGTGTTGTAAACCGCACAATTTTTGTCTTGTTGAAAAGGGTAGTTCAAGTAGATAATAATTGCCGGGCTGTGAAGAACTGTCTAGGTCTTTCTTCAAGTTGAACAAACAATTCTTCCTCTAGTTCTGAGAAGAATAGTTTTCCTCACATTCAACGCCGGAATATCTGCTCAATCATTTTTTTACTTCATACGGTTCATCCTATCTGACTGTCCAACAGCGTATTCAATCGCAATCTTTTGTCTGCTCTGCTTACCTAGAGCGCACAACCTCCATTTTTCTCTTCAAAGAAAGACATTTGCATGGAGAAGCCACCACCAAGAAGGTTTCACTCTCAGTCTACACCTTGAACACGCAAATGGGAGCGCGTCTACCCTCAAACTGACTAGTCCTTGTCATTTATCCCACCTTGTTTTGGATGAGTAGAACTCGTTCCGTTTCGAAGCGGCTAACAAGCATAGACGAAACTGCCAACCACCCACGTTGTTTCTTTTGTCCATACATGAGTACCATGCTATGGATGTTAATAGTTTACCGCTTCATTTCTGGAGCATTTTCTTGCCATGTCAGATTCGCCTCGCAAGAAAAAATAAGGATTGCAGCAATATTCTCTTCCAAGCGTTTTCCGGGTGAGTTTGCCGTAAAAAGGAGATGCTGTCTTTTACAAAAAAGTTGGAGTTGTCTGGGCCACCAACTCTGAGGTACTGATCAGATAGAGGCATTTTACGGAGATGACTTAACAATGTATGTGACTCTGTTTGATTCAAGTCCACCGATAGCAATCAATCAGCACTGCACTACGTTTGTACCCCATTGTATATTTTTTTTGTCAATGAAGTTTCCCTTCACTCTTCATTCCAGAAGCTAATCGAGGTTGGCCAGGCACGAAAATACCCACCCGCGGACATTGACCCCCTGTTGAATCTTTCACTGTTCATCAGGGAATGTTCTGAACTTTTGCATAATATACTCCGTACTCATGGACGTGCAATAGAGGATGGGTGTGTCATATCGAAGGTCGACGTGACAGACAGCGGCTGCAGCAGCAGCAGTCTTGTTGACGATGGGTCATCAGACACTGATGCTTCCATGGCGTCCGATGTAGAATCCAGTGAGAGCACGATTGCTCCTCCTCATTTGTCCTTTGTCACTGATTATTCGGCAACGGTTGGCAAAACGTCTGCATCACCTAAGCCAGAGGCTGGGAGATCTCCGAAGAAAACCGCACTGTGTGCTGGTAGAAAGAGGAGCTCAAAGGTTCGTTTCTTTGTTTCAATACCCTTTAGTTTGACCGTCTTGGGTATCGGAATTCTGTGGGCATGTCACTCTGTCTATCCAAAGGCTGAATTTATATCGCCTTCGGTGTTTGAAGGGATTAAACAAATCCCTAATATTCTGATTTTCGTTTCTCAATACCATTTTCTTAGCCTGTCTGCAAGAAGCGTGTACCACAGCACAGATACGCCCAGTATTGTACCATGATATCCTTATTGAATCTATTGACCGCCGCCCCTGTCTTCTATAGCTCTCCTTGGATGAGTTTTACGAGCTTATTCAGGTCGCCTCGAAAATAAGAGTTTTTCTACCTGAACTGGACCAACTGGAGACGTTGGGTGCTTGGATAACCGATTGGAGAAGTCGTGCCAGCAAAGTCATTCAACAGTGCAATGCCCCCGCATTGTCTGACACCGAAGAGACGGATGTACCAACTGTGAATGCTGTGAAGCAGTTGTTAGATCAGGCTGAAACGATCCACATGGAATTGCCGGAAACGGTATATCTGAAAAGAGTAAGTAGACAAATTGACTAGTTGTTGAACTGGTCCTGTTATTTTTTGGTGAATTTCATACTCAACTTGCGATTTCTACACTCCAGTTTATAGATGAGATGGCCATAGTTTCTGTTACACTACCTCGGTTTTGTAATATTTATGATTTTGTTGACCCTACTGCTTTGTTCATCCATGTTTATTCGACCGTGAAACTCCAAAGCTTATTGAGGAGCGCTTTTTTGTCCCCTTTTAGTATCAAATTTCTTCCTGTACTCTTTNCTCTTTCCCGTTGGAATTGTGCAAAGTAGCAATGTCACTATCCCAACCCCTCTCGTTTGCATTAAAGCTGTGTATCGAGAATGCGTTACGTTGGGTTGTTTATTTTGATCAAGCTGGAAGCTTCTAGCCTCCCAAATGGTTTTGGAGTTTTGGATATATGTCGGTTTTACGCACACCTTAACTGTTGACAGTGCCTAACCAGAAGGACGTTTTCACAATCCAGTTGCTGACCCACAACATTTAGGCCAGACTGAGCGGCATTCGAGTCACATGTAGCTCGAGAAACAGGTACGAATTCGCCCACAGTAAGCACCGTGATGGCTAATGCTTCCCTCCTTTTAGGGTAGGGTTAGAGTCACTCTTCGCGTGAACAACTAATTGTTTCATAATGTGTATCTGTTAACGGATATTCATTGTGTCCTTCTTTATTTATTCATCGATGGAGTTGGGCTGTGAGATACAGCAGTGCTTTATGGTCTTTCTTCAATCACGGAATTGTAGTGAGTACTTTCTATGGAGTTTTCACTCGTTGTATGAGACAGCTTGACCAAGCCTATATGGTTAGTTGAGCCTGTAATTCGCTTGTGAGCGAAAGGTTATAAGTCAACGTGAAACACCATTTGGATCGTAACAGTGGGTCTCAGCAATTTAACGGGTTTTCTCGTTCTCTACTAAACTCTTTGTACTGTATCTCTTTAACCGTCTTCAGGTATATGACTGCTTGGCATGGAAGGAACAGGTCGAAACCACATTGGCATGCAGCAATAAAGAAACGTCAAGCAATGATGAGACAGCTCCATTGAACAAGCCATCACTGACAGATTTGTGCGACCTCCAGTTTCACGGGGACCTGATATCAGCCACCATTGCCTATGTCAAGACACCAGATTCTATGAAACTCGAGGATGACACTCCGGATGCGCTGCCGTCGCCGACGTTTCCGGATAAGTCAAGGTTGGATGTTGTTCTGATCAACACCAGTCGGCACCTGTTGGGCATAATCAAAAGTGCAAAGGTCATTGAGGATCGACTGATTGCAATACAAAATTCCAAGTGGGTTTCATTTATTTTTACCTTATGTACATGGTTTACAAATCTGTGAATTATTTTCCTCCACATTGCAGTCGATTTTGGTGTTCAATGGGTGACATATTTCATCATGAGTGGACTAGGTGGACTACAAATGATTGTTTAACGTTCTTTTTACACCGCGTGTGACTCTAGCGCAGCACACCCTTGCAAAAGTTTTGCAGCTCTTCTTGAGAAATACACTCATTTGCAACTCAATTTGGTTTTCACGAGAGACTCAACTGAAACTCTTCCTAGACGTTTCCGCATCCACACACTCAGTTTTGCCGGTACATTGGTCATCTACGCTAGTACGGCAAAATCTCCCGTGCTGTCATGCTATTTTATGGCGGTGCCTCTACCATTTGAAGGAGCCCACAGAACGAGCTTAATGTGAAACCCTAGGGTAGCTACGATTTCCTTCTCTGTCTGTATACGTAAGCTGTCTTTCGTAGGAAACGCATCATCGTCTTCGTTTGAACAGTTCGAATTTGTTAGGAATATGAGATAGCGCATATCGACACGTAATTTTCCCCAGATTAATAAACTTATATTAGACTTGTAGACAAAGTAATGGATGCAAGATAGCCACGTCGTAAAAAAAACCATTCAGCTGTTGAACCCTTTCAGTGCCTAACTGCCATGTCATCAGAGGGAAGCACGAGGGTGGGATACTGACAGGTTGCCCAAGCCTAGACAGGGAAAGTCAAGAGGAAGAAGTCGGGTTCGAACCACAGACTTTCTGGTCAGTAAATTCGTGCCTTAACCACTGAACCATCCCGAGATAGTCACATGATCGTTATCAATTCACTGCGGCTGCTTGAATTACTGGTCGGGTCGTTGATAAGTGTTCATTGGGAAGAAACGAATCCAGGTGCTTGGGTGGGGCACTGCACATTCAGTGAAATTTGAAATAAGGATTCCGCAGACAATTTTGAAAACCCGTGTTCACGGTAAACTTGGATCGAGCCATCGCAGGCTTAATTAGAGCTGCATTTTAGTAGTGATACAGAACCATTCCATCTTTCTTGTCAACCATATTGTCATGCTTTGGCCGAGTCTTCTGGTTCAGTATGAACTTTTTAGGATATGAGATACACGAATTTCCAAAAGTCAGTTGCGTCTGGAGTATCCGTGTAAATTTAGCCTGGGATCCCGCTTCCAACACATCCATAGCTACAGGTCTCCTGACTCATATATTATCACAGCACGTTGTATCCTTTCTGTGGTGTGTTCGTTCATTACAGATGATCAGCTTTTTGCGCCCATCGATCAATCAGTTTGTTAAAAAAACCTCGATACCGTTAACGGACTGTCTCGCTCTTAAAGTCGCGTGTCAGTTTGCTGGGACCAAAAATCCGGGGAAGTGTTGATGTTTGATGATACCTGTTGATGTCGCATTTGGTAGCCGCCTCACCAGGGCTTTTCTACATCTACTTTATAAACTATTTTTTACTTACAAGCAACTGTGTGTTGATGAAAAATGAACCACCAACGTCCCATGAGCTTAGCGTTTAGCGCACTTCCCTCCAGTGTACACTGGCCTCTCGAGTGCAGTGTCCGCAGTAGGTTACCCATCCTGGTATGCCACGATGATATCATAGTGTCATCTCCGTTAAAGCAGTCACAGTTCTTCGAAAGCCCAAGTAACTTCAATTGTATTGTGTTCAATTGTGTCCTCGACGTCATCATGTATTGCACACTTCGAACGGACCGTGAAGGATTGCGCTGACGGCATCGTGTTGTTTTTTAACGATTGTTTGTCCACACAAGCTACTCCAAACGGGATGCGGAAGCATGCGTCTTACGCCTTCAAGATACAAATATCGCATTTCGGGATTTCCCACAATCTTGTCCGTCTCTGAAACTTCTCAATGTAGCGCATGATTGTGTTGGTTGGTTCACGTGTTTTTTCAACTGTATGGAATGTGATTGTAACATGGCAAATGAAGTCAGTCAGTGAAGTCCAACCAGGTTCATTCGTAGCATCAGAAACGAGGTGCATTGAAGTTAAGGGGTCGTGTGTACAAGACTTCTGTTCCGCCCAGTGTAGTGCATCCAAGGACACTGTAGCTTGCGATAGTTTTATTTTTATAGTGCGGCCACAAAATTTTTCGCAACGTCATATCAGGCACTTTGTGATGGGACGAGAGGTGCCGAACTATAGCAGTCGATTCGGTTTGAGCCATATCGTGACCAATCAGGCATACATTCTTCTGGTCCTTAGCCGGCCCGTGGTACGTCCGCCCAATCGATATGATGCTTGGTTATTCTGAGTGGCTCTTCTCCGGACAAGTGTATGGGTTGCAAACTTTGTGCTGAGACACAGGGGCTTCAATTGCAATTTTGGTCAAACATCCGACTGCTTCGCTGTTAAATTGTTTTGAATTCTGACTCTATCTCACCGATAGATCGAAAAGTTTCGCAATAAGTGAATCCTACATTCTCTTTTTGTCCACAAAAAGCGCTCCACTCCTCACGTGTAGTCTTTATGAATATTTGCCGCTCTCCTCCAAGCATTTTTGGTAATTCAAAATGTTGCTGAAATTTGCGAATAAGTCTAAAGTTGGTATGGATATTTTTTGTTAGTCTGTACTGAATGGAAATCCAATTGTTAAGCTATTAATTCGAAGCAGTAGTGTTCGGTACACCTCACATCAGGCTGCAATGCAAGAACCCGATGCCGTTTTAGGTCTAACGTCCGAGTAATGTAGCTGGCACAAGCTACTATCAGTGAATTTGTAGCTAGTTAATCGGAAGGTGCTTCGACTGTTGCACAGTATGTGCTTGATGGACAATCCATCCAGCACCCAGAAATCTCCGTGTCTCTTTCATTTGTGTCGAGATGTCACCCACTGTGAGAAGTTTCATATTCCGTCGCGTGAATCAAGTGGGTTTTAACCGGTGAGTTGGCGAATTGGTGTGAACGTGGTTTGTAGAAGTGTTGTGACTTGGCTCCGCGTGACCACGTTCCTTGCTCAGCTTTAGTTCTCACAAGAGCTGACCGAAATCCCATCCCAATGGCGTTCATGTGGGCACTTCTCATCTAAACTGTCAGATTAAGTCTTCTGAGGTTTGGACACCTAGAGATACTTCGCTTTGCATTCCCTTTCAAGTATAGGACTTTTCATAATAGTGCATGGCTGTCTGGCCGTTAAGCACTTGTGTCGGTCCGGGAATTTTGTCTATCCTGGTGGTGAAATCAGTTTGTGGTATGGCTGTCGATGGCGCTATTTTTACTCTTGTCATCCGGAATGTTCAATGATGTGTTTGCTGACTGTTGACTGAAAGGTGTCTTAGGAGGGAATATCGTTACTGTAGTTCAAGAACAAGGTTCCATTTTGTTCGTACAAATGTACCTGGGCGATACCTGCCCGATGCTGTCCTCATTTTGGTCACATCACTTAAGCGAAGGTTCTAGGCTACCGTGCTTCTGGCATACGCATCTTAAAAAATCCATTCAAATAAACCATTCTAGTCCGAAGTCAGCAGTTCGCTGTGCTTTTTTGCGCTTTATTTCCCCTACAATGAGAAAACTTCACATCGCATATGTTCTTTGCTTCTGTCAGATCTGGATCCTTATCTGTTGATGATGTCCTATCGGAAATCGCTGAAGCGGAAACTTTACCCGCCCAGCTACCGATTATCGCGGACATTCGATCTATGTGTGTTCGGGCGAAACAGTTGGAGGTTCAGTTTAAACAAATGGAGAGACTACTGATCGCTGTTCCTCCTGGACAGCCCTTCCCGCCTGTCGCCATTTCAGAGGATTTGTACGAGAAGCTCCGCATGGGCACCGTGGATTGTAGTGCAGAGACTTGGAAGGCCTGCGCACAAAGTTTATTAGATGTGGAACACCCATTCCCGCTAAACTGTCCTCATTTCCAGCATGTAACCGAGATGGTAGGTTTTGACTTATCTTCTGTTATCAGTTACAACTCAGATGATCCATTTTGAGGCTGCTCATGTGACTTTACAGCTATTCGGTACAACTGACTAAACCGTGCGAATTGAAACACCATTCTATTGAAATCTCCATTGTTGCATCCAGACCTCTTCAGTCTTTCCCCTAATCTCTGTGAACTGCTGTGCATTATCAGCCGGTTTGTGTTTTCTTTCAGTTGAATATCCTCGTTCAGTTTCGGGACAGATTAACCCGTCTGTTTCTGTGGCCTCAGTCAAAAATGCACTTATTGGAGGTCCTACTACCACGTAGCGTCCGTTCAATAGAAATGCTCCTAGAACTGGATAATGCTCGTTCCTCAGATTCATCATGGAGCACCTACACAAAGCGTGGCTCTCGCAGTGCATCGCTAAACGCGACCACATATTGGACATTATCTAAGGAAAACGCTCGCGTAAGTTGTCGATTCAGTAACTTTCCTTGCATGCTTTCGTACGTTTTTTCTCCCTCTGAAAACTTCACTCGGCCTTTCCCTTAACCTACAGTCATTTGCAGAAGCCGACGTGACCTGTTCCAATGCTTCTCAGTTGTACCGATCAGTCTACTCTGCCTTCATCGATTCGGAATTAAACTTAATGCATCATTTGCGATGTTCCAACGCTTTCAAATCCAAATCCAAAGCACAAAATTCAGTCACTTACTGCATCTGCAGGAAGACTGGGTTTTCCGGTTTCATGGTTCAGTGCGAGCTGTGTAGAGACTGGTTCCATGGACGTTGTGTTCTCCCTCCAAATATGAAGGTCAGTAGAATGAGACAGTACGATTCCATTCGTATTGGATTTCTCAGTCCATTATTTTCCACAGTTCCCCGTCGGAACTAGCGTTATTGTTATTGTCGTAGCCTGTTCCTTGTGTTTGGTGTAAGCGTTTAAAAATTCCGCACATCAGGCGACCTTCTTTGTTGGTTGATAAAGCCATGATTAGTAGAACTATTCGCCTCATCGTCCAGAGCTTTTTTTCTAGTGTTCCTGGGTCACAAACACCTCGCTCCGGTTGGAAACAAAAGATATACTGTTTCCTCAGTGGCATTATTGCGTGATAAAGGTGATATTCTCTCCCCTCATGATTTTTCCAAGAAAGATCGCACACCCAATCAAAGCTAACTAGCAGGACTTGTGAAATCTTTTGGGGGTAGTAGATCGTACGTTGTGCCGTGTCTGGAGAGCAACATAATTGTGAACTCCGATGAAAAGTGTCTACAAAAGTATTGTTTTTTGTCTGTTTTCTGGGGGGCCGCACAATGGCTGACATTTCTTTTGTTAATACTCCAGAAGTATATTCTGTCTCAAGGACGGTCTTTCTTCGGATCACCTCAGGTTCTTTATTGTCGGAATCCTTCACAGAAACTTCCAAATCTCAAATTACCAACAAACATGTGTTTAAGAGTTAATTTTTGCAACAGTTTCTTGATTTTGATCATCCGTCCTGCTTTCTCCTACAGTTTAATACGTACTTTTTTTGTGATGTATTAAAACCCGTTGGTTGCTCAAATCTTTTCGTGACCTGACCCGACTTGGTTTGTGTTATGTCTCGTGGGACAACAAAGGAGCTTCCCTTCAAAGATACTTACTTCAGTGGAGCTCCGGCAGCAGCTGCTCGACCTAGTAGCGATATATGTTCATCTCCATATTCATATTCATCTCCATATACGGCGGTTCTGCACTATGCAGTGGTCGCTCGACACTCACCAGTTGTCACTATAGTAGGTGGAGATCCTCTCGATAATGTTGACCGTATGAGTGTGCCCTCAGAACCAATAGACGCTTATGGTTGGCTCATGGTTTCGTTAGTTCCTGTGTATGGATCAGCTTGAAACTAATCTAACCAAAAGTCGTTGCAATACTGTTACATGGATATGCTCGTATGTTCCTTATGGTGACGATATCCATGCAAATCTTTGAGAAACTTCACAATGATGTTTCAGTGAAATTATAACGACTTGCAGTCATACTCGTAAGTGAGTTCATGGTACCGTTCATGGTGAAGTAGTTTGGGATGTTTGGCAGTGGACCGTCTTTTTGAGGCGGTCTTTACCGGCCTGAGTACATCAGTTTGTTGTTATCAGTGATTGCGCCATGTGTGGTAATATTTTCTCACGTATTCGTTATAGGTTCTATTCCCTCCCAAGAGAGGCCACTTTCCAGCCAATACTTCGTGGCTAGTTCTTCGTGGGGAACCTTCCAACCTTATGAAAAAGCAGCTAGTTAGAGCGTTACCCTCAGGTTGCCCCCCTAAATGGTTAGTGCCATCCTTGGCCTCATTCTGCTCGATCGCTCGACCGGAGTTCAGTGAATTCTATTGAACTCATCATCACCATCATCATCGACAGCACGACATCAGTGTTCAACACTGATGTTTCACTGCTTCACTATTGAACTACCCATCTCCATGCAAGATTGCTCCAGATAACAGAAGCAGGCTGGTGTTGAAGTCGTTGTACATGCCATGTTTGCAAATCTACATGACCTTTGACTGTCTGTGACATTTAGTTCGGTTGAAGTGAAAGTTGTTTTCATTACATTAAGAAAGGACGTCAAGAACACCCACGGATTACTGATCCAAGTCCACGACGGCGGCCTGTTCTATGGGCGTCCTTAAACACAACCAGGTCTGTTGGACCGAGATTGTTTATACTTGAGGGAAGGTGGCAAAATTGTATTAATCTGAGTGCTGATCAAATCAGAGTCACAAAAATCTTTTTTTAACAGAGAGATCCAATCAGGATTCAAGAGCAAACACAGATATCATGGTTATTTCTCACCAGAGAGCCTTTGTAGAGGGCTGTAGCGATTCTGAATTATCCTGGCTCGTGGTTACTAGGGCCAAGAACCATACCATGCACGTTCGAGTTTTCACGTAGATCGCTGGGATAAATGTTTCTATCCAAAAACCGCTACGCTGTCGTGGCATCACCCAGAGCCCCGTTGTTTCATGTGCAATAACTGTCACACGGTACAGAGCATGGGGGGTTGTGTGGTGAATTCGCTAGAACACAACAGGTAGAAATACTGTTTACTTCGCGGGACTGCATTGCCCGATTACTTTCAAGTCCTCAGCACGCTAGTTTCATAACCTCACTACGTGTCTCAGTGACTTGGATTTGGAATCCGAGGGTCTACCCGTTGTTCCACAGCTACCAAATCTCCTTGTTAGCTTCAGCAATTATGCTTCTGTTCATAGTTAGTGTTACGTTCACATGGTTTCCCGTCAATTTGACGCCAGCTTGCTTACTAAATTGTCTTTGTTTTTGAGAGCAGTGTTGAACACTGCTGCCTCCAGGCCTCTTCATTATGGGGAGGCGCATTCAGGAGATGTCCTGGTAGGAATTTGGTGTTACTGGGTCTCTGTCCAGTAGAATACGTCTACACACTGAACATCACGTCCGTGGTAGCAACCGTCTGACAAGTAACGGGTTCCACTACTTCTTGTAATTCTCGTAAACCTTTCCATCAGGAATCGGAAACAGACCGCCTGCGCTACATGTGCCCCAGATGTGAACGGTCCATGCGTCCCGACTTGACGCATGTGCATGCGTTATTGGACGATTTGGTACGTATTCTGCCCATTGAGGCAACTACACAACCCACTCCCACATCGGCTTCTACTCGGCGTCCATTTTGTCTCCCTCGATTACCGGAGTTCGTCGCACTACAAATGCTGTGTGAACGGGCTGTTTCATTTGTGCGCCGCTTGCGCAATGTAATACAGGTAAGTCCTGGTGTGTTTCACACGTCTGCTTTCTTGTGACTATTCTGGTGAGGTGCTGCGCTGACGAGTATGCATCACAAGCCAGTAGTCTTCGCTACGTATAACGGTAGTTCTCCGGTATTCGACAGAAAAATAACCAAGCATCAAGTAAAACGAGCGAAGCCGTGGGTCTACTGGATAAGATACCTCATGGTGCACTTATGTGATGCTTGGCCAAAAACACGAAACAAGAAAGTGTCTAAACACTAATTTTACTGACTGGAGTGGTGACAGATCTGTTACGCGACAAGCTGTGAAGACTCATGATTGCTCACTTGTGTAAGCGAAAAAATGTGCTTTGACTGTTGAACTGGACACCGGAACGCAAAACATTTCTGTTGCTCAGTCGGATTTGCAGTTGCCAGCTGAACTCTAGGGGAAAATATTACAGGGGAAACATTTTACCTCCTCTGGGTGGTTTCACTTCAATTCGCGGCGCTTCTGGAAGCTTGTCCATGGGGGAGCTCCTTGAATGTGGGTGTAGTCGTTTGTTTTCTTCGCCGGACTTTGGGTGTTAAAACGCGGTTAGAGTTCTGTTTCCCACGGAAGTGAGTGTTTTTCAGCGAGCTATCTAATATCTTTATTGTTTATTTTTTCTTGATATAGTACCAAACAGGAGCTCCTGGGCACACAACTATTTAGCGTCCTCATTGGCTTTTCTAGTTCCTTGTCTACCTGTCAAATAAAGACGGTAGAGTTTACAATTTATATAAGGCAGTTAGGGTATTCGTATCTAAACAATATGACTGAACTTAGCAAACCTTTTCAAGCGTAAGCTTTGTCCCTGGAACGTGTAAAACTCTGCTGCACTTAGTCTGTATGCGCATGTTTTAGAATCGAAATACAAATAGTAACATCTTCCGAAGGCTCCTTTCGTAGTGCGGCGGGTAAGTTAACTGCGAAACACGTGGTTTGAGACAGCTTCACCCAGTTTCCGCCACCCTCAGCGCCAAATGTCCGTAACCTTGCCCCTTAGAAGCGCATACATAAGACATCGTTTCGAATTAGATTGATGTATGACTCGGCTCGATGGACTTCGATATATTTTTCTCTTAGCCATGACTCCACCTATCTGGTGTTTAAGTGGTTAAAATGCGGTGACAGTTCACTCCTGGGTTTGCCGTTCTGGGAGCTACTTTCCGAATTTTCACCAACTTTCATTCAACCCAAACGAAAAGTCGTGCTAAACAGTGGTTGCAGAGGGGATTTCTCTCACGTGTATCACCTCTGTGTGCGATAAGAACCACTCTGTTAACCGTGTCAACTTTTCACTCCAACAGTAATTATTTATGAATATACACTCATTTGCAAACTAAGTTGGCTTTTCGAGAGACTCACCTGGAAGCCTGCCTGGAAACATCACAAACGAGAGATTCAGCTGGGTTCCAGGTGAGTCTCTCGAAAAACCAAATTGGTTTGCAAGTGAGTGCATATTCGCTAATTTCGTGTAATTTGGTTTCAAGTAGAATATAAGGTTGACGGAAACTCGGGGACTGCGCCTACCTGATGAGCCCCAAGAAGGACGAAACCGGTTGTGGGCTGTCGACGGATTTTCAGCAACCATATGAGTGATGCATTACAAGTAATCATTTGTGTTCATCGATTCTCCACATTTCTCCCAGTGTCTTGCATTAATGACACGTTTGAGGTGTCTCAAATTTGTGGCTCAGTGAGAGTGTAGTTAATTTGTGGTCCTCTTCGCATTCGCGTTTTTTACCGTATATTTTGCGTGATTTTCATACAAAACGATTTCAGTGTACGCAGTATATAAAGCAATCGCGTTCAATGCGTAGCTGCCTACTTTTTCATTTCGTCCGACAGCTAGAATGATTCCACATCGACTCGACCATCGTCTTTAGTGCCTTTCCATGCCCGTCTTGGTCTCCGGTTTTTCAGAGACCTAAACTCTAGCAACTGGGAATCAGTGTACCCTTTTCTCATTGCTTGTAGCTAATGAACTGAACCGACTGAACTAAATAACCAATCAAGTGCGACATTATACTCAATAGCCATCGAACTCGTCGGTTCACTGGTACTAGTCATATGAGCAGTGCGTTAGCAACAGAAAAGCCTCACTGCTCCAAATGTAATTGTGATACAATAACCTAAATTCCGATTCTTTCGCATGGTCGTGTGTGGAATTAGCTACCCCACACTTTCCTTCTGTACGGCCCTCGAAGCTGTTTCAAATCCCCGGTCTTACCAACCTGGTAACTTGCATACTTGGCTTGAAGAAGCTAGTATTTCGGCAATAAAACCTCCCTCAGTATTAAACCCACCGATTGTTTCCCATACTCTATTTAAAACGTGGTCTCGAAGGTAGTTTATCTTCCTTCCTTATTTTAGTCTACACCCGAGTTGTCACAAGCCGTTTGTAAATACGAACAGTTTTCTGGTCTCAAAATGCCCTTGTTTGGTTTCGTCGAAGAGGACGGTCAGCTCACCAAGTTGGATGAAGCAGTATCAAGTGATACGAGCCAGTTACTGGGTCACCCGATACGGACCTATCAATCGGCAACAAAGGCGACCGGTTCCAGGGATAGTCAACCTCGCCGTCTGTTGTCTGGCTTGACACGGCCAGCCCGAACAACAGTTGATTCGAATGCGTTAGCTGAGGAATCTGAGACGCCATCAAGTGCTGGGGTCATTTCACCTGAACGCGTAAGTGTGTTGTGTTTTGTGTACGTGTTGCCTTCCCATCCAGTCTTCGCTTGGTACCATCATCCACTCTTCGTTTTCCTCAGTGTTGGAAAGCTGCTTCTCACAAGGAATCTGCCGGCAACCTCACCAGCGAAGTGGCCGCTATGACGGCTGGATACATGGCTTCAAGGTCGCGTACGGACTCTCAAGGCCCGGTTAGCCAAAAGACAATCTGTTCGCTGCAGACGCAGGCTGAACGCCGAATGCTCATGGAGGGTCCAAGTTCACTGCAGAAGGCCGGCCCTCGATCGAATGGTATGTTTTTTAAACATCATTTGGTCCTTTTCACAAAGTAACCTTTTATCTGCAAGTGCAACGGTTTTAGGAAAAGTTGATTTGCTCCATTGTCTGATGTTGTGTATATATTTTCCCATGATTCTTTATTCACTGAACACTATTGCATCTGTTACCATGCGGGAGCACCAGTAAGTTTGTCATCATATTCTCTTCAGCCCTAGGTGATCCGACTTTGGTACCTCGTACTTACGATCGTCGTTCTCCATCTACAAGTTTGGTCACTCCCAAAGTACGTCCATCTGCTACTGACCAGGCAAAATACTTCTTTTGTCCACTCGCACCGGAAACACGTCAAATTCTAGAGAATCTAATGATGGAAGCTAGTCTTCTGGAAGTGAGTATACCACAAACTCGCTGGCTGTGGCAACTTCACCTGGCATCCGATCCGGAGACGCCAATTGGGGCAACACGACCTTACGTGGCTAGAAGAGATGAACTTCGCTGGAAACGACGTCGATTTCGACACCAAAGGCTCATTAGACCGCCTTTCATCTCCGCTCGTCAGGAGCGGCGGAAACGCCCACAACCTCCAGCCGACGATACTACGCTTCAATCTGGTGAAGGAAGCAGCAATTCAGCAGATAGTGAATGTTCTGCCACTTCCAGTCCGGCAACCATTCGTGAGGGAAAACACATGCGTACCAAAGATGGGGTTACCTCGGAACGGAGTCGGAGTTCATCTGTGTCGAGTTTGAGTGCTGACCAGTCTACCAAACGATCAGCTAAACCAAGAGTAAGCGGTTTTTCATGCAGTTTACCTATATAACATTCACGAGGCCACACTTCCGCCTCACCTATTCATACATCTATTTGTCCATCACCATTCCCACGCCTCTCGATGTCCAATGTATCGTCAACCTACTTGTAATTAGTCGAACCAATTAGCTGAATTGTTGCATTCTTATTTGTATTCCGTCTCGCCATATGTTTGCCCATTATTCATGACGTCATTTCCCATCTTCTTCCACCTTACTTCATTTGAATCAGCGGTTTTAGGATGAGTTAGACTGGTTTGTTTGACAATGAAGTGTTTTCGGTTGTTTGAACGACGGAATGCTAGTTTCCGGGTGGAATTTCAGTGTTACGATGGACTTCAATCTGAAATGGGTTTAACGCTTCGGTGCAAAAAGGCGAAGTCTTCAGACTTATGGCTACTATAGGAATATCACTTTTCAGTGGAACGCTCGAGTACATACCGCACATCTATCTATGTCCTCCCCGTTGTCTATTCTAGCGTCCTTCCAGGCTTTTCTTCAGGGCCGTTCTCTCGTGGTCGTTGTCTTGTTCGCTGAGTTGGGCAATTCGATTGCAAACGTTTCATCACCAATCGAGGTGACATCATCAGTGCGTTATTCTGGAGCGTAGTAGCGCGTAGCGGTGGGTTGGTGGTTGGGCACCACCGGTGAGCAAGCCAACAACCACCATCTATTCATCACCAATCGAGGTGACATCATCAGTGCGTTATTCTGGAGCGTAGTAGTGCGTAGCGGTGGTTTGGTGGTTGGCACAACCAATGTTTGCAATCAAATTGCCCAGCTCAGCGAACAAGCCAACGACCACCATCTACGCTACCTGAGCTACCGACATTTTCCTCCATAGAAATGGCCGTTCTATTTTCTAAGGCGCCACGTAATAGTCTGTGGCTACTGGTCGAACTCTACATATAGCAAGCCAATACAACTTAATTGAATATGTACGCAAATAAGTCCCCAGACAGCCTATTTGCTGCCCATTGTGTGGAGAAATGTCATTGAACTCGAGGAACTCCATTGAGCCTCTGGCTCCAGCTATTTAACCATCCACATGAACTCACATAAACGGAATCTACTAGATTAGTTTGTGGTTAGTGGGTAGGCTCACGTTCACATGCCCTTGGCTGTATAAGACAAAATCATTCTCTGGATGGGAAGCTCCAAAAGTCTTTTGCAGACACTAAGCACCAGCCAGACATCAGCCTGTCAATTGGAGGTGGCTCAATAGTGCTGAATGAACAGAGTTACAGAATATGGGAGTCTACATCTACAATGTATTATCATGGCCTGGTGGCGATATTGGATCAGCAAAGCCGAATTAGTTTTCAGAAGAGAAAACTCGATCACAACAGACGAACTGGTCCCACCCGATAAGGTAGTCGGGTTATACCATATGCTCTGGTTGTCAGGGAGACATCTGCTTCTTTTTTCTCAGCCCGACGACCTGAGGAAGCCAGTACTCGTAACTTTATTCCCATTACCTGATACAGTTTCCTTGTATGTCGATGGAACTACCCTGCTGTGCGGTTTCCATCGCTTCTGCATCAAAACTATCGTCTAAAATGCATCGCTTTTCCTGTCCGTACTTCATTGTAGTTGTAGAACGATTAAATATTCACAGATCTTCATGCCCTTCACTTGCTATTCTTCATTCCTATCCTTGGTAAATGAAACTATAGCAACTGTAACCATGTCTTTGGTGAACGGTTTGGGTCTACCGATGTACCCATTCGATGTGGTCTTCATTTTAAAAACCACATCAACGAAACGTCACTGTTGAACACTGATATGACACTATTGACGATAATGATTTTCATAAACAAGGTACAGCGCCTGCATATTTGTTCTAATAGATTTCAGCTCTCCAACTTCAGGTCTTGGCTGTCATTTGTCTTTTGATATTTCGGATGTGCTCACGGAACACTGTGCAATGTCTACACTAGGACACTTATAACGCACGTCTGATATTTATCTCAACTACAGACGTTTCGCCGGAATTTATCCAGTGGTATTTCCGAAAACCAAGAAAATCCCTCGTCCAGACTATCACAAACCGTCCACCGGAGACTACTCAACCGCGTAACTCGTGTCGGCTCCGCTCCTTCACGATCCCGTTTGAGCAAGCAAGTGGGAGGTAGCTCCCGCTATATGTACGGATCGACGACCTATCGGCGGCGTTTACCTGTCACTAACAAACAGCCTGGAAAAACGTCAAAGTGGGTTTTGCTTCTCCCCCACTCATGCATCTTTAACATGTTTTGCTCACTCATTTTTCAAATTAAGGGTAGTTACATGACAAAATCATTCACCATTCATGTTTCCGATCACCAAGCATTTCCATAACATATCGCACTGCTGATTTATCTGTCATTCTGAAATTTTCGGGTGTCTCTGTTTCCAAAAACTTGGTAAGTTTGCTACATCATTTGACGCTCAGCGATTATTTTCTGTCTTCCCTTTAACAGAGAATCTAATCCTTTTTCACCCTCTCGACCAAATCTGAAAGTCCAGAGGAATCGGCCTACTCACCGCTCTGTGACTACCCAACATTCTCCGAACAGAGGCCGACCGTCCGTAGATGTCCCGGTAAGATTGCTTCCTATCATAGTCTTACCTTACCGGCTTGCTACCCATATCAGCAATCGAATTAGCTTCTCGTTGCATCTCGTGCCGGTTCGTTTTTCTGATTCGTGACCCATAGGTTGGCTCATCTCACAGCGATTCTTCAAGTATTTACTGAATATCTCAACTATTTGGAATGAGTAAACGGACTAATAAGTACAAACTGGACAGTTTTTTGGCCGCATTGTCATGAGTAAACGGACTAATAAGTACAAAACTGGACAGTTTTTTGGCCGCATTGTCATCATGCCATTCAATGCCACATGGGTGGTGCCTCTGGGGGACCACTGCGAGGAGCTCGGCGTATCTCCGTATTATCTTGCTTCACGCTTCTCAAACTACTGATGCATCCCAAGTAGCTTGAAATAACACTCTCAGGTTGGGCAGTTTGCTCATGCTGGAGACCGCTCCCCGCGTGCCACGGCGGACGGCCAGACACTGCGTAAACAGCCACAACCTTCGATGCGTGACCGCCCACGTTACTCGCACTATCCTATATGAACGGAACTGTAGTATCTGGACCGCACTAAGGACTTGTAAGCCCTCAGGATACTTTGAGGAATTTGATCTCGCAAGTTGAGTCCATTTAGGCGTAAATGTCGGGAGGTATTGTGTAAGGTTGTTTTACCTCAATCAGCGGCCATCAACAGAGCGCAAATGGGGAACCTACTTGGTGAATCGGTACGAGTTAATCAGAAAAGAACCACGCAGGCGAACTACACTCATTTGCACACCAATGCGATTCCAATGGGAGACTGGAATCTCAGTTAAATCTCCTGTTTGTGATATTCTTATGCTGGATTTGATGCACAAAGGTCACTTCATGTTTCATTACATCATCGTCATCACTGTCAACTGTAAGAACCGCGTACTTGTCGTACAGTGGTTGTAGCTGCCACAGTTTCCTTCACCATTTGGGGAAGTGGGGTAAGTAGCTGCGCATTGGAAGCTGATAAATTAATGCATAACTATAGCATTAGGTAGACTTTTAAGTGGGGGGATTGGGAAGGGAGGTATGCATTGAAGGCAACAGCTTGGATGCATGAGCGCTATTGAGGGCGCGGCTGGGCCATGTCTTTTTATACTTCACATCATTGACGTGGCCCGTCTCGGGGTCCCCCATTCAGGACGGCGATACTGACCAGCGCAGCCGAGTTTGTTGGTAATGGCTTTTATACTTCACTGCCAAGTAATTGGTTGACTGCCTCTGGCTCGTTTCCACTCTTCACGTGGTTGCGCGAAAAGAACCTTTCGAGGAAGTCGGTCGACTGGCATACGCAGCACGCAGCCAAGCCAGCGCAACCTATGCAGTGTGATCAGTTCATCTATTGGGGGTGAGTTATTTCTTCCCAATGCCATTCGAAGTACTTCAGCTTTACTGATCCGGTGTTTCCACCAGACTCAGGTAATTCTCCGAAGACATCGATGATCAAATACTGAAGGTCTTTTGACATTCTCAGCGCGACGACCAGGTTTCTAGTCCGTATAGTAGTATGGAACGCACCGAAGCATTGTAAACTCGACCCTCGACGGATAAGGTGATGTCATGCTCACGCCACTGGTGACGCAGGTTCACAAAAGCTGCTCTGGCCTTTCCAATCCGGATGGAAATATCGTCTTTCGTGAGACCACCGGGACTGATACAGCTGCCCAGGTAAACAAATTTGTCTTCTACCTCAATCGATTCATCCGCAAGCATGAGGCTAGAGTTCGAGCCCACCCAGTCTTGCAGCAGCACTTTACACTTTGCAGGTGTGTAACGCATGCCAAACCGTGACGCGGAACTATTTAGATTATTTAATATTGTTATTGCATTACCATTCGTACAGTTTGGTTCAAATCGAACATACGGTTGACGGAAACTTGGGGACTACCTACCTGGTGGGTCCTAAAGGGGGCGGAACGTTCGTGGGGTGTCGAAGAGTTTTGAAAAACCCTATGATTAGTTGTTGTTCAAGAAAACCATATAGAGCCTCCATCTGAGAAGTGGTCCCTCGAAGGGCCAGATGAATGACAACATATCTTGTCTCTGTACAAGATGATACCATTGTTCGACCACTCGTTGCGATTGGTATAGTGCTTTGCTACTTACCGGGAGGACGTGGTTCCGATTTCCATCGAGATTCGTGAGATATGCACTGCCAGGATAGAACGACCCTACCGTCTCCACTCGCTTTTCAGCATAGACTGATTTTGATTGCAGAGTCAGACCTGAATTAGGAAATGCTTTAATGCGCTCCCATTTACGCGTCAATTCTGCGCATCTTCTATCACACATCCACGGTTCAGCATTCCTTCCCCACACTAATTTTGCTCTCAAAAGTGGGTGATTCTGACTTTTTTCAACTTCATCTCCTGTCGCTTACGGAACAGCGATCAACCGGTCGATCGTCTTGTAGCTTCCAATCAAAGATTTGTGATAGGTTACTACTAGGCCGTCTCCACTAGGCCAATGAAGGCCACTCAGTTATTTTTTGACCTGTCAGTTTCGTTTTCCAATAAGATATTGCAACCAAACTCGGTAGAATGGAAAGTAGAACGTCTATTGAACGATAGCCTTCCTAACAAACGGTTTTATCAGTGTTCAGTTAGTGCTTCCTCATTACAAGTTTGTCGCCTGAAATTCTAGCCGATGTGACTTCCTGAAAACGGATGTAAAAAGGGATCGAAAATTCCTTCATTCTGGTAGCTTTGTTTCGACCTTTCTTAGGGTTCGTAAACTAAATTGTGTTAATCCTATCACTCATCCTATCTGTTCTCATATCGTTCTGTCTTGTTTCTAACAGGAAGCCCGGACATCGTCTTCTCACAGCGTCTCACACAAATCTCACGCTCAGAAGCGGAGAGTAGCACCATTTAATTCGAACAATTCAAGCCGTCGACTAAAGGGACGCCGCATTGCTGAGCCTGGTGATGTCCCGAAAAAACGGAATGCTTCAAGCGCAGACGAAGATGAATGTGCCGCTGCTGTTTGCCAAAACCCACGTGGTGGCACGGTCGAATGGATTGCTTGCGATAGTTGTGAACGTTGGTTCCACCAACTGTGTGTTGGTATTCGCCACAAAAGCCAAGTATGTATTTGATATAGCTAAAGTCGGTCTTCTTTACAACGGTCTAATCGAAGCTGTGAAAATCATGAGGGTAAGAAAAAGCAGGAGCACAGAGCAGTCCGAATTCAGTGTTATCTTGTCACACATACACTCATTTTCAAGGTTAGGACAACGTCGCCGAAATAGAGGTGGTCGCCCAAACAAATGGAATACAAGGTATGAAAGGGAGATTTAAAAAAATTTGATGTCCTGGAGAAATGGTCGGAGCGATCGACGGTCTAGGAATTGGGATTCAATTGTCTAATAAAGGTTCAAGACTACCGTTAAGCTCCAAGGCTAATTCTCTTTACAGTGCCAGGTGCCCCCATCCCAGAGAAGCATTCAGGGTTCTAGACTGCTACCTAGCTGAAGTTATAGCAATTCACTCATACAAGCATAATCTACTCAAACAATTACAGTTCAGGGCCAGCCGTGGTAAGGCAGGTAGTGCTGGTGTGATTTATGCCCACATCCCAATCCCAATAACCAAGCCAACCTTGAATGGGACGCTTTATCGTAGTGCTGATTCCATCTATGTGTGTATGTGTTCGCTTGACTGTACGCCTATCAGTTGCTCTGTCTTTACCTCGCGTGTCAGCAGCTGGCGAGATAATGTGAAACAGTTGAATTCAATCATGCCTTCTTTTTCTCTCATGAGGATAGGTGGACGTAATTTTTAGTCGAACTAAGGTAATTCAGTTTGCCAGTAGGTAGATCGCTGTGTGGTAGATAGACTCTCAACTGTTAAATGGCTTAGAGCTGATTCTGTGGTGCCCATCTGTCTAAGGGCATTATTCTGCTGCTGTTGGTGATGGGTCATGGAGTTTCTACAAAAGTTAGATGAATTTTTTTTCTTCGAGACGAGACCGGTTTTGTCTGCAGAATTGTTCATGTTACAGCACCAGTATGCTATGCCATCTTTGTCAGTTGAAACCGGACGCCATTTATTCAGTTTATGTTGTGGAAAACTTGAGGAACATATATAAGAAAGCAGATGCTTCAACCAGACGGCCGCACCGCGATGACAGTTGCACGTTTTTGATATTGGTCCGCGCATGGCAGTCATCGCACATCATTGCCGTTGTCCTTATCCCCAAGAAAAGGGAGTAGTGATCCATTAACACCGAAACTTTAGAAACGGATCTCAACATATAGCAGTGACAACGCCGAATACTATTGTTTCTGTGTGCCTGCAGTCACCAAATTTGCAAGCGTGCTACTGAAAAATCATGTATTCATGCATCAACATGTTGAATATGTATCACGCGTTCCCATTATTCAGTATTCTTTCATGCTAGTTAACCTGGCTCGCTACATTCAACAGCTTGTTATTGTCCTTGTCAAAATGCACCGACTTTTATGCTCTACAGTAGTGCTAGGAAAATGATTCTGTAGTCTCAATTAAACCTCAACGAGTTCAGATCTATCCCTACTTTCCTGTTTACTTCATACTCTACTCTACAATAAAGATTAACTTTGGAGGTTCGTTGAATAAAGTTGGAAGGTTACCTTCGGAACCTTCCATCTGCCTTTTTTGTGAGTGGACAAAATGCTACTTTTTAGGCTCCAGAAGTACTGCATATAGGATGCCGAATTTGTCATAGGTGGGCGATTTTCGAAGCGAAAACCCCCAATCATATTTCCTCTTTGAAGTGGAGAGTGTTCCATTTCGACCGGATACCACCAGATGTCTTCCAGTTCTCTTGCTTTTCGGTTCAGTTTTGCCAATCCAGTCGCTCATTCACCCCACTTTCCATAGGTCCCAAAGGAGTATGCTTGTGCTCGGTGCCTCCAACGTTATCAAGCACGTTTAGCACGTATAAGATACAAACAGCGTGCCCGTCTGGGTCGTCCTCACGTAACAGACCGATCATCTGTGGAAGAACATCATACAGCATCCATGCGAATGCGCCAATTTCCCAGGCGTCGCTCACTTTTGGAAAGTTGTTCTATCCAGCGTCCGATTGGTTGGAATTCTTCTAGTCGTCCGGTTGGCTTTACCTCTTCTGAGAATGCTTTCCACGAAGGTAATGTCACATCTACCAATTCCGCTGCTACTGCTGTCGAAGCCAGTTCCGAAGGGGCCAGCATGGAAACTGATGGCGTTCAGATTGATCCTTGGGCCGACTACTCTCCAGACTCGGACACAGAATTGACGGCTCACGGCAGTTCGGTTTCGGAACACAACGTGGAAGATGCTGTCCAGCCATTTTCCTTCCAGACGGAGCAGTATGTACGTGCGTCCGAAGTTCAAGGTGAGACGCGATGAAATGTCTTTCAGGCGATAGCGTTCGTGTCCACTGTCATGTAATTTTTGGCTAAATATACCGTCCAGTCTCTAGAAAATGTATCTGGTGAGCAATTCCCCTGGAGTTGTTTTTTTGTTGCAGTATTGTTTCTATCCACTGGCTTTCCATAACTTCTCTATTGTGACCGGTGACAATTCATGTCAGTCGCAAGCAACACGTGGGTCGTACCCCTGAACTGCAGTCGCCCCTCGAACGCAACCGAACTCGTTTGTTTTTTCGGAGGCCTTAATAGGAAGGTGGTGCGCATACCCTTGAGACGGCCAAAAGCCGCTCTCCTTGGATGACGCTTTTTGGGCAGTACTTTCACCACTTTCTCTGTAAAGCTTAGGTAGAAAGCAACGAGTTTAAAGGAAAGTGTATTATGGAGTGGCCCAAGTGGTTAGAACGCGAATTTACTGACCGGAAGGTCCGTGGTTCGAACCCGACGTCTGCCTCTCGACTTGGGCAACCTGGCAATATCCCAGCCCTCGTGCTTCCTTCGGATGGCATGGCAGCTAGGCACCGGAAGGGTGCTACAACTGAGCGTTTTTTAGTATTATGGAGTTGTTCTATTTTCTGAAAGGTTTTGCCAGCATGAAGAGCGAGTGACCGAAACACAATCAAGTATCCTCGGTTATTTTGTTAAAGAATTTGGCGATCCTTGCGTCCGACCTTTGTGACTAAGACGAAATATTCAGGCGACGAGAAAATAAAAAATCTACAATACTGTCAGCATAAATTTGCTCGGTTGGTCATGGTTTCTAGAACAAGATGCTTTTCACTTTCCATCCTAGCAGAGTTCTTTAGCTCCTCGGTACCATCGAATATCTTGCTCCGTTAGGCGCACAGCTCATCACTGAGTATTCTAAAGCACTTACAACTGCTCCTACTTCAAGACTCACGTCTTGTGGAACTAGCCATGAACAATTTGTCTTCCATCCGTAGCGCTGCATGCACTGTGTGCGGTATCCTACCAACTACTTTAGGGGAAGCTGTGCCTTTCAGGACAATCCCATATAGCGCTGATGGTTACTGTGTTCCAAGTCCGGTTGATTGTAACAGTATGTCCACTACGTCTTAGTTCAGATCCTTGGTCGTAGAACGTGTACTTGAAATGCGCGCGGTATTCCATCAAAGAAACACTGATCATACTTTGGCAACAGCTCATCAGTATTCTAAAGCACTTACAACTGCTCCTACTTCAAGACTCACGTCTTGTGGAACTAGCCATGAACAATTTGTCTTCCATCCGTAGCGCTGCATGCACTGTGTGCGGTATCCTACCAACTACTTTAGGGGAAGCTGTGCCTTTCAGGACAATCCCATATAGCGCTGATGGTTACTGTGTTCCAAGTCCGGTTGATTGTAACAGTATGTCCACTACGTCTTAGTTCAGATCCTTGGTCGTAGAACGTGTACTTGAAATGCGCGCGGTATTCCATCAAAGAAACACTGATCATACTTTGGCACCCATTGTGGTGTCATTTCGATGAGATGGATGATTCCTGTCCTCAACTGTTGCACTCTAGAAGTCGATATCAAGTTTGCCCATAGCATTAATTCAGTGACAATACCTGCACGGTTTTTTTAATGGGTACCCGTGAAGTCCTCTTCGGAGGGTTCCTGTATGGAAGGGATTACGCTATTTCAGCACGATCGCTATTTTTCCTGGTCAGTAAATGATAATCTGGTGCTTGCTGGCCTCACATAACCACCCTTTGAAAACTACTGTATTGTGTGTTGCAATTAGTCGCTTTGAAATCTGTCGCTTTCTTCACTTTGATTAACCTAAACGTGTTCTTTGTTCTGCTCAGTATTTTCCTCTACCAGTTTTTCATTTTCAACTTTGTGATTCAATTCGCTAGCATCGCGCTCCACGATCCAGCCATTCACAGCAATTTCCACCCCAAATATCTTGAAAAACCAATCAAATCAACCAAGACTTTCGTAGCTTTTACCGTTTTGGTTGAGGTTTCAGCGCATATTTTCTACTAACATATGAGTAATGCATTTTAGCGCACCATTTGAATCCCATTGGAGTGCTGCGTACAAGTAAACTGCCTAACGTTCGCCATTTTAGTTACCCCGACCACCCAACGCACGCATTGCGTTTGTTTGTGTAACTCACTTTACCGCCCGAACTGCGCATGAGGAACAAGTTTGATTATTCTGCTGATTTCTGCCTCCAGTATGGACTTTCTGAATGCGCATGTACATGTCACTTCACCGGTTCTTAACTTTCTAGCCAGTGTGATCGTTCACGAAATTGTTTCCTTATATGTTAACAAACTCTGTTTTCCCTCTTTCGAAAATCGACTTTAGCCCCTTGTCATCTTGATTCAAAGAATCCCACAGAAATTCTCCTGGAAGCTATCGAGGTGGTCAATGCTTCTGGAGGCTCGGTCGCTCCCGCATCTAGTGACATATTTTCGGGACCGACCGCATAATTTGTTGTTCGGTCGACGATACAACGCGTTTTGTACAGTTCCGTTGTGACTGCCATTACAAATGCTAGTACTACTACAAATGAAAAGAAGCTGGCTTATCTGTATATTACATCCGTTTAGCCCCTTTCTTGTGTACACATGTTCTCTCCCTGAACACTGTGGTTATTACAGTGTTGTGGAGTGAACTGTCATCCTGTTTTTTCCTATTATTTTACAACTCTGGATTCGATAATATGTACGGACATCTCTTCGGTATTAATACTTCGCAGTCTGTTACATACCACCTTTTAACTTCCTAAAAGTTGAGTTTTTAATCGCTCGAAAGTACGTCACTGGATCGATTCTGTTGGGCTTGCTCGGGGGAAAGCTTTGGTGGACTACTAATTTGCTCTGAGTAGGCGTTCTGGATAAATATTCAAGCAGCTTACGGGTTGAAACTATAGGTGGTTTCGCACTTTGTAGAATTCGTGCTCACGTCACTGTCGTTTGAAAAGTGGTCCTCCTGTCCTGGTGCGACCATTCTGGTGAGTTCATTCAAAATGGGGGGAACATTAGTAGTAGCTCATTGGTAGTTCATATCCTTGTCCGTGCTGTGAGTCCAGCGTGCACTGGCGAAGTAGTGACAACACGCTCGCTTCGCTTATCAGATGTCCGAATTTTAAAACTCCGGCGCGGCCAAAGACACGCACTGCTGATGAGCCCTAATAAGAGTGAAACTCGAGTCTTTGAGTATAGACTCACTAGAATGATTGCACCTGTACGGGTGAACGACTGTTCAAACGAGAGTGATGTAGGCGTGAACACTACATATCCCGCAATCACTAGGACAGTTGCCGGATTGTCGTTCGAGGTGCTGGAAAATTTTGTTTCACCAATCGGCCGATATCTGTGTATCAGCTGAGTTTCATCGGCTAAATACTGTTCACCACACACACAGGCGAAATTCCTGATCTATGTTTGTGCCTGCATATGTGTCTTTTGCTCCAGCAACTTTGAAATGTTAACTCTTCCATTTACTACAGCAAGCGTGCATTGTCGGATTAACCAGAGTCAAGTCATGAACAGACGTGGTCAGCAGACTAGCTTGTGAACAACCAGTGCATTCAGTCAATCGGTAAGGAAGGAAAATTAATGAACGCTTGATTTACTTATCACCGCGGGTCTACGTAACCAGATCAACCCAGTCAGTTAGGCTAGTTTATGTCAAGCGAATTGGTGTCATTTGCTCGCCTGATCACAAACGTATCGAACTGTATGTTTGATCAGCATTCGACAGGTGACGGTAACCGATGAGCAACCTAGAACAATCCCTATCCATCCCGACGGCATTCCACCATAGTCCCAACCAACTCTTAATTTTATACTGAATTAGCCTTAAACTCTTCTGCATACGCAAACCTGGCTCGTACTCCGCACCTGTAGTTTGGATGTACTCTTGTCAAAGTAACGAATCGCTTAGAATCGATTTTTGTTCACACCAAGAGGGGGAGGTTTGGAAAGCCAACGGACAGCTGCTTCGAGAGTGCCATTAGGTACAAGGAGAGGAAAGGGGGCATTGGCTACCCTGGTGGACACCGCTGTTCGTATACAACGAAGAGACGGCCACCCACGCTTTTGAATGATGAGGTACAGGAGGTAGTCTTCTTTTAGCTTCGCCATACTTTGTTCACTGCCTGTGTGGCTGATAGCCTGAGGTAATTATCTTGCGTCAGTATTAGTGGATAACAGGCGTACGACATTACTTTGTGTACAAGTGGTTAGGTCAAATTCATCTCCTTCCACGGCATCGCCTGTATCTTTGTCACTCAACAATAATATGGATGTTTACATTCACCAGAAAACAGAAGACACATTTTTTAGGGGTGATACTACTCATAGGTTTTCTGAAAATTCTTCGACAGAAGCCTTGTGAGTGGTGTGTTACGTCTTTATAATGTATTGCTATACCTCGAATATCCTACCAACTGAAACATGAGGCGACCTGGTGCAGAACATTCATGTGGAGCGGGACGTCATAAATAGATGATTCAGCTGGGTCTTAGGCGAGTCTCCCATCGAAACCAAAGTGGTATGCGAATGAGTGTATAAGTAGCAGAGATATTAGCTCGATAAGGATGTTAGCAGAAGGACGATAGATGATCAAGAACACAACGTTCATCTGAATCCACTTGGCGCATTCTCCTATAACACTATTCTGATATGGTGATATCCGTGACATTCGTGGTGGCGAATGCAATCGATGGGCGTGACCCGCCCGCAAAAATTCCGGTTGAGTATGTTGAGTGGAAGCCCCAGGGATGACAACTTTTATCCCGTCACACGGTTTATTTATAACACATCACGTTTCACAGCTGTTGCCGAGACGCGGTGGCTTTTTTTGTCAGGTTAGATGACCAGTAAACTCCTCTTGTGTCTGTGAAATTTCCTCTTCCATAGCTGTCTAAATCGTGTTAGCGCTTATGTGGATGGCCTCAAATGGGTAACCTAGCTGAAGGCAGTGAGTCAGATGCTGACTTTATGCCGAAAGATCAGCGTCATGGAAGATAGAAGAAGAAGCAGTAGAATTCATTTTCCTCGTCAAGTTATCCTCTCAGGAGCAGCTTCTAAAATTATGTGGAGCTTTCTGCACACTAGCGCTCTGATGATGTCTTAGGGGCCACACTCAAAATACGGTTATCAACAGAGCCAAGTCGAGCGCGGCTGTTAGTAGCGAAGTTATCTATATTGCTCAATTGAGAGTCCGTTTTGAAAGTGAAGGCAATCTGTACCGAAACGCCGAGAAGTACTGTACAGCCGTTTCATCTTTGTTGGGAGCGGCAGTGCGTATCGCACGAAACTCCAGTGAGTGACGAAACTTTGACCACCCTGCTACTGGTTGAACACTTCATCGTTCTGCCACGAGTGGTTGATTAACAGTGTGACTAACTCCCGCCTAGAGAAGATACAGCGCCATTCATTCTTCAGTCATGGAATCCATATCATGTGGTCACGTGTTGTGTCTCCTCGGGTGACAACTCAGATGGGAGACCCACTCGTTACGTGAAGATCCTTACTTCTGAGCTATTAATAGGTTATCGGCGGCGCGATGAGATTTGCGAATTTTTCAATGGAGAGATTGTCCTGCAAGTGAAACATAAGATGCTCACTGCTGTTGATTCCCAATAGGGACGAAGAAGCCATACGGTGCTTCAAACCAAGAAAAGCTGTCAACTTTCCTCATACTACGAATAAATTCATACTCAGTCGGGTATCCGGTGGTGTGGAGGAATTAACAGCGCGATGAGATTTGCGAATTTTTCAATGGAGAGATTGTCCTGCAAGTGAAACATAAGATACTCACTGCTGTTGATTCCCAATAGGGACGAAGAAGCCATACGGTGCTTCAAACCAAGAAAAGCTGTCAACTTTCCTCATACTACGAATAAATTCATACTCAGTCGGGTATCCGGTGGTGTGGAGTAATTAACAAGTATTTGTATGTTCCAAAACTCAGGTTAAATCGTTGAGACCTGTTCAAATCTCCTACAAGAACACAAAAAGATCTATCCATATGTGTTACACTGATAGTGGAAGGGAGTAAGCAAAGTCAAGCATTCCTGGAACTGGAATACACCTCCATTTTCAGAAAATCTGACAAGAAGGTCATCAGGAATACAAGCATATACCTCAAGCTGGATGGTACAATCGCCAAAAACTGAGTCCAGCTACCTTCCAAACATTTGTGTCTTGTTTGCGGAGCTGAAGGCCTGGAAAGCATAACATACTTCATTTTGCAAATGCTGAATTCGATTTCCCATGTTCCGGTGTCTAATCCAAGTGTATGAACAATTTCGCGTGCCAAGAAACGCAGCGGATCTTCTGTGTAATAGCCAGTTAAGGCACATAACCTATCCAGATCGTTCCGACGTGCAACCTGTTTCCCTGTGCGCACTAACAGTTGAGCCGTCAATATATTCTACCCTCGTTGAAGCGTACATTTGCAACCACTATTTTCAACTCATCAATCCTGAGGCCCCTAAGCCCATAACTGTCATTTGATACATGTAGTCCACTTTGCGACCGAAAAAATCAACCAATGGAATAAACGATTCACGGGTTGGCGTAAATTTCCAGCCAATCGTTGTGCACTCCTGGCTGCAGACCAATCGATGTCAACGCACACGCAGAGAGCGAATGTCGGTGATCACAGGCTTCAGCAACAAAACTATCCACATGAACTACTCCTTGTGTTAGTTCTGGATCGAGTAGCCACTCTCGCCTGGGGTTTCAGCGTGCTAATCAATGAAGTCAACACCTTCGCTACCGACAGCAGCAGTTGGAGTTGATGTTGGCAGCTGGAACTGCTGCGTCGCTACGGTCCGTCGAAAAGTGGTGGATGCGGTTGAAGACGAATATGGCAACAGAAAAATACCGTGGGTTCCTCACACTGTCACTTATTCAGTAATCAGTAATTTCGTGCTTTTTGACAGTTCTATGCAGTATAGCGGAAGTGATGCCAAGGCAAACCAAGACATCAACTTTGAGAACACAATTTTTGACTACATGCAATTTTTGCGTAAACCATATTCGAAAGCCAGTGCATTGAGCCTTCAATATCCATATAAAATTGTGAGTGGTGTTGGGGGAAATGCGCATATTGCAATCGAATTTGGCGCTAAGTCGTACAATTTGTTACCTGAGCAGCTGTTAGCCATGGTGTTGAGGAAGCTGAAATCTGTTGCTGATGATGCCTCTGGTGAATCAGTTAACAACTTCGTGATAAATGTACCCGAATTTTACGACGAAGAACAACGTGCAGCTATCTATGATGCTGCTGAAATAGCTGGCATCAATTGTTTGGAATTACTTGAAGATACCTATGCGGGCAAGTACATCTCTACATAATCCGCATCCGTTATTGTCCTTTCCAGTGGCGATTAATTACGCGCATTCTAGCCGGCAGGTTCCAGAGCGTTCAGATCAATTTGTCACTGTGGCTTTCGTGATTGTCGGATATTCGTGCACACAAATAGCTGTCTGCAAAATAAACAAACGTAGAATAGTCGTATGTGCACATTCCTCCGATCCTTGTTTGGGTGGCAGAGACTTCGACAATGCCATTTACAATCACTTGGTAGCTAACCATCCATTTCTGGCAAGTTCCCAAGGTACACCGTAACTTTAAAAATAGATGGAGGTGGATGCTGTGACAAGAATTAGAGTTCTTCGGGAATGCGAGGAAGCGAAAAAACGAATGGGACTTCACAAGAAACCAGTGACCATCACTGTAGATTCCCTTCCAGGAGAACGCTCGGTGAACGTCAAAATGGACAGGCAAATGTTTGAGGTAACGCGGTTCTCATTTAATTCCGCTCCACTCAGAAAGCGTCTGAACAATTGTTGAAGCGATTTGAAAATACCCTGAGAAAATCTGTATCAAATTCTATGTTCGATGTAGAAGTGGTTGAGTTAGTTGGGGGAGGTGTTCGGATACCTGCAATAAAGGATTCTGTACAAAAGGTTTTTGGAATAGCCGGCCAAATGACAATGAATGGAGATGAAGCCTTGGCGTCTGGTTGTGCGCTACGGGTGAGTGACGTTGAGTTTTATGGATATTTCCTAACTGTGTGACGACGGACTGCAGTGCTCAAGTTCCGTGTTTTTGCGTCACTCAGGACAAACAGTCTCATAGACCGCGTAGAGTGCACTCGTCCCAAATTAGACACATGGAATCACGAGCAGCATTCTCTGGCTCTGCACTACAACACTGTGAATAGCAAAAAACGACCGTTTACCTACACGTTTTTACATGTGCATTCGTTTTGTCGGCAGAGGAGCAAAGTGCTTAGAGGTAGGTCTTGACCAAAACAACGCTCCAATGCACCCGGAGGTCCACCAGACTGTTCGACTGATTTGATTCCATCTTTGGATAAAAGACGCCGGTAACCGATGGTGATAGTATTACAAAGTGGACGTACTGACATACCCCTTGTTCAACCTGTCAATAGAATGTCGTCGCCCAAAACGAAAGGGGCCTGCCTTTTTATCCTTAAAATCGGTATCTACATAGAAAGGATGACGTGAAGACCACGGCCATTTGGAAATTTGAGAAACACTTCAGCGTACTCCGACTGGTTAGATGGTGCCGGAGCCTGTTCGAGCGAATAGGACTTTTGTTGTCCTTTAAAATGAAGTTTGATTTTATCTATTTAGCTTGGGTAGCTCAAACTCGGTAGAAATATCAGCATATCTGCTGTGTAGTTCTTTCATGGCGACTAGGCTAATGAAACTCAGAAACCTTGTTCTCAACGTCGCAATGCAATCGCAAGATACGAATGTAATTATTTGTGTCGTTGACTTGTAAACACTAAGTGAAACTCATTCGCTTTGTGTCAACCACCGTAGCATTGAAGTTGATGTAAACAGCGACAAATGTAGTCAAAAGGAATCAACGTTCGAAAACTATGTCGAACCACACTATCTACCGAAAAATCAACATATGTTACACAGCTGTTATTTTGTGTCTGATTGGGGTTGGACGTTTGAAGCGATCACCAACTTATATCTAATCATTTATCTTACAGGTGAAGCCTTCTCGTGAGACAAGTTTTATTTTCAATTGCTCACTTAAGGCAGATCAAATTGGGTCCGGCGTATGCACTTCGTGCTTTATGCGATACCACATTAGTCTAGTTGGATGCATAAATATACCTATTTAATAGATATTTCCTCCTGTAAATAAGCCAGTCTATAATGAAAAGCACTTGGTACAGCAGAATCAACTAACTAGTGGGATAGACAGCTGATTTGTCGCCGAATTCATGAATCGCACTTCATTAACCATAGTGTAATGCTCACACGATACACGTGCAATGCACCGAAGACACCGATGATCGAAGTCAAGCAATATGCTTTCATTTTTAGCATACAACGGACGTACTGTAGTGTTGTAGCTCCTGTCTTTCACGGACAAGCCAGTCTCACTTCCACCCTGGTGGTGCCTGCGTTGATTAATAGCAGATCAGTCTTTAGTGAATCTGGCATTCGCTCCTTGGTAATTCTGTCATCCTATATGATGCCGCTACCCGAAAAAGTAAACCTGTCAACTAACCCTGGCAGTTTCGATCTTTTGACCGAATTTGGTGTTCCACCCGTCCAATCTTGTAAAAGCATTGTGCACTTGGAAGGTAACTTAACGCTGTTCCGTGTATTTTGCATGGGAATAGCACCGGAAACAAGTACCGTGATTTCGTCAGTAAAATCCAGGTCTTCAGCGTTTTTCTATGGAAGGAGCTCCACGCTAGAGGTAGATGACAGTTAATTCGATTACGAAAAGGTATGGTAACAACTAGCAGTCCTAAAATACATCGGTTTTGGTAAAGAGCTCAGGAGAATACTTTCCAAAGACTTTTCCGTCGATATTCTCATCAGACTCGGGCAATGCACCGAAGACATGGATGGTCAAACACTGAAAGGCTTTTGACGTTCTCGGCGCGCAGCGGACAGGGTTCTGATCTGTATAGTAATATGGGGCGCACCGCAGCTTTGTAAACTCGACCCTTGACGGATAAGCTGATGTCACACCTACGCCACAGGTGACGCACTTTCACAAAAGCCACTCTGGTATCCCAATCCGGATGCAAATATCACCACCGGGATTGATACAGCTGCTGACGAAGTTGGAGAGGAAGGGTAAAAGAATACAGCCTTGCTTGACAATACTTGAAGTGTTGAACTCAGGCGACAATTTCTGAATGTCTCCTGACATAATTGGCTTTCGTATCGTTCGATCGCAATAGTCTGTGCTGTTGTTACCTACTATAAATTTGGATTTTATTAAGCAGAAACGATGGCCAAAAGCAGGCGTTATTATTTTCAGTTGTCTCCATTATGTGGCAGTGAAAAACTCTCCTCTCATTTTATGTCAGGACCTCCCATCAATTGTGGTCATTCCTGAAATCTGGACGACATGAGTGTGAAAGTCATCTTTACGTGGTCATACATGTTACAGTAGTCAACGTAGCTGAAAAAAGGCTTTTCTGTCAGTGATAGGCCAATAAGGGCCCACATACTACCGAAGAAAGTAAAGTTGAAAAGTGGACAATAACTTGAGGTCGCGCTGTTTTAGATCTAGTTCATCCTACAAAATTACTATTAGTTGTCCCAAGTTGGTTTTTCCGAGTAGTATACTGGTACTCCTCCCGAAGTGTGTCTCAGCGAGCCTAAGACGCTCAAAATTTCATTAACTCAGTTGAGCATGTGCTTTCTTTTTCTATCTAGAACCGTGCCAGTGCTGTTGACCAGAAACGGTAGTGAGTTGGATGTGGATAACTGGAACATCAATGTTTTGGTTGGTCTAAGCACTTCTGCTGGGTTCGGAACCTACTTGAATATGAACTATTTCATTTGACAGGGGCGGCTTCCGTAGAAAAGAACAGTTGTCCGAACACGAAAATCAACAGGGTAGACGTTTGATGCTTCAGGCAGAAAATGCCAATTGGTTCACAACGGGTCCAATGTTATACGAGTTTTGTGTATGTAAGGCGGGGTTAAAACCGCGACGGGATATTTCGTGCAAGAAGAAAGGGTGAAACATTTTTGTCGTTAAATGTCACGGTTCGCTGGACGGATTCAACTGGATAAGCACAAGATATAGACCGCACTTTTTCCCTCTATGGAGTTTTTTGGATTACTTGAAAAGCCTCCCTAGGTATCCTGATAGGAATCTAGAGTTATGGGGTGTTGAGGTGAGAGAAGCGTGCAACATCCACGTTTTATGTGGTAGAAAAATTTACTCGGAGATGGAATGTGAATCATGCGATGGCTGCCTATTACGCAATGATTTTTTTGCTTAAGGTCTTCCAAATAGCTCTCGCATAATGCGCACGTCAATCTGTTTTGGGGGTCTGCTATGCTTAACAGGACTGAAAAGTCGGGATGTCAACCGCCAGGGCTTTGAAAGAGGGCGCGAGGTCAGATAACAGAATGTTAGAGGCGACACATTTGAGAATGTACACGACTTATACGGTTGCAGAAAAGTCTGACAATGATAGTGATCGCTTACAGGTGGCAGCCTGCAGTGTTGCGAACCGAGATGAACCAAATGCCTTCATTTTTCTGAGTATGGTACTTTCAAATTATCAGTAGAATTCCTCAGACACTTGCTACTTCGTATTCTTTTGTTTTGGCACCCATCCGAATTATGCTGATCCCTAGCTTACCCACAACAGCTTGAAAAGTTTGGCTACGTTCCGATACATTTCCGACCCTGACCATCCTTCATCCTCCCACGCACTCAACATCTCCTATCCTTTCCTGGAATTGTTTCATTTCACGACTCTAAGTTCAGGTCAACTGATGCAGTACCTCACAGAGTAGGTACAAAGGCCATCGATATTTCAATTGAAGGCAAAACTGACTAAATAGGGGGTCATTTGGAGAATATACACTCATTTGCAAACTAATTTGTTTTTTTTTTCGAGAGACTCACCTGGAACCCAGCTGAATCTCTCGTTTATGATGTTCTCATAAGGTTGACGGAAACCCGGGGATTGCGCCTACCTGATGAACCCCAAAAAGGGCAAAACCGTTCGTGGGCTGTCAACGGATTTTTAGTAACCTTATGAGTAGTACATTACAAAAGGGGCCATTGGCTTCGTTCTTTCAGGCCGACGGCTTTCCGGTCTTTAGCTCAAAGGCTTGGAATATTCCACAACCACACATTTCTTGAAGGTCGAAAGGCTACAAGTTTTATTCCCCGATGCGCGCTTATGACACCATACGACTGCAGAAAATCCCTAGGAGGCGTGAAACAGGCCAAAAAGAAGGAATGTATTGCACCAGTCATTCTACGTTACCCACACGTCCTCGGAAAGGGCCACTATATGGACACAATGAAAACTGGCTTGCCCAGTTTGGGCCCAAAATCTCTTTCTATCAATACTGGACAAAAATTTTGTGGAACTAACTGCATCAGACTTTCACGAGACTTATGTTTATGCTTTTATGACCGTACCATCGTTTCGTTGCGATCCGTCGTTTATCACCAAACAGATTATCTGTTACCATACCTGTATGTGCTTCAGTGTGCTCCAAATCCTTATCAGTAGTGCTTGCTCGCCTACCCACCTTACCAGCTGATCCATTCGGTGTCTTTGAAAAACGGCTCTTTTGATCAATGCTAAATCCCTCCACTGGGCCGGTGAAAAATACAACGAAAGTCAGGTCGAATTCTGGGGTTACTTTAGTGGTTGATATATCAATAAGAATGACTGAACACGGTGCACTCCTTTGTTACTGTGGAGTGGAATCATCCCATACTTCCCACTTTAGTGCTTATCCTGATCCAGCATGGAGGCAAGAAGCGTTTACGAATAAGCAACTGTCCGCAGTTTGTCCCAATAGAAGTCCAAATCCAGCTTCAATTACGTCGAAACTTCCTTGGGCCGCTGAAGTTCACCAAGTTTCCGAAGAATATAGCGTTGTGGAAAACATACTACTCAGCACATCTGCTCAACGGTTTCTGTCAGCATCCTCATAGTGCCAAGAATCTGCAAGCAGCTCAAAAAAGATAATGACTACGAGCAAATCTCCCATCTGAGAAGTCGTTACTCCGGGAGGAAGTAAATACGTGATGTGTATTCCGTGATTGAACGATGAGTTGTCAGCAGGTAAGCGAGTGACGTTGATTTCATGACTGCTGGATCAGTAGTGTCATATCCTGCCTGTGTGTTACTTTATAGCACCGCTGATCAGCCACTCGAGGCCAAACGGCTCAGTGTTCAGAATGTTAGCCGGAAGGTCTCGGGTTCCAATAATCATAGAGTTTTCTGGGTTGCGCACTGCTGAAAATTCTTACGAAGATCGAATCAGCTGTACAGTGCCTGAGGCTTTCGGCACAGACTGGCTTCACTTACAGGACGAAATCTTCATTGAACTTTCAAAATCCACCCACAATTCCAAGAAACAATTTCATTATTCCCAGAAGTCCTGCCGAAAATTCGCTTGTATTTACGGACCGATGATATTCGTCATTTTTTGTCCCCTATATTAAATATTACGCACTTACTCTGTGGGAGGTAAACGTCATTTTTTGCAGGCTGCAGCTATCCAGTCGCCGGATGACTCAAGCGAATGCAAAATCGTGATTCTCAAAGAAACTGAGGAACATAAACTCAGCATTGATGACAGAGTTTTCAAAGAGTACCAGGTATGCTCAATTGTTGTTGTACGCTTATTATACTCTCCGTATATTATCACCACTATAGAACATAATCCTCCTGTGGCTGGTTGTTGCGCAGTACGCAGCATAGGAAACAATAAGAATATGCACATCATGATCCTGGTCATCCGGCACTCGCTGCTGTCGGCTGGGAGAAATAAGGAAATGATGGCATCCATGAGGTGTATAATGTTTCAAGGATGAGTACTCTGCGTGTCAACTCCAAGATGGGATCCCATACAAGCATCAACATCAGCGAGAGCAATACACCAGTTATACTTCACATTAGTGATAAACTTTCATACAGGCGAAAACCACCAGTTAACAGTGAAAATTGAGGGGAAGCTTTGGTGCCTGGTGAAAGTAGGCCTTAATTCATCAGAGAAAGGAACCAAGGATAAGGTGTTCAAGCCTCTGGGCACCTTTAAAATGAATACATCTGTGTATTAAGTTGAAGGAAGGTACCACAAGAGGGACTGACCAAGTTTGCTCTCCGAATTTCATGCAACCTGGGCCTAGCGTACAATGACAGACATGCTTTAACTATGCAGTCCGGCTAGGAGAACACAGCATGCGTGCAAATTGGATCGGTTGCGGGTCATGTCCTGCAGGGCTTCTTAACACATGCAAGCAGGATTAAATAGCCCCCAACCAAGAAGGTGCGAAGATCTCACGGTACTTAGCTAGACTGTAGCCACTTTTACTCCACGTTTAGATGCTATTGCCTGACTTTCGCGAACGTTTCTCCAAAAATGGCCTGGAACGCTGTTTTAGGTAGACGGTGCTAGGATATACGTAGTACATCGTCCAAACATCCCAACTTGGTAAGTTTAGCCTGCCGCCCTAAAGACTCGGATTCGTACCCACTTACGCCGTACTGTGTTCCATGCTTGCTGCAGCCAGCTAACAGTTGATGTGCCACAGGGACACCGGTGATCAAAAAATTGAAAATGTTTGCGACTCTTGGTTGGAGGGCTAAGACTCACAACCCTACAGTAGAACCGCTCGTACACACGCATTGTACTCACTGACCTCTAGCTTCACAAACATTCGATTTCGATATCATGAATGATGCAATTAGGCGAACGCTTACTGCTCTTTGATACTGTGTGCATTGACTTCAGTAGCTACGGAATATTATTGGATTATGCAGCTATCAAGACACACAGCCCAATCCAACTGCGCATTCTGAAGTTTCACAAGCACAAAAGAGCGTTGACGATTCATGAATGAGGCATCACAAATTGAAGATGAAAAACGCACGCTGAAACACGGAGCTGCCTCCGTCAAACAGTGAAAATGCGTTTTCCACAAAGTCTAGTCTATCAGTTATCCTCCAGACGTGATTTCAATACCTGCATGCATGTTCCTTTGGAGTGTGCAGTCCATTCTGACATCTTTGACAAAACGGGGAAAGAGACAACTCTGATGAACTCCACTAGTGGTGAGGAAGCTTTTGGATAGTTAAAATTTACATTCACACCAAAGGAGCTGTGGGAATAGGTGAAGTATATCCTTCCTGTAGCCCATGAAAACCTAAATAATTTAACCTATCCACACAGTGGTGGGCTCGTTTGGAGTCCAGGTAAATTGCGATTCCCGGCCGACCGTATGGCTGACGTTACGCAAACGTTTGACGTAATGTAGACATGCTCAAAGCATCCCCTATCGGACAGAACTCCGGCGCGATGCTATCAGACCAGCTTCTCACATGCCGAAGAAACGCATTGCAATATACGGGAAGCCTGTGTCACGACAGGTGTGAGACCCTATTTTTGAAACAGTCGGTTTGAGCGCTTATTTCGAGCCCGTTTACGACCATTGATAAGTTCTGATTCTCTGGAACACGTCCATATTCCAAAGTAGGTATAAATAGCCTACTTAACACAGAATATACAGATTCTCCCCCGTCTTTGAGCATCGCCAAGGAAACTCATCTGTCCCAGTAGCCTGGTGATGCTTCAAAGCAGTAAGTCATATACTACTTCAGAAGCCAATGAAGACCTAAACTCATAACCCACGTATCAAAACGAGCAGGTTGACTGGAGCCAACTAACTTGTTGTTGTAAATATCCGCCTAGTTACCTAAACGCGGGTCTTTATTATCTGTTGGGTTTCTAATCAAAGGTCCTTTTCTTCTACTTAGTTGGAACAGTTTCGGTGTATTGCGCGCCGCAAGAGCCTATTCTATTTCTTAAAATTTCTTGTTTCAGCAAGCCTCTATCCATATATAGGTTGCGTTTGAGGTGTGGTCCAATCGACCAGCTGAATTGTGCTCTCAGCCTGAAGGGATAGATATTAGGAAGTGATAGCGACCGTTCCTGAAACCCATGTAACCTGATTCCTGGCACGATGAAGCCGTTTCCAAATTCCACTTGATGACATAACAGAAACTTAAAAGGTTCCACCTAGACATTCATGTCTCCAAGTTGCATCACCAGTGATTTGTTCATTCTGTTTAAAGTTTTTTCCCTCTTCAGGCTCCGGCATGCGAGAAGGAGAATTCTTAAAATGGCGATGACCAAACTCGTTAATAGCCTTTGTTTGTTTACATTATAAATAATCATCTGCGTGCGTACTTATTATGGTTGCCTACATTAGAAACCCACATACTATTTGAATTTCTCATGTATAGTGAAATAATTAATCGCAGCGGTATGTTTTCGTCAGAACAGAACCGATGGCTTACGTGATTGATTTTTGATTGCAACGGTTACACTTGACACTTGATCAGGTGTGTTTGGTGAGTTTTTTTCATTCTCACGTCTCGCACACCGCGCCTCATACAATATACAGTAATATGAAAAGGGGCAAAAAGCTGTCGGCTTCTGAATGTTTTAGGATAATTTGCTGAAATTGTAGCAGCTTAGTCACTGTGTAAGGCCAACCTTGAGGAGTACACTTAATAGGATGATGTCAAAACTGAGGAATTCGACTGGGATCCAAATGGGTCTCTAGTTCATACAAACTTAGTTTGCAAGTGACTGTATTTCGCGAAAACAACTAAGTTTCTCACTAATTACCAAACATTTTTGATATGAATGGGCTGGTCGTTCATGTGGCGACAAAACTGGGAACGCGGAGTTGTGCGGAATAAGCTACAAGCCCTTCCGTTTCCAACAGTACACTCGATGACGTGAAATCCGCTAAGATCGATATGTTACTATAAATCTTAAATGACATAAGCCTGTAGGTTCGTTTTTCCCTTGCAAACTGCTTAATATCGTGGTAGAATGGTAGCAAAATCACCGCTTAAAATGGCAGCAAATAATACCAACTGTACAATCTGATATCACCTAGTTTGCTGTAATACTTTTATACTGGAACCAGTTGAGTTAGAAATTTAGCATTCAACAACTGTTTAAATCAAGGATAAGCTGCAAGCTATTGGTTAAACATGTTTATAGTTGCTGGTTTAGGTCAGACGGGCTCACTTCACTCACTCTTGCTCGCATTCACGATTAACATAGGGCACGAGACCTCTGATACACAATCAACCAGCTGGAAGTTCCATCAGTCCGGTCGTGATGTGATACTTTCTGTAGCCGTTTTAATGTGCCTTGCGTCTGATTTACGCATTAGATACCATTCTTTTTTATTATTCGTTCATTTTTTGATTGAATGAAAGAGTTGGTATTTACTGAGCCGTTCAGGCACATGAAAGATTGTGAACGGACCAAACAAAACGCGAGTTATGACTATCTATAAACACCCATTGACGTTGGAAATCAGGAATATTCGTTAGAGACTATGTATAGTCTAAAGTACGAAAAGAGAAGCTACCCACATAAACTCATAATGATGTCTCTCTGAATGTTGACTAAGCATATGCTCTGCTAACAGATCAAGAGCCGCCTGGTCAGTTACCGAGTTACGAGTATCCCAACGCGTTTTCATTCCGACCATGTGCGTTGATGCCCATGGTGCACTGTTCAGAATACAGTGTGACAGAAAGACAGCTCGACCACCTACTTCTGTGTACTCCTTCATCATAAGTCGGTCATGTCACAGAGAGTTTGTCGAACAAGTTGAGAGGGCACAATCACGTCGTGGTAGTTGTGAGAAACTAAGCTCAAGTGGGATCGCGTCAGCCGGCCAAAACTGGTCATGTCAAAGACAAAGATAGTGCCTTCAAAGTCATGTAACTTGTACTTATGAATTTTTCACAACCGGTACGATCCAGTCCATGGCTGTTTGCATGGCGAATAGAACTCGACTCCATAACCAGCTAACTCTGAAGTTGAGTCTACTCATGAACGGTTCAGTTCTGTAAAGTTGTCTGATACTGACGCCACTTACTTGACTCCACGGTCGATTCGCCCATGTAACTTCGGCAATGTACCCGTGAAGTACACAGCCTTTGCCGGCGATTTCCGGTATCACCCAAATTTATGGTGTACTAGCCAAGAGCACCAGTCACAAACAAACTTCGGTCGTCTGGTGGCTTCCATGGGTGCCTCCAATCGTGCATATTGTGTGTTAGATTTTGGTTTTCTTCCGGGTTGAACTAAGAATCAAACGTTACCTATAGGTTACCGGGATCTTAGGCGCACTTGAGTGCTGTTTCTAAAGTACAGTGAAAATTTGACCCACGACAGAGTGTTGAGAGAGGTACATCTGATAAACCTTTGGCGACACTGTGATACACTGGGATTTATGCACTATTTTACAACTACTGTCCAGTTCCCTTTTTAATGCTAGGAAGACATGGTTTTGTGTGTGACCAAAAGCCTGCTAAATAACACGTGGTAATCTTCAACACTAATCATGAAGTCATTAACATCTCTGGGCAGTATAAAACCAATTTTAGCTTTCTAGAGGGTCATCAGGTAGACTTAGATCCCGAGTTTCCATCCTGTGTTGTCCTTGAGTACAAAATTGTGCGTGTGGTGCAATAAACAATAACTGAATTGGTGTGCCGATTCTGGTGTGCTGATAACTTGTGTGTGGGGATGGAAGTGGTTCAAGAAGGCCAACCATCCAAGACGTCAGGTCAGAACGGTCATTAATGCATCATCATTTGGTTCCACGGTTTTGGTAAATGCCGAAACCGTGGAACCAACTGATGGTGCATTGGTTTCAGCCAGTTATCCTAGACAGAGAGAAATCCTGAAGGTTGATTCCGTTCTAATGACTTGTGGATGCAACCTGACGGATAAAGAATGTGATGTTATTTTTGTGAATCGCAGAACAATCGGGTAAAGTTCTTGTCACTATTCTTCTCCACATAGACTGTTAGTTTTAGCTTGTATTCACTTTCTTGGTTCACCGTGTGTGACACTTTTTTCAGGCAGATTGATTGCTTGTGGACAAGTGCGTCGTTCCTAACTTTTACTTATCCCGTTAGAGAACCTGATAAATAGTTAACGGAGAGTTGGAAAGAACGACTGCTTTTTCTATTCGTCCTAGCTATGTAAAACAAAGTAGTCGTAAGTTCACGAGTCTAGACAGCGTTGGTTATTGATAGGTACAGAAATAGCTCCACCCAGAGCAAACATAAAGCAGAAACAAGTAAAGCCTTAAATAACCCGAGAAGAACGACTTGTGTAAAAAAAAAGCTCATCCCCAGGAATACAGAAGAACTGTCGGTGGTTTGTCCAACTTGCTAAGTTTAAAAATTTTGTTGGAACATCACGCCATCAGTGCGTTTATTGGGTTTATATCCAGTCATTTAGTGACTACGGTTTATAACGCCACAAAGCTCTGCCACTTTAACATTGTAGCCCTCTATCTCTCGTATATTCTAACCAAAACAGACCGAATACAGATGTTTGGAACAAGGGTGCAGAGCGCATCAGCATCAACAGCAACAACAGCAGCAGCAACAACTGCAGCGTCATCCGCAACCGATAGAATTACAAAGCAACGCAAACAACGCAAGCCGCCAACTTGTCTCGGTATGTCCCGTTAGGTTCATCAACGTCGTCAAATGTTTCTTAGTCATACAAGTGTGCCAAGAAGAACCGTACGACTTAGTATGTGAAAGGTGATTTGGGTTTTTCAGGCTGTGATCTTTGGTTCTCTTTTATCATGGCGCATGGTCGATATTGAAATTTGCTCTGTTCCGCCATTGGTCAAAGTCACGGTTCATAGTTTCTCCAAATTGCTATTGATCAACGGGTCGATAAGCGTAGCGCAGTCACTCAGGTATTTATGTTTTAAAGAACATCAAAGGGCCATAACACTTGACGATCACCGAAAATTTTGCACTAGCCGATTTTTAGTTGAACTTTTTCTCTTCATTGGACTGGTAACTGAGTTTGAAGTTGCCGGTTTATAGATCGCCTTAAGAATCAGCAACTCACGATAACTAGTAGCACTGTCGTTCTGCAGTGTATACTTAAACTTTGGATGCTCAGGTACAGTAATCCTCCGAAGGGACCAGAAGGAAGCGTTTGACATCTCCCTTAGGTTTTCACTTTTTAAGGGCTTGAAGCTGTCGGAATACGTTGTCGTTAACCTTTTATTGGAAGAGGATTTTCCTTTTTGAAGGTGTCTCCAAGAATGACGCATACCTAGTCCTTGCCTCTTCGCTGGAAACCAGCATGAAAAGTGGACAGAAATGAATATTCCAAACGGTTCCCGAGTCATCCATAATCAGAATTCTATGTTTTCCGACACAATGTTGAAGGAGACTTTCTATTGGTGTCAAGCAACTATTTTACCCAGTTTAATTGCTTTCTTCTAGGCGATGGAAGTAAATCCACTCTGTGAAACTCTCATCCTGGCGAAATGTCAGGTTGGTTTACACAGTGATTGATTCAGAGGTGTGGATCTCATCTGACTTGCCACATCTTAGGGTACCTAGATAGTGTATGGCTCCAAGAAACGGTGGTTAGTGCCGTACCTTGAGTGAATGTGGCAGCGCTGCCACGTGAGCAAATCGACAAAGCGGTGTGGAGCGAAAACAGGGGTACTTGTGTTACTGCGTCGTGCAGGATATACAACATTCCGAAAGGCAGCATCATCAGCCCATCCGTACCATCATCAGTGATCAAAACAGAGGTTGTCCAATGGTGCTCCAAAGTGATATGGTAATCGTTGGTCTCTTACATGCAAAGGTTGTCACAACCACTGGACGTGATCGGCATGATGAGGAAGCGGTAGCGCAGTCCAAACCTCCTAATTCACTTGGCTAAACTGGCACGGAAAAGAACACCAAAAATTGAGTATCTGTAAATCGAAACAGCTGTTGAATGGATGGCTTAACAGTTTGAAAAGTGAAACCAGGTTGGCCGATCTGGCTGACCTATAAGTGTAGTGAGGTATTGTCTCTCATTTCTAATCAACTCAGTGGTGGCGATCAGTAACGAGTAGGCTTAGAAAACCCTTTGGAGTGGATGAAATATTGGGTCACACAGTGTGCGCATGAGGCATGGAAATTGTGCATCCACGATGGCATTCTGCAACATGTGAGAGTGTCGCATGCGAGGAACGATTTAGGTACTTGCATTGCGTTCTGGGTGTTTTGCTGAAGTGATCCTTCTATAGAAAATTGCGGAGAGAGCAATTTACTGCGAGTAGCTTTGGTTAGCTTTTTTCTGGGAGATGTTCACATTTATAAATATGTCCACATACGGTGCGTTTCAACTGGCCTATATCGTTCAACGCCCACTATGATTGATTAGTTTGCACTGATAAAAGATGTACTGGAAGCCTTTGGGTCAAGCTGAAGGAATGTTTATAAACTTTTTATGATGCCATTCAAAGCCTAACCACAATAAGAGAATTCGGGAAGGCGTCAGTAGGCTAATAACAGGCTTAATATGATGTGATATTTTATGGTATATGCCCCCAAACCCCTATAACCAGGAGAACAGACAAGCTGAAACGGAGAAAAGCTCGGCAGAGCTGACTCAGTAAAAAAACCCTAGAACCAAAAGACGTTGAAAGAACGTAGACCTACTCACCTGGTCTCTTCTATGCTTATGGACAAATAGCTTCATTCGTCTAGATACGGTTTTGTGCATTGATTTAGAAATCCACTTATTTTTCGTTGTCAGTCTACTATCCAACCGCGCGAACGTGTGATTCAAGCAAATCTAGTTAATGACAACAACTATCCTGTCGGTGGTAGCTCATACAACGATCCTCAAAGGCTAAAGGTAGGTTTATTTACTTTTTCTTCACAGGATACAATTGTTCACCAAATCCCTTACGTGTATTAGAATGTTGTAAGTAAGTTGGATTAAGAACCTCAACTACTTAGTGGACCAGCCATAACTTATGTGAGCCCTTGACACAGACATGGCATAAACCAGCACAAACCCGTCAGTTGTTCGGTTTTTGAGGAGACATTTTTGGGGTAGCCCGATGAGAGTATTTCCTTTTGGAATAATGGTGTCACGCACTTTCCCAGCAAGGATAATGAAGTAAGCGAAGAAAGGAGTGAATGCATTAAGAGATCTTAATATCCATGGTTGTGTCAATGATGAACACATCCCGGCGCAACATGACGACCCTCGGCTTTCCTTCATTTCCGTCAACTAGGTCAACACGAGCTGTATTTCCTTCATTCAGTTAAACGCAATTACTAACTAGAAAACAATGTAGTTTGTCGCTGGGATTTTTCTGAATAGGTCTTTCAGCACGAATGCAGCCCATTCAGAAAGCTGTCAACAATGTGGTGAGATTTACTATCATGTAAGTCGTTTGGTGTGCCTGTTCACCGACAAGTCCGGACCAAGGATGTACAGTATGCTCGCCTTTGTCTCTGTTTGAGAGTAAAACAGCCAATCTGAGAGACAGGAGTTTTCTGGGTATTAGGACATCATCCCCTCGAGTGAGATTGCGCAAGAAAGCATTTGGTGCCTCAAAAATTCTTCCCTCGAGAATATTCGTTTCTAGCTCAGTCGGGCTGAAGATGCGAATTCCTTCAAAACCGCACATCTGGGTACTGTTGGCTGGCTTATCAAGCCATGTTTAACGAGCGCTCTCTGGATAAATTAACCATGACTATGGAGTTTCTACCGATTTCGAATCAAAACAGTAGTGGTTCTGCGTGCCATCATTAACCTGATCAGCTTTAAGATGCATGAAACGACGGACTCGCGGTGTGTGAGCCAGCTGATAATCGAGACAGGGTTCGATCGTTTATTCTGGGTGACCTAGCACCTGTGCTAATAAAGATGTGAAGACACTGGCCCTAACACGCTGGCTTCAGCAAAAAGTGTGACTTTACACCCAGAGCGCTTCCTCTCACAGCTGACCACAGCTTTTGACCTCGTTTTTTCACCTGGTTGCTCTCTATTAGCCTTCCTGAAATAGTCAAACTATGAGAAAATTAATTTATAACCAGGATCCTTGCAGCCTTGAACCATCCTGAAAATGTGGCAGTTTTTGGTCAGTGTCTGGGGCAACGGAGAGCTAAGTCTTGAAAACAACCTCCATCTGATTTCTAGCTGAGAGGCAGTTGGGACGAACCAACAGTCGGCCTGCCACTTGGAGTAAGAACTTCAAGTTCCCATGATGAGCTAGAACTATGCGTGGCGTATATTATTGTTTGGACACTACATAATCACTTTATTCGTTTGGCGGGGTTAGATCATAGGCGATGTGTTCAGCAACAGTGTACGTTGTTCTCTTCAAGCGATAGCGCAACCTTTTGATCCTTATCTTATATTTTGGAACACTTTACTGAGCATTTTTATAAACATGTCTGTCTGGTGAACTTATTCGAATCCTGGTGGTACGTACTGCGAAGGAAATCTCCACCGACAAACCACGAGTGTGTTTACCGTTTTTAAGGCAACCAATGAAAGTTTGCCGTACCTCCAATGGTCATGTTAGATCTCCAGGATGACACAGGTTCTCATAGAACCACATTTGTGCTTTGTATCACACTGAAAGCCTCGCACCGGATCGATGTTCCGAAACCAGCTGCACATACAGAAACAAAAGCGACTGTTCTGTGGATTTAGGGTCACTACAAATGAACAGGTCTGTGATGTGGGGCATAGCTTGATGATTGACCATGTGATGCATTCAATACCGGAATCTTTCGGACGGCTTTACCCAAGTGCGAATGGCGGTTTTGTTCACAGGAATCGAAATTCAGTACCAGTTCACACTAAGTATATGTGTGCAAAGACGCGTGAGTTGGTGATCATAGATTCTGGAAGACATTGCGCTCCACCAACTGCACAGTTAGGTACACAGAGGCAGACTTCGTGTCAGCAAGAGGTTTCTGACCAGCACATATGTAAGAAAGAGAGTGACAGAAATTGTTTTCAAGATTTACAGTCCCTTCTAGACATTGCGAATACAGCCTTATTTCCAGGTGGGAAAATGGATCCAAGGGTTCTCCGTACATGATAGATACCCGGGTTTGGCTTATCGTTTGGGTGGCCACAACACAAAGAAAAGCGTATTTCATTTTTTAAAGATACTGCTTGTTTTAATTTAATTTGTTTGAAATACTCATAGTCTTTTGTTCGTATACTGAAGTATAAGCCGACAAGCGATCACACGGTACATTGAAGGAGTTGGTGGCCGTGAAAAGCAGACGTATGTCTAAGTTGAGCACCAAAGACAGGTGGAAATCGCGTACCAGTTTGTTTTCGATCCCCAAGTCCTCACCTCACGTTCATATCACACCGGATAGTGCCGAATCCTGACATCTATGCTGCTTTTGCAGTTTGCTGCTTTGCGCAGTTGATTAGCCGTCTTGAGGGTCAGTAATTGGAATATAACGTTGCCTGAAGCGGAGATTTTTTATTGATGTGCAATAATCCCTCATCCCAACACATTAACCCTTCTTTAGGAAATGTGCAATAACCCTCATCCCAACACATTAACCCTTCTTTAGGAAACCACCCTGTTCTATGAAAAGCTTTAACCCCTCAATATGAAATGGTTTTGAAACGATATTTGAGAATGCTTCGTTTGACAAATGAAAATCACTCAGTCTTGGAGATTTTTCAGCTTTCAATACAACGGCTGACCTAATGGGTTTACCGACTGGCATTGTTGGGTGAAACGTGATTTTGTCGCTCGCCCCCTCTCTTAACGTGTGTTCAAAGTCGTATTTAACACTCATGCCACTGATCAGCTGGATGGATAGGCAAAGTGCAACCTTATATTGTGACTTCACCTGATAAATAATGAATTATCCCTAACACATGCGTTTTGGAGCAGGGAAAAGTTAGCCATCACGACCGTTCGGCTTGTTGAGCGAGGTAAGTATGATCTTTACAGACAGCTCTGATTGACAGAAGGTGTATTTTCAGTGCATCACTTGTAATGCCGATCGAGATCACTCGGACATTGCCAACAGCTTAAGCCAGATATGTTTTTTGGACAGAAAAGCCGAGTAACTCGGCTGAGTGAAACCGGACAACCTAACCGTAATAGGGTAATCACTATAGCACAGTTTGAAACGAGCTCCGGTGACTGTACCATCTCTGCGGCTCTGCTGAACAGAAAAATATGCTGCGGTTTCTCCTGCCGTCTGTAATGACTATTGAGCTTCAGTTTACGTAATGCTTATTCTAGCAACAAAAGCAATACCATTCATCCAGAAAATGAGTTTGTTGTGGAGAACTGTTCTGTTTTGAATGCGCCACAAAATCTGCCTCTTAAAAACACTTGCTTTATTTTCGCATCTTGGATATTTACGGTAATCCTTAGCATCGCAATAATTGTGAGTGATGCATGCAATCCAATACACCAGTAGGGACAGATTCACGCATAGAAGGATCTACATTCGGGCGGTCGACGTGAATTATATAATGAGAATCATGGATTGGCTCGTATCCGGAATCCAGTGCCACTATATCAAGTTATCTACATAGTGAGTGCAATAACAAACGCTGTGAGAAACCATGCAAAAAAAGCGATTCCCTGAGACAGTGTTTTGGGAGATTGGTCAGTGACAAATGAAAATCACTTTTGAAGAGCATCATTAGTTTGTTTTCTGCAGAAGGGACAGCAATGATACCAGCGACCTACCAAAGGATTGTTCGGTTGAGTAAGGTGGGGAATTACATAATTCTCTAGTTCATACACCAGCCGAAACTGTTGTACGCAAATATATAATGTAGTGAATGCATGTTCAAGGTTTCTTGTGGCAAACCCGGCTTGTAAAGCCGTCCTCCTCTACAATGGTAACCAAGAACCTCGTTCTTTTGAGACATACCAAGACCACAACATTAGGGCTTCAAAGGCAAGGGGAATTAAGGACTTCGGTTGAAATCACAGTGTAAAAGATGATTGAAACCGACTACATAGACTGCGGTCTTTTTGGGAAACAAATATAAGCCATTTCATTTTTTCCTCCAGGATTTCATGGAGCGCTTACAGTCTGTTCAAAAGGAAGCCAAGTCTTCGCTCGAATCCTTAAGCGGTGATTCCTCCGGCTATCTTCAGACGAACGAATTTCTTGGACATTATCTGGTGAGTCAGTTGCACCCTGTACTATCTGGGGGCAGCATAGATCTCGGGTTCTAAGTACTGTTCATTTCTGACAGGGAATAGAACTGCCGTAACGGGACTTGAAAGTTTCGCCTTTTTACTGAAATGGCCACTTTAACAAACCCTCACATGGACTCACGCGGTATTTTACATAGTGATGCTCTACTCTACTTTCACTTCTCCTGCAGAGATAAGCAACAGCGTGATGCCTACCCGTGCGACTTCTTTCAAGCGGTGTGGCAGCCATACAAAGTCATATGTTACAGCTCACCAGCATGTCTAGTACTTTGCTAATGTATAAGAAGTTGGATGAGCACACGAAAGACAACTATTGATTGAGATTGCTGTCCGGCCCAGATACTACAATGTTAAAACAATGGCGTATCAGTGCGTTTTTGCAATAACAAAACGCAATGGTAAACATAGTCTGAATGGTTTGAGTACCGAGTTTCGGAAAAGAAACAGCTCGCGTCAATGGCAACTTGTCGTTCCCGGGTCAGCGATCGAATCCAAGTATCGCTATCGCTATATTTTACCAACATTCTAGAAGTCCGGGCACGTTTTATAATGCCACTGATCCCTTCTATAGGTCCCACTGGAGGAACATTCAAAAAGGGTCCTCTGTAGGAAAGATGTCGCTACCGGAAGAAACCACGAGGGACCAGCCTAAATTGGTACTTTCCGATGAAGACCAATGTAAACAAATATTTGTTTTTTTCGTCCATCAACCAAGATGTCAGTATTTGTTCTGAGGCAAATAACTGGCGAATAACTGGTTGTATTATGGAAGGACCGTAGCACACAGGGCTGAGCGCTTCTATAGTAACACTTAAACGAATGTGCTTTGAAACTCTAAATAAGACCCTCTGTATGCCGCTTTGCTGAATGGATCACAAAAGAGCTGTTACATGTTTTCTGATCAAACAGGCTGTTCTTAAGGTGGTCAAAATCTCCTCGGCAGCCTACGACCGGTTTCGCCCGTCTTTGGGCTCATCAGCTAGACAATTATCGAGTAACCATCAACTTTATTTACAAACAAGCATTGAGGGTTGAATTACTTAGTCATGTTTTAAGTTGGTGTTCATGCAAACTCTTTTGTCTTGTGGTTCAATTAAATTAGCTAAAAACACCGTACAATAAGCAATTCTGGACTTCCGATTCGAACAGTGGGACAGTTTCTGTCATGCCATAAGAACACATGAAAATGTTCTACTCATCCGTGCATCATGAGCAAGAACAACCTACTACTAACCGACCCACGCCATAGTTAAAAAATACGAATTACTCATGATGTTGATCCTGTCCATTGTCGGCGCGCCGTTACTACGCTTTCGTTTAGAAGGTCTGGTGATACTTATTCACTGAGGACTAGTAGCTGGTAGGTAGTTGCGTGATTTTTAAAACCGTTCACATAGCATTTACACGTATTCTAACCTTCCAATCCTCATGGACACTTTGCAATGACCTGCTGTGTCTGCCATGGACTCAAGCTACACATCTGTTTTACTCTCTCGAGATCACGCTCAAAAAAGATCACAAACATAAGTTTCTGTTCACCATTGGGATGGTAGAGTCCCGATCCAAGAGGTCGCTTGTCTAAAAGCACTACTTTTGTTGTGTTCCTTGAGGTGTTCTTTCCAGAGGGAGACCATCGATGAAGAACCATTTTCCAAGTCAAGTTCCATAAAGCTGCATCACGTGAGGTCCGTCAATGAACTGAAAAAGTAGAGCAAAAATACAATCATTCCAAATTAGGTAAATAAATTAATACCTCATAGTACAAGAGTTTCTGAGTGATACTTTGAGGGCAGGATCAAACATACTCTTGTAATCATTTTCAACAGTGCCGACTTACCTAAGACTAGAGGGAGACATCTTCAGCAGCGCATGATAGTGATGCGTAAGTTTGAACACATCAAAAGCGTGACGTGATGTAACTTCTTTTGTGAGCACTTGAAGTAAGTCAGCGGCGTTTTACTAGTTCAACATTCAGATACCTCCTTCCTTCTTTTTTATTTTTATTTTCTAATTTTTATGCTAAATACCTTTTGAATGTTAGAACGCCATTAAGACGAACCCCTTCACTTAGTTGATGGTTAACTAATGCAATCAACCAAAGCCGAGTTGATTTCTCTTTCATTTTAGAAGTTTACACAATTACTGTCGGAGTTGATCACGAACACGCCGTATAGCCAGATTAGTCAGGTAAGCATTCTCAGGCTACAGTCTGAACGCGTTAGTCTTAGCCATTAATACCATTTATTGGTCACCCTGTTCTTGGCAAGCTAGTTTTCAGTTGTGTTATATCTGCTGATTCGCCAATCTATGGTATTTGCCGCTGACCCGCTCTAGCGCCCAGTGCCCGAAAAAAGACTCACGGAAGGGAACACTAAAACTATATTTCGAACAGGCGAGTGCGAGAGCGTGAGCGCGTGCGAGTGCGAGAGCAAAAGCTACCACGGTATTTAAAGGAGACTTTCTGACATCGATCCAGGCTGTCTGATAGGCGTTAGCGAACATCCGTCAACATCGCTCGTGCCTCTATGAAGTGCCTGATAGCTGTTCACATTCGGTTGTGCTTCTATGGCGTGCATGTGGACTCATTGGCTTTTGCTGAATTGATTGAATGATTGACTGGCCTGGATGCTTGCCGGCTTTCCTGCTGGGGTTTTGGTGGAGCAGTAGATTTCGGGCGTTCTTAGGTTACTTTCAGGAATCTGACGTTCCTGATACATTTCCTGAACCAAAAACAACAACTGCATACAGTAGTAAATTAAAGCTGAATTATCATAATATCTGTTTCGGTAACTGGTACTGAGTACTGCTCAATCTAGTTTATTCTGGCGGTAGACTATCATCCCGTGGGTTAAAAGTTACTCAGTATTCCCGATTAGTTTTTATCCTTGATGAAAATATAGCGACTTGAACAAGAATTATAAATTCAAGCAATTCTCCCCTCTGGATTTCGGTAATAACGAAAGTTTGTTGGACGTCTCGGTAGAAGACAAACGGAAACTGTCCTACCCTTTGCCTGATTCGTCCCATGGGAACCATTCAAATATTTCTCTGCCTAATATAGTGAGGAAAGCTGCCAACTTGAAGGAGTAAGCAGATTCTAGTGCCGCCATGTTCCTGCACCAGCTGGAATTTTGTTTTCCCAAGTTCTCTATGTCAGACGAAGAGCAACAAGTACCCGTACTTTTAGTGATTATACTATAAGTCAGTAAAGTCGTACTGTCCTCTGCGAAACTGGCTTAAAACCAGTATAATGTTTCCCTCAGAGGAACACCAATCCTAAGAAAGTTAGGTTTGAAATGATCGACCCTGAATTACATACAATTAAAAAGATTCACCAACGATGAACTATCTAACGCGGCCGGAAAAAAGCTTAACAATTGCTCTGTGCAGCTTCAAATGTAATTGCTGCACGTAAAAGCACCAGAAGCCTTGCACTCTCAGGCTGGACCAAATCCTCATAGTGGAGGATGTTAGACTGTCAGTTCATTGGTCCCTGACAGGCTCCACACGAAATACCCCATAAACCACTGATTCACGGTTCATACAATGTTTCGGGCTACTGAAGCGGCTTAGGACTAGCACTTGCATCTTCCCACTGCCATCTTTCATGCGCCTGAATTAGAAGCCCAGGGAAGAGTGATCTGACCAAACCTCTCCCTTCAACCCGGGCAACAATGAAGTAGGAATCACCCTTGCAACTGTTTGTGCACTGACATACCTCTCCTACAAGCGAACGATGCCGGATCATTTGTTCGATAGCTATCTTATATAACCTGTCCAAACTGGCTAACAGGTAATGCTCACCCATAATTTGTGTCACCCTAAGGTTGGCGTGTACTGCACCTTCAAAACTTGAACAAAATACTGATGTTTGGCCATACACCTAGTACAGGATGTCCCATAATAGACGCAAAAAGTAATACATACATTAAGACTTTATTATCAATCTAAACATTTATTATTTCTTAGATAAACATACAAACATTATGGAGGTTTACTACAAATAAACTAATATTACAAAAATGTTGAAATTAACCGCCATTTTCTTCTACAACAAGTTGGAGGTGGTATGGGATGAGACAGCATGTTTAACTACTTCAAGCGTCACTCGTGCACACTCCTCTTCAATTCTTGCTCCTAACTTCACCAAATTCTCCGCTTTCTTTTTACGATACACGCAAGCCTTGATCATTTCCCAAAACCAATAATCCAGGGGTGTGAGATCGGGTGACCTTGCGGGCCAAAAGTTTAGAGATCCACGAGCAATGACTCTCATCAGGAAATCGCTCTCGGAGGTAAGTTCTCACTTGGTTTGAGTAGTGGGGTGGAGCGCCATCTTGTTGGAAGACGGCCGATGACTTCTTGTGCTGCTTGAGTTACAGGATAACATGCGTCTGCAGCATATGGAGGTAACTGTCGCCGGAAACCGTAGCTTCAAGGAAAATGGAACGCAGGAGACACTTTGAGGAGAGTCACATCCACACAAAGAGATGAGAGGAACGGAGATTATGGGTAAGGTACTCGTGAGGAGCTTCACGGGACCATATCACGCAATTATGCTTGTTGATTACGCCATCCACAGAAAAATTTGCTTCATCACTCCATAAAATGTTGGGAACGATTTCTTCATTGTCCAGCAGCCAGTTAGCGAACTTAACACGTTGCTCCTTGTCTTCTTCGGTGATGTTTTGTAATAAAGTGAAATGGTACGGGTAGAGACAAAGGTGGCGTTTCATAATACGATGCACGCTGGCCGAAGAATGCCGGTCAACTGAGACACCTGAGTTATTGACGAAGATGCTCGACGGCATGCTGTAAAACGGGCGCTCTTTCATCACTCAGAGACTTTCTCCCTTTGCCAGGAAAATCCAACACAGATCCAGTGGACTCAAATTTCGCAATCAAGCGTGTAATGGTCGACACGGTGAAAGGATCTTTGATGAGACCATGTTTGGTTGTGTAACCACGAAGTGCAGCGGTGGTGCGTTCACCAAGGAAATAATAGTTTCACAATTTCAATGCGCTTACTGACATCCATCGTAAATGGAAAAAATGTCAATAGTTGCATACAAAACCTCATTTATGTGGTTACTATTAATAAAGAACTTTATTATTTTTTATTTGGCTGACTACGTATAATTTATCTATTAAATTTTGCGTTTATTATGAGACATTCCATACATTCAGGACAAAACCGTTTTTTTTTCAGAAATCACTTTATGCACGCCATTGATCCTGAAGCAACGACCCATGATATATATGGTGTAAGAGTTGCACAAAAAGCCGACCGCGCTTTTCTGAATTGTATTCCAGCGAACGCTCTTCGGCGCTGTTGTGTTATCCACCTCAATAGAATTCAAAACCACAGCAGGAGACCAGGATCCGTTTGTAATGTTCGATCATGTCTTGACAGACTAAATTTCTGATGCTTGGAAAGGCGCTACCCAGGTCTGTCTCGGCAGGCCTGTTAGACTAGAACGCTGGTATTGTCATCCTTTTAGGTAATCTGAATGAACAGCTTAGTCGACTGAGCCCCGCAACATGTTTGGCCAGACAGCAAACAAGCGGAATTGATTCCTTTGAATATATGCTGATCATCCACCATGCCCCTTTGGTATAAGTTTCTACCACAACCGTGCGGATCGTAAAACGCAGTGGCCACCAGGAAGAAATCAGCCATGGATCTAGTTGGATTATGTGGCAATCATCCACTAGTGAATAGTGACTGTTGAAGGTTATTGCCCTTTCCGGGATTTACATAGTGATATTCTATCACTTTTAGTGTGTGCACACCTGTCATCACTCCTTCTCTTACGGTCCTGTGGATCGATAAAATGTGCGAATCCATCATCTTCGGAGATCTGTCATGACGCAGCATTACCAACCCGAGCCGGCTCAAAAACTCTGTAGTGCACCGGAACAAAAAACGCTAATCAGTCCTCGGATGTCACGTGTCAGCAAATCGGAGAAGCTATTCTTGTGGTGTTTAAAGCTACGCCCGACATCTTCAAATCAATACTGAACCGAATGCAGAACATCCTTACCAGAGTGGAACGCAGATCCCTCAAATGCTAAGTATGGAAATGTGAGGAACGGTCGAGATCTCTGGTAGATAGTGAAACTTTTGAAGTGAAGTAGGAGCGGACAGTGCTTGATATCGATTTTTTCACAGGCCAGAAAGAGGAAGGCAGTTGAATGGACTCAGAGATAGATCACACCAATGATTGCGGATACCTGCGAACACGGTCCATGAGACATTATATGGTGTACATGCATCCAAACTATTTCCTTCACTTCGCAGCTTTTCCCCCTGAACTCCCCACCAGTAAAAATTGGACCACTCTCCAATGATTCCAGCTGTTGTATTCAGTGCATCGATTTCTGTTTCAAGTCACGTAAGACAAGTCAAGTAAAGCCTCATGCATTTTCAACATACTGCCCACGTCATCGACAAACGTGAATTTGTTGTCACTGTACTCATTCGCAGTTCAAAACGGATGGTTATCTGCCTCATGTTTGCTATGCTTCCTATAAAGCAGTATGTTTATTTAGAAGCAATCTCTAGAAAACGGAGCGACCGCGCTGAACCATGTGGAATTCACACCAATGTTGAAAAGCATCCAACCACAGCAGGTTGATCGATCTCCACTTATTCACTGCCTTATCCATTTGAAGTACAATGAAAGACAAATACTCCATGTTATCACGAATGATAATCCAGAATACAAACCTGTATTGAGTGGATTTGTTTGGGATAAAAAGTAGCGAATGAAATTTCAGCTCCAAGGGTAACCGTAATTTTTCAGCTTTTAAATGGCATGTTGATGAATGTCATCACCGTTCGCCATCGTGCATTCTAACGCGGCCTCAGAAGGAACTGATTATTTTCAGTGTGCTTCGAATAACTTCCCACAATCTGATGGACACCTCCTCAATCCACGGCACTGCTCGACAAAGATCTCAGGATTTCTGGGGGGTGGTACGAACTCATGAAACTTTTGGCAACGTACTTGTGGACACTCCACTACGCAGTACTTGAACAACCACGTCCGTGCAATAAACAGTGACGTAGTGGATGTAGACTTCACATCCGGTAACAAGTCCATCAGAAGTTCCGACAACATGGCTGCTTAACTGATCGCGATGTTACGTGTGCATTCTGTCGAAAATCCACTCCAGGTTATTGTTCGATCGCCTAAAATTGTTTGTAGTGTGAGGAAGGGTGACTATTTAGCTAACTGAAAGTTTCGCTGAAAGGAAACACTAGAAGTCCCTTGTACGTTATTCATTACTTTCGAGGCTTCCACGTAAATACTTGTTCTTGCAACCATCCTTTGATCGGAACCTTAACAATTGCGGTGTAGTGTCCCGTATGGTCAAACTTCAAAGTTTTCAGCAACCTTATGAGTAGTGCATTACGATTATTCATGCATTGCGGTTCTGCACAGTCAGATGCTTAACCTGGTCACCTCCGAGTCATAACGCATGTTGTATTCGTCCATCCCTAAGGCAGAAAGAGCACACGACATCACACTGCTCCACTAGGGGCGCACAAGTCCGCTGAATCTGACCACATTAACATGATCAGTGTCAGGCTCGAATTACGAAACGGTTCAATACACTACTGGTACCGCCAAGGACGACGATATGGCGAGCAAAGCCTCTCATATCCTCGCGATTTTGATACCGCTTTCTTAATTCCAAAACAAATAATTCTGCGTTTTTACCTGACAAAGATATGCGCTATATTGACGGATTTAGAATCTGCTCCGGAGTGATGCATTCTGTTCGTGTCTGCTGCTTGGAATAGGTCCATCAATCCAAAATATAGTGGGACGCTTCATGTCACTGCTGCTGACCGATTCACCACTGTTTAGAATGCCCGGACGAATTTCGTACACTGTCACTGTGTAAGATATTTTGCGTTTTTGATGAAACACTCCTTTGAGAACGTTTCTGTTGATTGAAACGCTATATCTGCTTTGACCAGACAGAACTGATCAGTCTACGTTTAAGCTGCGTAGCAAAATACAAAAAATTGTGTAACTGTTTATCCATCTAACTGCACTTTGAAAGTTGACGATCTTGTAGTGCTGCTGGAAGTGCAATATGGGCGAGTTCTTGTCGTTTTAAACACATCAGATTAGTCTTCAAGTGTGCTTCGAATAATCGTTTACAATAATCTCAAGAATGTATCAGTACATTAATTTACCCTATTTGAAAATAAGCAGTGAGAGGTGGGGGACTGAACCGGAATTCTCAGGACTATATGCCTTTGGACATTAGTGGTTTGATCGCATCTGCTTGTTTAACAAACCGCCACGCCAAAAGTGTAGGTCACACTAGAGAAATAGACATAAACATTTGATTCCTCAAGTGGTAATAAAACGCAGATCAGTTTTCCATTATTTTCTCCTGAGATTTACTCTCGGATTCTGTCACTTCCCGAATCAGAACGAACATACTTAGTTGGGTGAACAATTTATGTTCCAACAGGATTGCTATCGAAATATTCAAGAATGTAAGAGCTAAGGGGATTTCCCCTTCTGTACTGTTCTGCTGCAAGCCAGGTTGACCCCAAACTAATTAAAGTTAGGAAGGGATCAGTATCGATCATCAAATAAAAAATATACTGCTTCACAAGTGGTCTATTCTGTTACTTCATCATTTTTGGTCCCGGAAATACTTCGCTTGCAGTTGATTTGGGGGGGGGGGCAATTTGTTGATACTCTCAGTGGTAACCTAGTGCGCATTACACTGCAGCGAATAATAATGCACGGTTCCGCTGTATTATACTACAATAACTCTTCAGGGAAACCCCCGAATATTAACCGACCTTCTGGAACTTCCACAGCATAACTTTTCTTCCACCGTGATCAAAACTGTGAACCCCTCTGATCGACTAGAGACCATCTTGTCCAAAGTATGCCAAAACACTCCGGTTATCGTGATGATGTCTTGAGTCTTCATTGTGCGTTTTCTCATATTTTACAGGAATTCCTTCCAACATACTCTGATGCAGCCTTTTTCATAAAGAAAGAAATACCGAGTTCGTGTTTTTTTTTGGGTTGTGATGGCATGATGGCATGATGTGATCAGGGAGACTTAGGTCAACTTCAGCTACGACCAGTGTGGTCTGACAGCACTGAAATGATTCACCAACTGTCTAGCAGGAAGCAGTGAGTACATACAAAACTCCCGCTCTGCTATGGCCTTGAAAAGCCGACGAAATGCACCTTTTTTGCGTGGGTGTTTAATCAGAGAAGAAGATGTCCATGATACCCAGTCATCAGTGTGTGCCACAAACAGACCCAAAGCGATTTTGGTAAGATGGCTTTTGGGATATTCAGTGGATAATAATACTGATGCAAATTAATATTAAATTAGTTGCTACTATTATACGCACTGGTATTGTTGTGGTACTTTCGTCTTATCTCGGCAGTGGCAAAAACGTGGATTACAAAGAGATAATCGATTATTCGAGAAATACACTCGCTTGCAAGTCAATTTGGTTTTCACAAGAGACTCAACTGAATCTCTCGTTTATGATATTCTACAACTGAATGTGCTGCACACAGGCCGTCTCATGATTCAGTTTGCACGATATTCGAGAAATCACAGTATGTTTTCATGAAGGAAACTACTCACAGGGTTGCTGAAATCCCTTCGACAGCCGACGACCGGTTTCGCCCTTCTTGGGGCTCATCATGTAGGTAAACGAGAGATTCAGTTGAGTGTGTCGTGAAAACCAAATTGATTTGCAAATAAGTGTATTTCTCGAAAACAGTCCAATTCGGGTTCAAGTAGAACATAATGTTGACGGAAACTCGGGGACTGCGCCTACCTGATGAGCCCCAAGAAGAGCGAAACCGGTCGTGGGCTGTCGAAAAGTTTTTAGCAACCTTGTGAAACAGCAACCTTTATGAATATAATCAATTATTGTTCAGTTTGTCTGTCTTGTTGACCTGAGTAGGTAAGCTTCTCCCATATCCTCTCATCTCCAGGGTCAGTTGGTTCAACCGGCAACGTGGAACACTTTGGTCAAGCTACAAAAGAATCTACGGATTGAAGTAGTGTGCGCACTAATGTACCTTATATCCAAAACTAACCCGGACCTCCGAATCCCAATTAATGAAGAGAAGTACATATTAGATGAGGGCTCAGTAAGTTCGATGAAGTAGACAGAGATCACGCCTCGCATGGAGTTTTTGATTATGCAGTCTCCATATAATATGCCTGTTTGAGGCTTATTGTGACAGGTGTTGACACCTAGGTGAATACCAAATAAATGTAAGCGGTTTGTCGCAGTGATCCTCTGGAACTCAATATGACTCATGGATGTAGTCAAGAACCTGGTTATTGGATGGTACCTCTACAACCTTATTTCCTATTATTATGAGCCCAGAAAGATAACTGATATTAAAAGTATTAACAGTCTTTCCAAACAGGTTGGTTGACACAAAAGTCGTCTAGACAAGAGCAGTCGAGATGTCGATGGTTGGGTTCGAGCCAAGGACCTTCCGGTTAGTAAGTTCACGCCTCAACCACCGGGTTATCTCGAGCTCATACTATCTGACCGAACAAACCAAAGGGATAGCCTAGGTTAGTATTAGACCAAAAAACCGCGCCGAGGCAGAAAAATGCTTTTCAGCTGGTATCATGTTGAGTACAAATTCTACATAATACTAAAACCTTACGTTGACCGAAAATTATACTTTTCATTTACACCATTCTCTTTGTGTAGTCTACTTTCTGCCCCTGAGTAGCTTGTCCGGTTTTTCCAGCACCACACTAGAACTCTGGTCACTAATGGGAAATTCAGTTGGCCACTGCGGGAGTTGAGACCTGGATATTTGACACGCGGGGCGATCGTAATATCACTGGACGCACTTGGATTGATACGTATAAAGATGCGAATATACCGGTCACAGAGCGATCTGCCTAGTTTCTCCAACGAGCCACGTGACGACCCAGTAACCAACGTAGTCTAGTCGGTCGAGTGAGCCACATGTAAAGCCTTCTCAGTCAGATAGTCCCACGGACGTTTGAAACGCCTCAGATACTGTTTATTAGTTGTTGGTAGTAGGGGGCTTTGCAGAATTCGCATCCAACCAACCGCCTCCTAGCGTGGACTAACCACAAAATGGGGGAAGGGCTTTTCGGATGAAAGAGGTGTGAGTGGCAGTTCCACAGATCCAGAACTGCATTCAGGTGTCTTTCAGAATTCAGACATCCATGATGCTGATTGGCTAGGAATTCCTGATCGGAGTAAACAGTTGTTGAGTCGTCGTTCGAAGCGACAGAGTGACCAGTCACCTCGATGAAGCGTACATAAGTTCACTCTGGTGGAGTAGTAGTGGTGGCATGTCCGCCTCGCATGACAAATGTCCCGTGCTCGAATCCATCTTATATTCAGACGACTGAACACAGCGCTTTGTCCATGTATAAACACGCAAGGTGTGGTAGACAGTCAGGTATGCGTGCGCTCGCCAAGTTTCGTCCAGGGATTGCAGGTTTCCTTTCAGATCCTACTTTGTGTCGCCCAGGGCTGCCAAACTTTTCTTGCCTCCTGCTTACAAGTTCCTAATGATGTGAGGTACTTTTAATTCTTTTTNCATTTCTCAGCATCATTGTTTTTCCATTCCAGAAACTCGTTCGACTTTTGGCCGAATGTACCAACGAAGTAAAAGCGCTTCCGAAACGTACGGACCGCTCATTTGAGGTAAATTGCGAAATTCACGGTTTCATGCATTATACCATGTGTCGATGTTTTTTATCTCGATTTCACACAAAAATCAGAGCTAGATTGTTGTGTGCGGTAGCGCAGCGGAATCAGTGAATCTCAAGGATTGTGGTAGCTTGGTCATATGCTACGTAATCCGAGTCATTGTCGATGAAGACAAGTGGTGTACTCGGTAACACGTTCAGAATAATGAAAACGTGCGGTTTGGTAGAACATGATAGAGTTTTGTGGAGTGATGGAATACGACAATGTTGCTATATCGAGGCTTATTCCTCAACCTTTTAGACACCTCTTGTGTCCAACTTCGGGAGTAAACTAATCGGAATTGCTCTCTGACTGAAAGTGAACATTTCCACCATTCAATGGCATTGGCAGCAGCCCGATGACAACTCATTTTTCCAGCAGACATCAAGATGCAGACGCACTTGTTCATCTGAATCCTCAAAATGATGAAAGTCGGACGTATTCCTTAGCCGGTGCGAGTGAGAGTTTGGAAGCTAGGACATAACATTTTGTGGGAATGGACCCGGATGAAAGATCTAAGAAAATATCTCATCTGCGAGAGCAGCCTGCGACAGAAGTATAGAGTAAATATACTTTTCATCGTAATTCCGCCACGGATGATCAGGAAGTGAAAGACCTTATTGTTATTATTATTATTATTAAGACCTTATACCCGGAATCGGTTGGATTATTGTTTCGATGCACTGATGGGGTAAACTGCCAGATGAAGTAGACACCTAAAGTTCATTTGCATAATCTACCTGATAACTCATCCAAGTACCAAACCAGCCCACTCGCCGTATTTCAGCTACACGTCAATAAGCTGTGATCCTCACTCAACTCTAGTGTTAGTTTTTTTGTTCCTGATGGCTGTCCACGGCCTGATATTCGACACTACTTCATCGTATTACCTGAGGCATGCCAATCGTTTTACTGTCCATTTCGGAGGGAAAACCCTTCGGGTATATTATTCATATAGTGTACGTAGTTCAGTCAGATCTTGGGATGAACACTTCGAGATATACTAGTGCAAAATTACTGGCCGGAAAGTCCATGGTTCGAGCCTAAACTCAGCATCTCGACTAGTCCCGTGTGCGCTTTGGCAACCTGACAGTATCTCATCCCTCGTGCTTCATTCAGATGGGATGGCAGCTAGGCGCCGAAAGGGAGTTACAGATGAACAACTGTTAAATGGAACTGTTATTGAACGAGGGTTCTACGATAGAGGAACTAGTGTGCAGCTCTCTGGTGACCCGTTATTCATGTGTTTTTTCATGGGGTTACCGAAAATTTAGACATTTATTTCGAAACGCAACGACTTTTGTGAACTTTTGTCATGCTTGGGTCAGACTTCGCGGTACCGATCCTACGCAATTGTTTCTTCCTGTTCTCCTTCAAGAAGAAACGGTACATTACCACTGTTTGTATAACTTGTTACACTCACTTAAATAACCGCCAAAGAGCGAAAATGTGTCTTCCATATAATCGAACTCCATTAGTCAAACTTTGGATATGATTGTGATAGCTAGATTCGCGGTCCCTTGTTTTGGTGTTTTCACCATGCTCACTTCGCTAACCAAAAAGGGGAGGCGACAACTCTGATAAACTCCACTAGTTGTGAAGAAACATTATGACATTTCAGTTTAAACCCGTACACTGACACAGCTATGAAAATAAATGGTACGAAGAACACTTATTTGGGTGAAGTACATTCTCGCCGTAGCCCATGAAAATCTAAAGAACCTTATTATCCATATGGTAGTTGGCTCTTCTGAAGTCTGGATAAATTGCGATACCTGGCCGACTGACGTTACTCAAACGTTTGATGTACTGAAAACATACGTTCAAATCATCCCCCTTCTGACCGAACTCCGAAGATATGCTATTGGACTAGCTTCTTACGTTCTGAAGAAATGCATTGCAATATACCAGAGGCCGGCAGCCGTGTCACGATCTATACCCCTATGGTTGGAACGCATAACCTAGTTAACTCAGAGCTAAAAGATTCATGGCCACACCGAACTCTTACATTTTACAAACTGCCTCGTCGCACCGCGTCCCTTCTGTTCACAAACAAGGTAATTTTGCCAGTGTTCACCGAGGAGGCCGACTGCGATTCAACGAATAGTTAGCTTTCCTCACTTGTGGTCGACAATGCTATTCTAAGGTTAAATGAGTCGTTCACTTCCTGGAAAGTTCAGTGTGAACTCGCGGCAAAAATAGCCGCGTTTGAATCTACCTGTGTATTACAGGACAATTGTCAGCCAAGCACTGAACCACTAATGGCGATCTGGTGAACTTGACTCCAAAACTGTTCAGCAAAATGCAAGTAATACAACAGCGCCCGCTGTGTATAAACTCGGTATTTTTCAGAAACAACTCACGAACAGGATAAAGTCGCAAAATACTTTCAGCACTATCACTACGCTTTTCAGTAAGACAAACAGTGCTGGTGAACTAAGGCGTCCCGCCTGTGCATCAAAATCTCCTGCTTTTATGACCATATTCGAGCTCATTGTTGTGGTCAAGATTTTTGGATATCACTCTTCTAACAAATCAGAACGACAGTTCTTTGGTGCATAAATGGACACGACAAACAAAGGCTGTAAGTTTTTTTCAGAGTAGATAGTCGGATAGTACTGGTTTACAGGTATCCAGTAACAACGTCGACGTAACCCGCTGCAGATGCTACACGATCAACTATAGTTGGTGGTCGTCAATGTGGATAGACCGGATAACATAAGCTTAAAGATTGTTTTCTTCATTTTTTGTTCGAGTTTCGGAGGTTCAATAGATGTGAACCGATAAGATTTCTAAAGTGGGCGGTTGGCCGATCTGCCCAAGAAATCTTCGCGTTAGAAACTTGGGTAAAGTCAGGAGAATGAGGCCTGAATGGCGGACGCAGCGAGTTAGGTATGATTGGTGGCATGTAAAGTGTCCAGCCCCTAAATACCTGACGTGAACCTAAAGAACAGTGATTGTCAATCAAGAAAGGACGGGAATTATGAGTAACAACAAAGAAAAATGGGATGTGTCAACAGTCGCATGCTTTTGTTAAGTAGCCCTGCTGTGTACAGCTAATAAAGCGACTCGGATGATGTTCCACGCAAAGGTTGATGTGGCATGAAGGTTCTTTTTGTCTGTCAGGTTCACAATTGTGTGGGCTGAGACTCTGCCATTGTGCCCAAACCTGGGCAACAGGACGGTTAGGGTCCGCACTCAGGACCTTTGACTCAAAAGCCTGACTGAAATGTAGCAGTCATCGGCTTGTGACTACCCGAATAATCCATATTTGAAGAAACCAGCTACCACTGTTGTTCCAGGCCCAGAGAAAACACTCTGTGGATTCGGCATGGATACCATTCAGTAGAATTCAATGGGTTGCCGAGGTACGCAACTAGTCACAGCACGACAAGATATGATCTCTTCGCGGCGGACTCGAACAGGGCAGTAAGTGTGAGGTCGGCGTGCCATGGTCTCCCAAAAGTGTCTGTTCGTTCATGTACATGTACTTCGACCTCTCATCTGAAGTCCCACAAAATCCCCTTATTTTCTCCGCTTATTCAAGGAAAGTCAAACAAATTTCTGTCTATTTTCAGGCTTTTGCTGAATTCCAGTATCATTCATTACACATACATCACATTATTGCATAACTTTAAACTGCCAACTTCATTTATCATAAAAGTTGGAGACAAAACATTGTCCAATTTGTGAACGGGTTATTTTGAATTAGTGTTACATAACTACATTGTTTTTATTTCATTTTGGCGAGTTTTCTTTGCCAAAATACTCCGTTCAGTTTGCCCCAATGATCTTTATGGTGCTAAACGTGAACATGGCTTTATCATCGTTTTCCTTTGGTACCTTTCTCTTTCCAAATCTACTTTGTTCGAAAAGACTGTCCTTGGAATCTGTTCACTCCCCAATTTTTGTTCAAACAGGGTGATGAAGTTTTGAGATCACTGGACGGAGCTAGGAATTGGTTATGTTCAACAGAAGGACAATACGGTTACTGGGTTGAACGATACATCAGAAGTTCTTACCTAAAGGCAAGTTAAAACTGCAGTAGCCGCATAATTCAACGTGGATTTTACCCTGAAATGCAGGCAGTGAGGATACAGCGCTATAAAATGGCGTCCTGAGTAACGCACATTTAATTATCGTCATATGAAACAACCTCTTTTGATGCCTATTCTTCAGCAGTATTTTTTTTCGGAATTTCGAATATATGTGGCTTCATATATGATGAGGTCGTTTTGTTCACTTATTCAAATTCGAGTCTGGTTTTTTGTTGCGTTATTGTTTATGACGGACATCTTGGCACAGAAGAAATTAGTAGTTGCAGAGAGCAGGTTATGGTAATACCTTACTCCTTGAATTATCAGTTGAGCCGCTTATTCTCATATTAGTTCTACTGGTTACATTCAGTACCTTCAGCACTACCTCGCCTTATAAGAAAAACCTTTGGATAATCCTGGAATTGCATTGAGTTGATCACGGCACTAATGGTGAAATGACAATTCGTCTCATCTTATCTTTCCCAGGTTACTGTCTAAGTTATTTTACTCCTTCATTCTGTCTACCAGCAGGGTCTAGCAGGCCACTACCGCAGTGGTTCTGACATACTGTTTTGTCGTGGCAGCCAAATTCCTTAAGTATCATGTCAATTCTTTCCATATTCATAAAACCAAAAGGTCCACGAGAGTAGGCGGACAAAGTTGTGATGGATGTTATATTCGTTTCAACAAAGCCATTTTGGTTCCCGAAGTTTTCAAAATCATTATGATCTGCAGTTTAGGGGTTTTGGGGCAAAGGTGGTCTGTAGCTGGGTGGTTGAGCAGTTGGCTGAAGTGTTCGCCTTGTGGCATAATCTTCGTTATTGTCTCCAAAGATCTCACTTCTTGAGTATTTTAGTAATGGCTATTGTTTTTTGATATTGTCCCAATGCATCGTATATCACACGAGTATTCTTCCTCAAGTTGCACGTGTTAGCAGTATTTGACCTGTACCCGATCTGCATATGACCTGTACTTTCGGCAAGTACTCCTCACCCTTACGTGCATATTCCACGTTTTCCCACGTCGCCCAGTGGCAGTTATCACAAGCTAAATCACCTCGCTTCAAGCCATAAAGGATTGCTCTCTTGTGCTCTAGCAAGGCAGAATTTTTGGCAAGTGCAGCGAAGTGAAACGTGTTTTCGTCTTATACTTTGTTGTGAGGGACGAACCCGAAACCAGATCCCAGCCCACTGTACAAACAAACATTCCATCAGAGGAGTAACACTTTGCTTGGCTTTGATGTAGGTTCGACTACTCTGCAAGTAAACTCCCCGACCCAGCGAAGAAACAACGGCCTGCTACTTCAGCAAACAATCGTCCCTAAGGGACGATTGTGGCCACTTGTTTAAGAGTGGTTAGATGAGGGTGCTTGCTGACCAACAAAGATGAAGCTGAAGGATATGACAAGGTGATCCACCAGGTCGGAATAGGCCCTCACCCAAACTTCAAAATATACCGACCTTTTAGAACATGTGAAATGAACGGTAGACGAACGATCAGTCATAATGTCCACCCTAACTAGCTACCGGTCTAACGGCGGTACTACTGATGCGGGAGGCACGCAAGTAGTATGATTTCTCCTTGTAACTTCGCTTTGCGTCTCTTGAAAAAGGAGATCTATTGCGGAATTTGCGAAGTCGCTCTGTAGCATTTGCTTAGAATTGAGCAACATTCAGTGAATATCCAGGAATGTTCAGGAATACGCGTTCAAGAGAAGATGGATGTTCAGTTTTTGTGATCAAGATGCAAATGAGAGTTTTGCTTCCCTGTCCAATAGTCTGTAACTGGTCAGTTGGCATTTTCTAATAAATAACTCCGTAGAGAAGGCCATCTTTCTCCCGCCGGTTGTTAATGGACCCTTACAGTATTTTTGGCATTTTGACCGTGCATAGTTAATCCCTCTTTTATGAAATGTAACCAACACTGGTTCACTCAGCGTTAGCTGAATTTCTCGAAACGAATTTTATCTCTCCTCTATTTCTCCAACTAATCTAGCGGGCAAACTCGACCTTGTGGAGTTTTGTTGAAAATCTACAACCGCATTATACTAGTGAGGTGAGCTAATCATTTTGCTAAGACAACCGGCGACCGTATTTTCATCGTAATTGACTGTTGCTTATTTCCAGCATTCCTTACGTGCTTCATTTTTCGTCTGTTTCATGGCTTAACCACTTTGTGCAGTCGATAAATCTGAAACAAGCATGACTAGACAGCTGAAATAGTTAATTTGGCTACTACACAGTTTTTTTAGGGTATAAAAACAGGTGCAACGTGAAAGTCGCTACAGAACGGTGTAAACATGGCACTTGGAATAGATGTGCATTAAAAATTCTTACAATAATATTTTAGGTAGTGGGATACTAAGATTTGAGTGCATTAAAGCTTAGTTTGGACCGATATAATCCGTACATTTGGCAACTGCTCATCTTTGCGTACAGCTAGCTACCAGGGGAATCGATTTTACTTTGGAATTGTTTTGCTAAACTGGCCTTATGCAATCGATAGTGAGTGGTGATTTCATTGCCCAAAGCAGGCAAGCAAGAATCTATCGAAAGCTCCAGTAGTGGACAAGAAAGAGAGAAAATGCGAAAACAATGGTGGAATCTTTTTGGTCATGTTCATATCCCAAAATTATGTTCAACACATTTAATACGGATTCAACGTTAGTTGACTGAAATGAAAAGCTATCTATTCAGCAAATATTTTCAGTTGTTTACTGCTTGTTTTGAAAGCATAAGGTCAATCTGCAACCACGAGTTTTGAAATTTTTATGTGTACTCTTTTCTGGGTTCTGGAATTCGCGGAGTCAAAATCCATTACAAACGGGTTATGTTGAAACAAAAAGGGGGGAAAAGAAAGCGCCGAGTTGGATGAACAGAAGCTACCGGGCGAAAGAGTGGTGACAGCTTGCGCACTTCGTCGATAGTCTCTTGCTTGGGAGGATGGGCAACTTGGTAGTACCCTAGATATTAATGAAGCTGCAGAAATACTGGCTGTACAGTGGTATAGGAAACAAAATCACTCGGATCTAGGGTCATGGTCTATCCCGAGTTGATTGTCCCTTCAACTTCCTTACTAGATGCGGTGCAGTCAACATTACCGTAGACTAGGAATGGACATTGTTCACTTTGGCTGTGAAGTTTTGCCCCAAAAAGAATAACTATTCAGGCTATTCGGGCACTCTGTCACCATGCGGTTTACCGCACTTTTTACACTCCTCTTTTACTGCTCTATCTCTGTACACTTGTTGGTGACTCCAGCGGGTTCAGTTGCACCGATCTCACATTCCTTGTTTAAGTGAAGTAAACTTGCTCGTATGGCTTGAAGATCAGTTGGAGTGTTTGTGTGAACAGCCACGTGGTTGGAGGCCAGGTGGCTCAGTAGTTAGAGCACGAATTTAATGACCGGGTTCATGGTTCGAACCCGACCTTTGCATCTCGACTTCCCCTATCTAGGCTTGGGCAACCTGGCAGTATTTCATCCCTCGTGCTTTTTTCAGGTGGCGTGGCAACTAGACATTGAAAGGGTGTTACAGCTGTACCATTTTTTCTTGTGTGCTAGCATGTACTACTGGTGTATAGTTGTCAATGACGATGATGACTTGGGTGCAAAAAACAAGCGAGCTGTTCACGACAGCAGATATGATTTGTTAAATTGAATTCCACCTCTTACGATCATGATTCCTCCATATGTTGTGAATATTTAAACCATCTAAATATCTAAGCAATTTTGCTCTGTTTCGTCATGTGAAAACCATTTAAATGAGTGCCGATAGGCATTCTCTGCCTCTCAAACACACCCACTGGAAAGAAAGACACAAACATCGGACAATAAAGTTGAGAATATGCATTTGAATAAAATATTTCGAACTTGGCGTGGCAAGAAAAACTAACATGAGATGTGGCGGCTGAGCAATTAAGTAACATCGCTTCCAAACAATGAAATTAACATACTTAGTTGTTTTTTTTTGAGAGGCTCACCTGGAACCCAGCTGAATCTCTCGGTTTTGATGTTTCAAGGCAACTGAATGTGCTGCATCAGGCCACCTCATGTTTCGGTCGCTACGATATTCGAGATATCATGATACATATATATTTTTGTAATGCACTACTCATAAGGTTGCTGAAAACTCCTGGGCTGAAGAGGAGTAAACAAAGAAGTGAGGCATAAACTGGCACTCGGTAACAAATCCGAACCGTTGGAGCAACATATTAAATTTTCCAGACTAGGGTGGTTGGAGCACTTATTACCTATGCCCAACCGTTGTCCATTCACCAAAGCGCTGCTTTCCGTTTCCAACCATTGTTGACGAAAGGTTGACGAGGACAGGCCATGCTATGAAAAAGTGAAATGAAAGGGGCTACTGTCAAACCGAGATTTGTGAGGTTTAGATGCCTGCTCAGTTGGGTCTCACGTGATCGCAGTTGCAGATGGTCGGAACTCCTTCAGGACATGAGATACAACTGATCCCAGTGGAGTGTATACTTTCATTTGCTCGTTAGACTGTCTAGGCAGAGTTCGCCTGGGCTTGTGACGGGCGAGGTTCACAATGTACGTTGGGTCAATCTCGTTTTAGATGCCTTGTTTCGGCAGGATACTCAGACGTGTTTACTTTAATGTCTTCCTTAATGACATATGATTTCCTCAATATTCTTTCCGCTTTTTACAAAGTCTTCCGTCTTCCACGGTTGTATGGCGGTTAAGCACCAGATGGGATAACTGGTAGATTCTTGCCAATAATCATGATGACTGCACTAAGTTTCCAAAGATCTTTGTCTGATTCCAAAAGTATTTCTTGAAGAATTGTACGTGTAATAATCTTGAGTGTATCTCACATCAATCATTTATTGCTCTAGGTATCTAGTCAGCGTATCAGCGGACTGAGCATTTCGTTATCAACCAAAGTGGATGAGTACGCCCATCAATATCTCCGTCTGCTGCACCAATGGTGCCATGTCAGAATTGAATTGAATAGAACACTTCAGGAGTATTTCACTTCATTAAGAATGTCAACAGAGGAAGTGAGTTTCTTATGTTTAGCTCAGTCGAATCCCGTATTATTTTGTCCCTGTCCGACTGAACTTTGTTTTACTGAGGTGAACGTTAAGCCGCATAAAGCAAACAGTCTGGTGGCCCAGTTTACTGGGGACTAGAAACGCTTGAGTTGCATCTGCAATCACGTTATTGTTTTGTAGAACCCGAAATCCAATCGTTCCCCTAAGGCAACAAAATCTGTGCTATTGAAAGGTTGATTTAGCAAAATGAGTCACATCCATCTAGTCACCCAATTTGGTGCGTTATATGCGAAACCACCGGATTTCCGTCGACTATGTCTTACCAGTGATGTCCAAACGGTGTTTACTATTGCTATCGCTCTGGTTCTAGGAAATAGGTAAGTCTGAAAAGTTCTGTTTATCCGTTTCGAAAGAGACCACAGCAAAAGGAGTTCACTACTGGGATACGCTCCATTGGGTCAGTTAAAAGTGGTGGAGGAGCGTTCTTCATATAGTGCACCTTCCTTTTGCATCTTTTTACCTCCAGATTTTCTGACATGCGTCAAACTTGAAAAAGTGAATTTCGACAATTTCGATTTTCAGCGAGACTTTAGGGGTCCGCTCGAGTAATGGGGTTGTTCTAGTGGTGGTTGATCTGTTCGCCGAGGTTGGCGATTGACTTGCAAACGTTTCTTCCCTAGTCGAGGAGATATCGTCAGTGCGCAGCTGAATGGGCACTTCTTCCGTACCTAGCTGCGTTTATGTAGTTTTTTGTAGAGTATCCAATATTCTGTCATATGATTGGTGATCGACGATGTCTCCTCGACTGGGGACGAAACGTTTGCAAGCCAATCGCCAACCTCGACGAACAGATCAACTGCCATCCGATCAACCACCAGTAAACACACCCGAGCTACCTATATTTCGACAAACTGACAACAAATTTGGGGGTTGTTCTAGCTTATAGTGCTTTTGTGTTACCAGAGAAGAAAGTTAGTTGTATATACTCGAGACACACCATAGGTGCCCTCATCTTTCTCCTCTATTTAGAAGGATAATCGAGCAGTATGTTGACAACTTCTCAACACATCCGATCGATGCCTTCATTTGCTATCTATGGTTTCTGTCAAAGTCCCTTTCCATTGGTAAATGCCATTGGTTAAAACTGATTGCTATTTGTCAGAACTCCCCACACCACTGAAAAGACCATTATCGCTGATTCTAATGTAAGGAAAAACTAATTGGTTCCCTACTTTTACCCCAACGTGAGCAGCTGTGGAGGTTGTTTCTGAAACACTGCTTATCACCTAGCGATTTCTTCTTAGAGAAGTTCTGTGTAGCTGGTGGGCTTGGCCTGGTTTGATCACACATAAAAGTGGTCGGCTTGATCTAATTGGTTGATAGTGTATAACTCCATCCGACCGCTACTGCCCCCTTCAGTCAGACTGTTTGGTACAGAGTTCAGCTACCCTCTACTGATTAATCAAAGGAGACCGCTTCTCAAAAATTGTAAGCGGATAGTTGCCACTGGAGTAGCCTGTCACCGCCAGTACGTAGTCGAATTTCGAGGCTAAGTTGTGAACATGCACACGGTGCATAAACTATCCATGACCCACTGAAGACCCAAAAATTCATTTATCACTGATAGGTGTTTTCGGGGGATCTACCCAAAGAGTATCTCAACGCCGATGTACAAATGCCTAAAAAAATTTTATCACATCTTCAGACTTGACCGGTGCAACCATTGACAATGGACCAGTAGTCTCACTGCAACAGTAATCAGTTCCGCAACCATACACTGAAAACTTTCGTGTTTGTCTTCACTTGTATGTTTTATACTCCGCCTTTTCAGATATTAAATGCTCTCACTCAGGAACCAAAGAACCCGATAAAGGGTGGTCGAGCTCAGGAACTTTCTCGTTCAAGTTACACAACCGATTTTTGACTGTCGTCAATGGTTACTTATAAAACATCACACACACACACACACACACACACTTCCAACAGTCTTTGGTCACCTCTGCCAAACTGGACTAACGATTTTAAACCTGGGTGTTTTTCCTCTGAGAAGGATATTTTTGAATCCAAAGGAGGCATTTTGCCAGTCTAAATTCCCACCGGTTTGTAACAAATATACTGAATTTATCCTATTTGAATTTCCACATTTTTTGACGAATATAATCCTAGCTTAGCCTACATCTCTTAATATGCTTTCACATACAACTTTGCCGATAGATAAAACACACTATTTACATGCCAAGAAATAACATTCACTAGAGATCCATTTGAGTCTCCCGTTAGAACCAACCTTATCCTGTTAACAAGTGTGATTGGGCCTTCCTATAATGACAGGCCCTTCGAACATAACAGTTAGTTTGTATTGAGCTGCATGTGGACCCCCTCCTCATCGCCCTATAACCCACTGGATGAAACCTGGGTGGACAAAGGTAGTCGAAAATGTTCATATCCCTCGGGAGCAATCCACAAGCTGTATTTTGCTAGTTTGATAACAGACCCAGTGCGAAGTAGATCATGGTACAAGAAACACAAGAGTGTGAATGGGTATTTTAGTGTATTTGGATAAACAGACCCATGCGAAGCAGATCATGGTACAAGAAACACAGGAGTGTGAATGGGTATTTTAGTGTATTTGGATACTCGGAGGTTTTCGTTTTTCACTTTGTATTGGTCTCGTCACAACAAAACCAGTTGCGTTCACAGGTGGCTCGATTTTGAGAGTCAAATTTCCAACCTCCTTAGCCGCAAACAGTGCTCATCCCTTGGATCTTACTCATGAGGGCAGATTGGGCCGACAGCGGCTGGTTTGGCAGTGAACTCTTCATTCCCTTACATAACATCACTACATGCCAGTCCACGTTTTTCTGCTAGCGAGCCCCAGCTCAAGCAAACAAGGCTAGTGATCGAAGCACGAGTCTGAGTCGCCTAAGTTGATCTAGCAAGCTTGTCAAGTTGACGATGTTCCAAGCATCTGATTGTCAAAAGACGGTTAGTTCACAGATTCCAGGCATCTAACAAAACAGCTTGAACCGCTAGTACTGTAGTTTGTGCTTTAGCGTCCGGGAACTCGGTCGTCTTCCCATCCGGTCGATTGCAATGGAATAGTGTGCAAAAAATAATCTGATACATCTAGCGCATGGCACATACATCTTATATGGTAAGACTAGCCGAAAATCGATGCAACTTTGTCCCACTGTATCTGACAACGAATCAAGTGTATCTCTCAGTCTCGGTCACCGCTTCAGAATGGTTTGCGTCAAACGCTATTAGGTTGAGAAAGGCATTGTTGTGCTTCTCCGGGTGATTCGGATAAAGAAACGAGAAGTTTCGTATGGACTGTAGTGAGAAAACTAGGATTATCCGAGATCTTCATGCACAAACGTCTCGTAGACTTCGAGTTCATGCAATGTAAGATAACTAATGAATTTGGTTTACGAAACCGCATGAAAATTTCAAAAATTAATGTGGAAAAACAACGCTAGACGTGTTTAAAAACACCGCATAATTTAAAACATGTCTTCATCTGTGTGACAAAATCCATTCCTGACGCCTCTCAGCACCATATCGGTGATTTTTGGATTACCCGATGATGCCGGGCGCTGACTAGTAACATTTTTTCTCCACAAGGATTCGAATAGAAAAACTGATGGAACGAGATCCGATTGTCGTGGAAGGCATTTTCGTGAACCGAATAACTGCCACCAGAATAGCATAACCGGTGAAAAGGATAGCCCGTTCAGCTGTCGATTCCAGGGTCCATATCCTGACTGGGATTTCTTTGCCTGAGGTTAGACTGAAGAATGCAGAATAGGCATGAACGTACGTGTGAAAACACGGTGGTGGTTGAAGGCACAATAGTCCTGAAGTCCACTTCATTACCAGAAGGAAGTCTTTGGAACGCACAGCTTCCAGCATCGCACTGTGGGCGCCCTTGGAGCATCCAAACACTAGAACCTTAATAGGTGACAGACACCCTCAATGTGTGCACTGAAAAGTGACGTTGTGCCCGCATTCATACAGGTCCATAAGCGGGTCTGCTAACTGTGACAAGGTCAACTGGGACCTGATACAATGAATTTCATCTGGATCGCGTGAAGGTTCGTGTAGGTTGGGAAGCCTGAAGAAGGACCGGAAGCTTCGTACACAGCGTTCGTTAGATGACTGGCGATATTGCGGAGCATAACTGATGTTATAAAAGCTGTAGCTGGAACAAGTGAGAGTGAAGACCGAAGAGACTATTGGGACAATGTCGAACATTCATGATGAGCCAGTATTGTGAAGTTCTGGTTGACCGAGTGCAGATAACGATGTGTGGATGATGCGACCAGTGTCATTCAGGCTGCTTACTGATACAGTCCATTGTCGATGAGGTTAGGCCATATTTTCGGGATTTCATGATTAGCTTTCGATGCACTGGGAGTGTAGACAGCGTAGCTTACGCATTATCACGAACAGTTTCTCATAAAGCATATTAGAAATGCAAGAGAAATATACAGATTTCGAAAGTTCACTGCCAACAATTGCAGAGGGACGATTTAGAAGGTTGACAGATTGACCTTCAGAGATATATTTTTTACAGAGTTAATCGACGAGAATTGTTAAGAACTGGATAGCAAGTTCTGCACATCTGGGATTTAGCTAGGTTAAATCATGTCGTTGCGCGTTTTCTCACGTAAAACATGAGACTACGTTAAATATTTTGGTGGATACTTGTGCCTTTAAACTATCGAATTTTTCTCTTCTCGGATAAGGTGACCAAGAAATACCCTTGTTATGGTCCATAGCTGTTCCTGCTGGCCGTATCATACGAGTATCTTCTCTACCATGAAGTAATCTCATAGCTGGAAGAAATGAGCCCATTCGAGTTCCATAAGCAACGACCAAAACTAACGCAAATATCGGAATGAACAGAGCCGGAAGTCGTTAGATTATTAGGAAAAGGCCGTGTGCCTAGCCATTCACCTGGATGCAATCAAATCATACAGACAATTTTCCGCAGACATACTTTATGAATTGTATCTAAAAGTTGAGGAAATCACGAGGTTCATGAGCAACTTTGGGAACAACGTGAGAGGATTTTCCAAGAGCCTGGAGAAAAGAATGGAATACTGAAGACATGCGCTTTCGTGTTATAGGAACGCTGGAAGACTTTCCCGAAATGAGTATAACCGAGTGTGGGTAAGCATGAACCTGAACCTTGCGTTCAAGTGAATTTATTGTACAAATGCCGCTTCATGCTTCGAATGAAACGGCAGCCAAGATATTAAAGTACATTCCTTGATATGATATTACTTGTATGGTTCAAGAGCTTCACCGGCCCATAAGTACTGTCAAAGTTATAGACATCCTGATAAATAAGTGATTATTTGAGGGGGAGAACTTGAAGGCGTTTTCACTGAAGTTATGTGTCACTGGATTCAATTCGGATTATTCACTGGTGTGGCGTCACCTTGACAAGAACTAAACAAAAACAGAAAGGATGAAAGAACAACCTACGAAGTGAGACGTCGGAAACTGGGAGGTTTTACAGTTCTAACATCGCATGTGCTTTTGGCCGAGACATTACCGGGGCCAACTCTGCTGGGGTCGGTGAACGAGGCTGTAATGGGAACAGATGTGTAAAAGTGCACTGGAGATGATCCATCTCAAGGAATCAGCACGAAAAAATTGGGTTAACGAAATTGAAAATCTGGTCCATGGCTAAGCAGAAGGATGAGATTTTCATCACGGAATAATTTTGAGCCAAAAGAACTGTTCGCCTGAGCCAAAGAACAGTTGGTGAGTAGAAGTAGAAATGTGAAATTCCTGGGAAGCGTGACCGATTACATAGAGTCAAATTTCTTCGCTATCCTACCTCATGTAGACTCCAATTCACATGGAAAATAGGCAGGGGAAGCTGTACTTGAGGCAGATAAGGCATCATTATTCATACGGTGTTGAACACTGATGTCATGCTGTCGATGATTATGATGATTGATAGGGTTAACATGAGTGTGACAAACAGCAAATGTGGCAGTAGAAACTGTGTGTCTGGTCGTAAAACAATGCAGTCCAGTTATGGGATAAATATCGACATATCACCATTGACAACAGACTATCCTAAATCTTAGTGCTGTAGAGGACAGGACAGTCACTGTAGTGGGCTGCCTTGAAGCTATAGGTCAGTAAACTGATAAAATTACGGAATGCAACAGCATCTAAGAAGCAGAGGACAGAATAGACTCGTGAGAACCATTACGACTAGAGAGCAGCAACCGGAACTTTACGAATCAAGTTAAACATACTGAAGACAGGTTACAGACAAAACATTGTCATCAGGCGCGCCCCGTACAGAAGAATTTCACAGCTCAAGATGGGAGCTGTACCGCATACATCCACACTTTGATATGTGTCTGAAATGCACTCAGTTACGAAGAGACACGCGTGAACGTGATTTCGTACACACGAACGAGTGACTCTGGAAACGTGCCTAATGGTTTGCTGACTGGTTGTCAGATGAGGAGGGGACTGAATGTTCGTCCTAACCCCCTGCGGTCACTTCCAGCCTAGACAAGGTTTCCAGTCACACAGATATCCATTTGGGACAGAGGCAGACAAAACATGGAGCTACGTAGAAGTACCTGTGATAAAAATAGAGTCTGAGGGTTGGTTTATGCAAGAAAGCAATCTTCAGATTGCTGGTTTTCCGTAAACCTACTCTTGAGGTCACCAGAGTTGACCGACTGGATATGATTGGTGAGCCTTGTCTGAAGTCTGTTACCAGTTACGGCGACACGTGCTGCTTCGAACACTTATATAAGCAATTTCTCCGCATAACATCATAGATGTTTCCAAAAGATAAGAGGTCCGAGCGTAAAATGATATGTTGTATAACCCACCCTATTCAAGTAGTATCGACGACCATCGACCAGTAGTCAGCTTGTTAGACCAAGAGTCCTACGTAAAATGCAAGTCGTCAGTCGCACGAACCAACAAGCAGGGGCGCGGTTATGAATTCAACAAACTGAAAATGCACACTAAGATATCACGTGGCCGACCCCTCTACGCCGGTCTGATGAATGCCATATGGATAGTTATGTTCATGTGGATTCGTTAAATTCCTCTAAATTTGGAAGTCCTTCGAAAGCCTGGGTGTAATTAGCATGTTTAATGCAGCGTTACACTAGGGGACAACCGT